AAAGGAAAGCTATAAGGGCTAAATAAAGAAATATAATAATTAAAGAAATTAAATAAAAAAGTATTATAATTAAATATTATATAATTAATTAATTAATTAATTAATTATATATATTATAAAAAAGGAATTATATAATATAAGGAAAAGTATTAAGTAAGAAGAAAGAGGAAGTATTATATAATAAAGAGGGAAGAAAGAAGAAAAGGGAGTAAAATAAAGAAAGAAATGGTTTAAATATTAGCATTAAAAGGCGCTATATATAACTTCCTTCTTAAATAGCTAGTTAATTATAAAAACTAATAACTTACTAAGGATAGCTTTCTTTTATTCTTTCCTTATATTTATATAATTAAATTTATAATTAAAAAGAGTAATAAAAAAATTAAATAAAAAAGTATAATAAAATTTTAAAGTTTATAATATTAATTATTATTTAAAAGGTATTAGCTAAGTAGCTAGCTTTACTTATATTATATAAATAAAAAGTAGCAATATAACTTATAAAGATAAGGGAAATACTTTTTTTAATAAGTAAAAGGAAATATATAAGCAATATAACTTATTTAATATTATTAAGGCATTATATAATTTAAAAATAAAAAACCCTTAATATTAAAATAATACTAAAGCTAATTGCATAAAGATATGTTAATAAATAGGGATAATTAATCCTATTTTAAAATATTATATAATACTTCCCTATATAACACCCATTTACTCCCTTATTTTATAACTTAAATAAAATAACAAAGATAAAACTTAATTAAATAAATACCATACATACATATAAACACAGCCATATGGCAAAGGCCATTTAACAGCTTTCCTATTATTATTAATATAAAGGTTAAGGAAACCTGCTTTTTTTTAATATATTACTTTAAGGCTAGAAAATATACTTATATTAAAAGGCTATAATATATATAAGGTATATAGCGGTAAATAAAAATAATATATTTTATTTAAAAAGCATTTTTATATAAAATTAAGTATATAATAACTCTTATGCTTATTTATTATTAATAAATATTACTTTTTAAGATTATTTAGCTTTATTTAAGGGATAAAGATTTTTTATAGCTATTAAAGTGTTATATTATTATTTATTTAATTATTTAGCATTATTATAAATTCTTAATTCTTATGTTTTTTAAAGATCTTAAACTATTATTATTAAATTAACTTTCTTTTAAAGATAATAAAAAAAGGGTATGATTTACTTATAGTAAAAATATACTTAAGGAAAGAGGTTTATATGCATAATTTATAGCTTTTTTAAATAATAACCTTTCTTCCTTTAAGTTTTAAAATAATGCCATTCTTTTTCTTTTTCTTAGCTATACCCTTTTTATTAATATTATAGCGATTAATTAATTTAATAGCTATAATTATTAGTAATTAAAGGAGGTTAAATTACTCCTTAATTATACTTATTTTTACTTTATTTACTTAGGTTAAGGTTATTTAACGGCTTTATATACTTTAAATTTCTAAATCTTTTATAAGGAATTATCTTAATTAATAATAATTAAATAATAATTAATATTATTAAGAAGCGGCTATTTATATTATAAAAAACCTTATTTTAAAATAGGTTATTAGCAATCTTAACGTTACTTAATTAATTGCTTAATTAAATAAGTATATTTCTTAAGTTCTTAATAATTTTATTTAAAATTTTAAGGTATTTAAATAGCTTTAAGCGCCGTAATAATAATTATAAAGTATAATCCTTAAGATGCCTTAATATAAGGTAGCCTTTTAAGGGTTAATGCTAGCTAAGATTACCTTAAGTATTGCATTTATATTTTCTTTTATATATTGCTTTATAAAGGATAAATAATAATATATTAAAAGTTTAAAGAAAAGAAAAAAATCTATTATAAAGAAAACGTAAAATACATAATGGGGTGGACTTAACGCGTATGCGGGTATGGAGTGGGCTGAATCCCCGGGCGGGCCAAATGTGGGCCACTTAACTTAATCATCACTGGTCAGATGGCAATTGAAAGTAGACCTAGATAGAAAGTTAAGCAGACTGTGTGATTGACATTTGCAATTCAAACAAAGCAATTACTTATCAATCATCAATCATTAGCGGTTAGAAGTCGGAAGGTAACATAGACACTTGCCTTTCATTAATGTTGCATATTATACACCAGACCCAGTACACCAGACCTAGTACCCAGTCCCAAACACCCAAGCTCAAACACCCAGACATAAACACCCGGACCTAATATCCAGACCCAGTACCCAAACCCAATACCCAGACCTAATACCCACGTGGGTGTGTGGTGGGTGTGCAAATTGGCTGTGGGTGAGTAAGTTATGTACCGGTGTACCCTCCGTTTTTCCAGGTGCAAATGCATGATTTCATAACTTAAGTTAAATCCCATCTCGCAGCTATGGGTTACACAACATCTCCAGTTCTCAATTATTCAAGTCCACTTCACCAACGCTCTATGTTGCCAGTATAATTATGGGGTCTCATAATTTACCCCTATTCTTTACATACACAGCGCTTAATCAAGATAACCAACCGAGTATCAGTCTTTAGAGAATCATTGCAATCTAAATTAAATACTGACTTCTATGTTTAATTTCTTTTATTTGGCTGATTAAATACGATCATTGCTGCCAAATGATCATGTAGGACGTTTTGAGTGTTAGCTTGAACAGCAGAAGATTCACAAGCGAAGAATACCTGAAAGTGTGAGACTGATTACGTAAAGTGAACACGATGGCTGAAGGCAATGGCTTTCTTCGCTCGCCGAATTTTGGTGAGGAGGTAGATTGAGGTTCCAAGGTTGGCTTTGATCATGTTGCTGTTCGTGAATGGCATTGTGGACAGGGAAAGGATACTGTGAACTATCTAGTCAAGCAAATAGAAGACAATGTCCACATTAGGATCTGATTTCAGATTCTCAGTAGACAGTCTATTCTACGAGCGTAATCAGACTGCAGTTATGGAAGAGTAAAGACATTCGCCAGATGAACAGGCTCAATGTGCATGAGTTCTAAAGTGGTGGATTTAATCTCTCGTTCTATTAAACTTCAAATCATGACATCGCTATGTTGAGACGAGTCATCCTTGACCTTTACACATGGAATCTGTCTGATGATTGTCCTTGCCAAGGTAGTTTGGGGTGTGGCTTGGGAACAACTTGCGATCACTTGGACAGGACTGCTCAGCCGTCAGGGGGTAGACATTTTGACATTTGGCAATGTTATTTTCGAATGTATGTCAACAGGGAAGCCAGTAATCAATGAAAGCCTTCCGGGATGATTGGGCCTTAAACTTGAGACTTCCCCTTCTGAAACCCTCAACCTGCTTTGCAAGTGTTGGGGCAGGTTTGATTGGTGTGTGGGCTAGATCTGCGGCAGGTAGAGTTACTAAAAAGCCTTTTCATGTTGACTACGAGGCATGTGCCTAAGGTCCGCAGGGAAGAAACAATAGTGCCGTGAGTTGATTGATGGTGCGAAAAGCTGGCTTCATTTGAAAGGTTGATTGTTGATGACATTGGCCTTATTGGATGTCAACAATCAGATCGGAAGATTCTATGGGCCATCTCTTGTGGCAGAAACAAAGCTGAGGCATGTTGCGAGCCTTGATAACAAATATTTACATATCATGCTTGAGGAAGAGCTTTCAGACCCTCCTAATCAACTTTGGTGAATTCTCGGGATGATGACCCATAGTCTGCTCTGAGGCGTTGTTGGCAACAAGGTTAAGCTTTCTCGGCTAGAAAGATGATTAGCATTTTTGATCATGCACATTAAAGTAGCGTTTCTGCACAAGGATCACGAATATTCTTACTTTGAGGCGGGGTGCAACCGTATTTAACCCGGGCGACGCTGAACCTTTGGTATGCAGCCTTCTGTTCCTCTCTGCAGCACCCCATCCAGTCGCGCAGGGTGGGAGGGAGCGGATTCAATGAAGTAACAGAGTGACACGATTGAGAATAATACCTCTATCAAGCCATGTAGCCTCTCTTCTCCGATTGGGGTTCCCTGGCAGTATTGAGGATCTACGGGCTCTACGGTTGTCGTCCCATGGCAACACAATCGCAACCACCAAGCTTGAACATGTTGGAGATACCAATCTGATTTCCGTGCCATTCAATCCTCTCCTCTCCATTTTTGTGCTGACTTTTTCATCTCAGTTGTAGGAAAGAGTGAGTCTGGTGGTGCTGGCTGAATTGTCCAGCACACTCCTCTACTACGTCCCCACTGAGTGATGATATCAATCAGCTGGCAGAGGACCAGTGTATTCGATAAATATTTCAGACGGTCTCATTGTCCCTCTTTATGGCCTTGAACTGGAAAGAGATATAATCATCTTGCTACTGGCACTGCCTGAATTGTTGGCTGAATGTCCCTGATTCACGAATTTGGTGTGGATATGCACCTTGATGAATACAAATGGCCGGATTTCAACAGTCGCGATTGCCATCCAACAGACACGGATCTCCCAAGCTTTGTTCTAGTGCTAACTAGCAACCCTAACCCCTCTCAGCCCACGGCCCGAATCCACTGGGGAAAAGGCTCCGTGGAAGTAGTTTGCGAGCATCGAGCGGGCCGGTGGATCTGTCGCCCCTGCCGTGTTCACCGTGGTTAACTCGGACCGGGAACAGGGGTTTGCGGGACGGAGTCGACGAGGGAAAGAGCGGCCCCCAACGCCTGGAATCTTGTGATTGATGCCGTGATGACATTTGGACCCAAAGCTGACCTCGTGAGCCCTCGACCCGAGGCGGTGAGCCAGTCAGGCTGACCCGATTACCTCAGGGGCGTTGCAAGAACGCCGTCTCACATAATATGGGTGGAGGGCCGTCGCCACATAAAACGCGGATGGTAGGTCCAAGTCCAGCTGGAGTTTTGCAGCGTGGGAAAGGAAGAGTTCAAGTTTGGCTGAGGGTTCAAGAGAATTGACCGCCTCGACCGTCAAACAGGAATCACCAACATCCGCGCGCTTACCCAGTCGGGTCTCCCTTGCAGCCAACATGAAGGTCGAACAACCCGGGGCCCATGCTTATACGCTGCCACGCAACATCGTCACGCTGCAGAGTGCGGCACAGCAGCAGCAGCAGCAGCCACCACCACCAGCACCACCGCAACAGACAAGAACCCCACGGGCACGCACGCAGACAGCGCAGTTGGCAGACCCCAATGGGGCGCACACCGCCAACACCATCCAGCTGGACACCACTCTGGCCGAGCTCTACCAGGCCAATGGGATCCAGGGCCCCTTCATCGTCACCATGTACTGCGTCTTTGGACACATGGACCTGCACCCGGCCTGGCCTCGTGAGCTGGTTTACCCGGAGGACGAGGAGCCCGTGCCGTATGCCGCGGAAAACAAGCAGGAGATTGCGAGATTGCGCAGCATCATCCTGGGCATGAAGCCCCTCCGCAGGGCCTTTGGGGTGGGTAACATGGATGTGCTCCTGTTTGGGCCCAACGTCACGGCCGGCGGCATGGAGAGGGCGCTCTCGCAACTAGCGCCGCACCAGCGGCACCGACCCGTGATTGTGGACCTGGACGGGCAGGAGGAGGACGTCGGCACGCAGCTGAGGAGGGCCACCCAGGGCAAGAAGCTCCTGTTCTGGCGGCCGCAGGGCTGGATGGACGACCACGACTGCCTCCTCGACCCGAGGCAGATGTTCGACATCAACAGCAAGGGCTTCCTCCTCACGTCCGGCATCCACACCCCGCCGTCCGAGGTCGTCGACCTGCAGGCCGTGGAGCTGGCGGACAGGTCGTGCGTGTTCTGGACCAGGCCGCTCCCGTTCGTGGTCAAGCTGTACCGGGCGGGATGCAGCTTCGGCACCTACATCGTCAAGGCGGAGCGCCAGCGCGACGAGATGGTGGGGGCCATGGCCAGGTACAAGGCGCGCGGGACGACCGAGGTGCTGCTGAGCACGTACATCGACCTGGTGCAGGACCTGAGCGTGCACTTCTTTGTTGGTGCGCCGGGGACGGCGCATGACAGGGATAATCCTCAGATCCTCGGGGTCACGGTCCAGACGCTAACTGAGGCCGGGAAGTGGGTTGGGGGCCACATCGACTATGGCATGCAGGAGGAGCTGCAGAGGCTGGTGTGGGATACCGTGCGGGACACCACGAGGAGGATGCCCGAGACATTCATGGGCTGGGCCGGGGTGGACATCGTCGTGGACAGGGAGGGCGGGCAGTGGGTTGTCGACCTCAACGCCCGCTTCACTGGCTCGATGCCCATATGCCTCATGTCTGGCCACTTCTGGAAGCAAAGGGGCCTGCCATTGGCCCAGTTCTCAGCTGTGGAGTATGGCGGAGACGTGGATTGCATCTACGCCAGGCTTGGAAGGCTGGTGCAGACGGGCCAGGTCGTGGTGACGGCGACAGCGAGCATCGAGGAGGGTGGCAACATGGCAGACGTGGTGTGGGGTGGGAGAAATATGAAGGAGTTGGCGGACGTTCAGACACGGATTAGACAGGCGCTTGCAAAGGCATCCTAGATATCACTCTGCCCGAGGACACAGCCTCATAATTAATTAGGCTCGGCATGGTCCGATCAACATGGGGGCCAAGCATTGTGGCGTAACACTCCATTTGCCAGCACACTGTGTCACTAGCTAATTCTCCTCTTGTAACACCAGGATGGTAAGCTGTACTGCGCCGCGACCAAGTTGCTCGCCCACCAGCTCTACCAATGGTTGCCCCCCACACCTCTAGCATTGGTGACACAAACCCAGCGAATCGAAGATTAAAATCAAGTTGTGTTGCATGCAGGTGTCCAGCATCAGTCCAGTCCCGCGGCCGCCCTCATCCTGGCTCGCTTGGCCACAGAACGCTTGACTATCACGTCTTCATCGAAGATCCTGGTGATGCTCTCGTGCGTGGACGTAGCCTCTGCCCACCTGTGAAAGTTGGGCGCCTCTGCCTCGATCCTCGCGTTCAAGCTCGTAGGATACACACCATGCTTGCTCAGTGTGACCGCCCGAACCACGAACGGCCCCGTGATGACCTCCGCCAGGGTGAGCTTGTCACTCCCACCCCAGAAAGGTGCAGCATCCGCTAGCAGCGGCTCGACCTCCCTCTTGATGCCGTCGATAGCGTCGTCAATCACTCTCTCCTCGTCGGCGGACGTGGGCGACCCAAACAGCCTGAACAGGATCGTGTGGAATTTGGTCCAGTAGGTATCGATGAAGAAGCTCATTTTTGCCCGTTTCAACGCTCCGTCAGTGGACGTGAGAGGAGGACATAGGTGCGACGGGAAGATGTCACACAGGAACTGGCACACGATCTGAGACTCGACAATGACCTCGCCGTTGAAGACGAGCACCGGGACGAGGCCGCGGGGATTCAGCTTGAGGAAATCGGCTGGGCGAGGGCCGTCCACGTTGATGATTCGCTCCTCGAAGGGGATCCCAAGCTCGGCGAGGCACACGTCCGCCCGGTTTGCCCCTGAGACGGTTGTGATTAGCCTGGAAGGATGAGGAGGGTAGCTTCAGATGAAAGGCCGGATCCACTCACATGTGCATGTGTGGTTGGTGTAGAGGATGATCGTGTTCTCTGCCGAACCCATGTTTGTGTTTTAGACTGCCGGACAACGCAGCGAAGTGTGTGTGTGTTGTGTGTGGTGTGTGTGAGGGATCTCCCAAGGCACTGGCAACAAAACAGCACGGTGTTTCCGACTGATTCGGATTTGACACAGTGCCCAGTGAAGATGTCGCCACACTCATGTGCAAAACAATATGGAAAGGATGAAGCGAATGTAGGAAGGAACCAGATAATACTGCCTTTAGTCATGCCTGATTGTGAGCCACGTGTTACTCAGCGCTCCGCACCGTCTGCCCCGTCGTTGGCGAAGTCCGGCTACTGCACGTCATCCCCACACGCGGGCTCAGAAGTGGCAGGAGTCTGCGAAGCTGAGTGACCAATGAACTTGTTGGTCGAATTCTCCGGCCAAGGTTGCCTCGCATGCGCCCCGGATGCTTGCCCCAGCTACCAACGGGTCGGGCTGTATGCAACACCAACTGGGATTCTAGACCAACACGGAATATGTTGCAGCGCCTTAACACATCTTCACGATAGCCTTGCCATGCTTCACCGGGTCTCCGCATTTGCACCTAGATATGGAGGATGCGGCGGGCGGTGTGTTCGCTTCCTTATCAGACAGGCATTCAGGTTTCTCCTTCATTCCTACCTGGATGCTCTGCTCCGATTTCCTGAACCCAGGCCACCAACATGCCTCACCTGCCCAAATTGACATGATCTGCTCGTATGCACGGCCAATGACCTCAACCCTGTGGGTTGAATCAAATCCCGGAGTGCCACCAACACAAACGGTTCTATGTGAATGTGGGTCTCTAGAGCCCGCGCCGCGTCGGCACAGAGTGATGTAACGGACGTATAGTTGCGCCAAGTGGCTCCTTCCACGGGAATGAATGGGCGATGGGAAGCATGCGCCTCTATTTATCATGTAGCACCATGCCCCGACTTGGCGGGGACGCGGCCAGGGCAACGTTGATTATCTTTCCATCACTGTCTTGCTGTAATCATGGGAAATGCGAAGTTGGCCGAGCCAACAGTATGGGCGTTGGGCGATGGCTCGAAGACTCCATCGTTGCAACATGTGTCATCTCTCGACAGCCAAGAAGTCGCAGGAGAGGTCCTCGATGTTTCCGCACCGTTGAAAGTGTCTAAGGCCAGAGGAGTCGCCATGATAGTGACCCTGTCCGGCATCAGCTTTCTAAACACGATGGGCTCCGGCATCCTGATCGCAGCCTTGCCTCGCATCGCGCACGATGTCGGGTTGGACAAGAACTTGATCTTGGTGAGTTCTCTCCCTTCTCTTACACTGCAGCAAGTAGACTGCCCCCGAAACCATCCTGCATGCGACATGGTAATTGACGAGATTGAACAACCTCCCAGTGGCCAGCAGCTGTCTATGCCCTCGCAGCAGGTTGCCTCCTCCATGTCTTTGGCAGCATCGCCGACATCCTCGGGCCCAAGCCCACCTGGGTCGCCGGCAGCTTCCTGTTCATCATTTTCACGGTGGCCCTCGGCTTCGCGACCACGGGCATCCAGGTCATCATGTTCCGGACGTGTCTAGGCGTCGCCATGTCCATGTGCTTGCCAACCACCGTCTCCCTAATTACAAACACGTTTCCCAAGGGTAAGTGGAGGAACACCAGCTTCGCGATGAATGGCATGGCTCAGCCCTTGGGGTACGCCCTAGGCCTGGTGCTCGGCGGCGTCTTCACCGACACGATAGGGTGGCGTTGGGCATACTGGATCATGGCCATCGTCAACTTCTGCGTGTCCGCCGTCTCGATCTGGTCCCTCCCCAACATCCGACACATGTCGTCAAAGCCCTGGACGCGGCGGCTCATCGAGGACGTGGACTGGATCGGAGTGGCAGGGTTAAGCACCTCGCTAGGCCTTATAATGTACATCCTCGCAGGTAAGCTGACCACCACCACCATCACCGCCTCGAAGGCCCCGTGCAACAAGGGACGGGCCGTGCTGACATGCGGTGCTACAGTGGTGACGTCCGACTACCGCAAGATCGGTCAGCCCGCGACCATCGCCCTGCTGGTCGTGTCGCTGCTGCTCCTCGCGGCCTTCCCTCTCTGGATGAATCATCAGGTGCAGCACAAGCGGCCCGCCCTGATCCCCAACCGCCTCTGGCGGCAGCCCGCCTTCACGGCAGCGTGCCTGGGCGTCTTCTTCTGCTGGGCCTCCCTGAACGGGATCGAGTACTTCACCACGCTGTACTTCCAGCAGGTGCAGGGCCTGTCGGCGCTCGACTCGTCGATCCGCTACTTCTCCCAGATCGTCATGGGCACGTCCATCAACGTCGCGCTCATCTACCTCATCCCCCGCGTGCGCGTGGTCACCCTCTGCGTCGTCACGGCGGCCGCCACGATAGTCTCCCCAGCGCTCATGGCCACGGCCGCCGTGGACGAGAACTACTGGCTGCGGCCGTTCTGGGCCCTGCTCCTCTGCCCCGTCAACCCGTGGGTCCTGTTCAGCGTGTGCAACCTCGTCATATCCGACGCCTTCCCGCCCGAGATCCAGTCCCTCGCGGGCGGCGTGTTCAACGAGGTCGCGCAGTTTGGGAACTCGGTGGGGCTGGCGGTGACGGCTGCCATCGCGGCGTCCGTGACTGAGCACTCGGCCAGCATGTCGGAGAGGGAGGCGCTGATGGACGGCTTTCGAGCTGCTTTCTGGACGGTCTTTGCGAGCACGGGCATGGTGATGATTGTCACCTTTGTTGGCTTCCGAAAGATTGGCATAATTGGGAAGTGATGGTATCCAACAAGATACATCGTAGTACTGTGTTGGTTCCTAGGGACGACGTCGACTCTCGATCACGGCAGGTCGAGAAACGGGTGAAGTCCCAAATTACCTTGGTGTTGGGCCTGTTGTATCGTCATAACTTGAAATGTTTTGTGTTGCTTTTCACTATGCTACTGCACTCATACTATGAACATGAAAACTGAAACGAAAACTAGTGCCGACGACAGAAGCCAATTGTTCGCCGTCGACTTGGAGCCGCTGGTGACATATTGCCCACTGGTAACAAGCTTCCAGCTTCCTCCTTGAACACCAGCCGCCTGGCCATTCGTCAAAGTCACGACGTTTCCACTAGCGTCCTGCAGGCTGCCGCTCACACCAGATCCAAGATCGACGGTTCCTGTCGTCCCGGCAGGTGTGGTAAAGTTCAGTGCCGTGACGGCCCCTGAGCTCGAGTCTCCCTCGACACTGACGGAGAAAGCACCGAGCGGCGCAGTATAACCGGCCTCCACCGTGCTCAGGCCCCCCAGCCTCGGGGAAATGGTCCACGTGGCTCCGCCGGCAGACTCAATGCGCAGTCCAGCCGTGTAGAACGTCAACAGGCTCGTCGGGCCAGCGGACCAGCCGTGCGCGTGGCTCACCCTGGCGTCGTTCGTGTACGGGGCGTAGTGCAGGCTGCCGTCGGCACTGTAGCCCTCGATGAAAGTGCTGTTCGTCATCCGCGGGTCGTCCAGCATGAAGCCCCACTCCGTGCGCATCAGCTCGTGGGAGGCGCTGGCATTGCCGGCCATGTAGTGGGCCATGAGCTCGAAGTATCCGATGAAGGGTGAGACTGTCTCCGGGGAGCCTCCCGCCTCCGGCGCTGGTGCGCCGTACGGTCCCCAGCGGGACTTGAGGGCGTCAGAAATCGCGAGGGACTGGGAAGTGGAAAGTGTCAGGTTGGAGACAATGGCCCAAGCATTACCGTCCTGTGGGTGGAGGGTGGTAGTCTCGTTGTCACGGTAAAGAGAGGTGGAGTTGTCCCAAAGCAACTCGTTAGCCGCAGATTTAATACCAGAGGCATAGGTGGTCCAGTTTGATGCAGATCCCGTGTCATTCAGGATGTTGGCGAGACCGATTCCCTTGTTCAGCGTGTAGTAGAGGATGGCGTTGGCCTCGATGTTATGGCCACCCATGCCGATCCGCAGCCAGTCCGAGTCCGTCGCCACGTCCAGCATACCCGTCTCGTCGACGTGGCTCAGCGTGAAGCGCAGGCCCAAGGTGAAGTTGCCCCAAACACTCTGCAGGTACGACAAGTCGTTGGTGTACTCGTAATACAGTGCGATGTCCAATAAGTTGTGTAGGTGGTAGGTGAAGCTGTAAAGCTTCGTGACCTGAATGAACGGGGAACCAGCGTACGGCAAGGCGCCCGTTGAATTTTGCAGGCTAAGGAGAGAGTCCAACGCGTTGCGGATGGAATCCATGTCACCGGTGCTGACAAAGATACTCGGCGCTGCCACGACGAGGTCACCGGGCCATACGAGACGGTCACGCTTGGCGCCGTCGACAAGAGCAGTCTTACCGCCGGTGATGGTGTAGTTGCTCCACCATCCGACCGTCTCTGGTAGCTCAATGACTTGGGTACTGTTGATGACCCTCAGCCAAACAAGTGTGTCGCCATGGGTGGGATCAATGCTGCAGATCTGGCACGTGTAGGCGCCTTGGTTCATCCGGTCTGTCAGCTCTATTTCTCGTACTTGTGCATCTCGAGTGGTGAATAGCCACTTACCAGCATACCAAATTCTGTTCAGCAGCTCGTCATTGCTGTGGAAGTACCCAGTGTACGAAGTAAGATCCTCCTGAGTGGGAGCCGCCCTGTAGTCCACGACGACACTCTTTACCTCGACCGTGCCAGTCGAGTTGCTCACCACGCTCAGGTATCTGAAAGCACCTCTCTCAAACTCGTCGCCAACTGTATATGTGCCAGGACCAGCTCCCACAGACAGGTAGAGAGGAGTGTCCAGGCCAGCATCCGCAGTGCCGTCGCTCGCTTTCCCGTTGATCCAGAGACTTGATTCCGTAAAGGTCAGGGCCAGCACGGCGTCCGGGGACGAAGATGCGCCGACGGTTATGCTGACGAGCCCTGCGATGTTCTTGCCATAATCGAAGGTGATGGTGGAGTTCCCTCGCAGGATTGCAGTTGCATTCTCGGGTGAGTCGACGAGAGACTGAGCATCAGAGACGGTTCCGTTGACGCGGTAGACGGAGGCTGGATAGACGGTCCTCGAGGTTGGGGCTAGGATGTATTCCCCATAAGGCGCGGCCGCAGAAGCGAGCTGGCCAAATAGGAACAACGGCAATGCCAGGCTATGCAACATGGTCGCGGCTCTTGTGCTGCGCTGCGGGACTACACAGCTGAGAGGCTGGAACGACTTGAAGACAAGGACGTGCAGATCGCTGCATTTGACTACCGAGCTGAGGAGACAAGTCGCGATACACGCAGGGGAGCTTTTATTATATACAGGTGGCCTACTTGCTCATCAATCGTGAAGGCCGGGCGAATGCCCTCCCGATGGTATTGATGCCAAGGTGGTCGCGATGAATTTGACCGAGGCCGTGCGGAGCTGGTAGGGCGATCCATGGCGGGATCTCAGACGCGGTGATGACTGGCATAGCACCGCGCGTTCACCTGCCTAGCATCCCATGTGCGGTCACCCGTACTCGGAGAGGTCGCTCGACTCAGGTGCCCAGACAGACCAGGAGCCCTGCTGGCTGAGTCGGACCGAGCAGGACGGATCTCCCCCGAAGTTGGCCTAGCCCGCTCATGGCGGTCTCTAGCGGCGTGGTGTTGCAAGGAACCGGTGAGCATCCCCACAAGAAGTGCCATGAAAGTCAGCCGTCTGTGCAGCGAATCCAAGTCATGGTGTGGGGTTGGCTTGTTCTTCTGTTGTGGGGAACCTGGGGAAACATGAACGCAGTCGCACGGAAAATGCAGGGGACGCCGTTGCCTCCCGTGCCTCCCAGCCTGTGCTCGGGTTCCAAAGAGCCGGGACCGTGGAGCAAGTAAAGGCACGGAAGATGTCGACTCGGTCATTAAATAGACCGCTAGACCAGAAGACTGTTGCTGAGCCCAGGCCCCGGGTTTCCATGACGTCCTCGTACATAACTGAGGAAGGCGACCGCCCAGCAAAGCAGTTCCGTCCTCAAGTGCCTGCGCCTGGGCTCGTGCCTGTGCTAGTGCCAGTGCGCAACTGGCCCAGAGAATAAATCTCCATCTCAGGCGACTTCCCAGCTGCAAAAGAGGATTGCCCCAGCTGGAACAGACATCACAGGCTGTGTGGATTGGCCAGCACGACGGTGATGCTCGTGGGTTTCTTTCAATCCCTAACGAAACGGATGCAATGTTGCCGCAGGCTCGTCGCTCCAGGCTCCAGGCAACGCCATTGCGGGAATCCCGAGCGCTGGTCGGTCGGTTCACCCGGCAGTTCCGAGACACAGAAGCGTTGCTGCAGCCAAGCCCGCATGTGGCGATGGTCAGTTCACGGCATAGGTCTCGACTGCGTTATGAGATGGTGAGAGACTGCAGGACCCGAGAAGCAGTGCAGTGCAGTATACCTGGCCGTGCTGTCAGGGATCTTGGATCAGTCTCTACAAATGCACGGCAAATCCTCGTACGTCGGGGCTTCACATCTGCACATCATGATTGCTCGTGCAATGAGTCGTCGAGGGCTATCAGCAACAGCAACGGCGACGGCGACCTCGTCCTGAAACCCAGCTCCTGGATCTTTGGTGCGTCCGATGCCCATGATCAAATAAAGAACGTTGTATGTTGATGACTGCTCCAATTATGAGGATGGCTCGACTGACTCGGAGTCGTCAAATAGTCGAGCGGGCCATGATGCCTGCAGGGAGCCACAACAGCAAATGCCTCGGTGTCGTCATGGAGTCGTCGACCCCTCAACCCCCACAGCGAAAATCACTTGATCCCCGTGGGCGTGTGGGACACCGGGGGGCGTGTGTGGTTCGATCTGGGCCTTCTGGTGCTTAGCTGCTTAGCTAACGAGCTCCCCGCAAGTGAAAGCGGGTTCCCAGTTAGTCCCACCTTTGTCCCCTCGGTCTCACCCACCACCAAATGCACCCAACCCATCACCGCCTGCGCAAACCGGGAATCTCGGGCCAAGAGCGCTGATTGAAGGCGATGGATTACCCGGGCGAGCTGGATGTCAACTCACTACGTCCAAGCCCGCGTCATATTTGGGTGTACCCAGGACCGGCACACTAACAAGCAGGGAGACGGAAGATGCGTGCAGCAGTTGGCACTGGCATCAACAAACACGCTGAACTTGGCAGCAGAGTACGGAACGCGTATTCATTCCAGACATCGAAGGCGCCGTCGCAGTCACAGTCGTTCGGATTCCCATGATAGGCAACCCTCGGATTAGAGGCGAGAGGCGAGAGGCGAGAGTCGAGATGCGAGATGCGAGATGCGAATGGTGCCCGCCTCGGATTGGGCGTGGCGTGCCAAGCTGGGCCTGGCCTGGCTGGTTAGCTCGTTCCTTTCCTGTCCTCCCCTTCCCGCAAAGCCTCACTGCTTGGCGAATGCTTGATCGGCACCAAGCCATTGGCGAGGCCAACCCGTCCACCCACCCACCCCAGTCGTGAGCCTCATCGACCTCAAAGGACCGTGGAGTGTGGAGGAGCCGTTTAAAAGCAGAGCAAGAAGGAGGAATCGACGACGACGATGGCGGCCAGAAGAATTGCAGCAACGACGAGGTTGCACCTGCATGCAGGTGGAAAGCGATGTGTTGAGATGCGTCGCTTCCCTGTTTTTCAACCACGAGGAAGAAAAGATCGCCAGAAGCCGCCGGGAGTGACCGAACCTTCCCTCCTACAGCACTACTGGGCTAGACACCTACCAAGTAGTACTCGGTCTGGTCTCTAGTCCTTCTGTGGGTGGTCATCGGCAGAAACAGACTTTTTTCCCACTGACGTCATTCATACGGTCCTGCCCTCTGCTGCCGTACTGCACCGATATCTGTGTGCCTTCCTGTTCAGCAGAATGGGTAGGAGGCGACCGCCACCCGCCTGCTCTCAAGCCAAGCGTTGCTGCTCTCTGTTAAGCAATCGGCCCGGGAGCGGCAGAGGCCCACCATGACGCAACAACCCATCCCAGAGTTGCACTGTATTCTTGCAGGGAAAGTTGAGATTGTACGGATGCGACTGCCTCGAGGAACCGATTCCTGAGTGGGAACTTCACCCAGGGGATGGAGAAGGAAGGGAAAAAAACAGAACCAAACAAGCACAAGATCGCCGTACGAGGCAGGTCGAGACGGCCAGATGCATCGCGATCAGTCTCTCGGATTGTATATATCGGCCATGTTCCGCAACCCAGCCGTGGCACGACCTGCACATCTGGTACGACTGATCTTGCTCTGGTTGGCAGGCTGGTCGGTGGGTTGGATGGGACTGCAGGAACATTTCGTCCCCACGGGCTTCAACCATCCAGATTCCTCCACACAGCTCCAGACTCCAGACTCCAGACTCTCAGACCTCCAGGTCGTTCCTGCAACTTCACCCATATCCCCACTGTCCATGCATTCCCCCCCCCCCCCACGGGCAGAGCACACATGCATACGCATGCACAAACCAGACCAGACCACACCACACCACACCAAGAATAACATGACTCTCGACCACCCATCCGTCTGAATGACTGACTGCCCGCCTCGCTGTGACTGTACCTCGCTGTAGTCCTCGCTCAGCCTCGGCCGCAGTCGCGCGTGCCATCCTGTCGATCCCTTCTCCATTCCACGTTGCAGCAATGTGACCAGTCCGAGCTTGCTCCTTCCTTAACACCAGCGTCTCGTAACGCCAGGTGCAGGCACAAGTGCAGGTGCGGCTGCAGCTGTCCAGGGATGTTTCTTCCGGCCTGGCCGTTCCTCTCACCTTGATTACTGCAATTATCTAACAATTCTTCCCTCGCCTTCCCCAGTCCCCACGCGTGTTGCATCCATCATCCAAACCCTGTGACGTCTTTCTCACCACCACGGCCCACGCTACTTCGCTTATGTACCGGGACCGCCTCTACGCTGCATGTACACTACTGTACCTTGGTCGTGCCCCGTCCCCCTGCCGGCATGCCATGTACTCATGTAAACACCCTCTTGCCCCGTCACTGTCCGCCTAGTCCCAACTTCCCCCTCTCTACAAATCTATATCTTTCGCCCCCTCCCATCTCTCATGGGATTCCATCGACCTGGCGGTGCTCATTTCGTACTTCAGCCCTCCAACAAAGGTACAGCACCGAGGCTTGTCAATCAACCCGCCTGGACAACACACCAGCCTGGCCCGGTCTGGTCTGGTCCATGAGTGAGCATCGTCTTCAGTAGTCACTAATATATCCCGACGCCGTCCCACCTCCTCCCTCGGCTCGCCTGTCGCACATACGCCATGTCGGCCACCACGACGCAGCCTCCCCCAAAGGGGCGTAACGTCAATGCTCAACAAGAAGCATCAACCTCGGGGTCCGGCTCAGAAACGGCCGTTATAGACGAGAAAGGCGACCATCACTCCTCGGCCAACCACAATGACAGCCGCCCTGGCGCTGTCGGCGCCAAGCGAGAGCTTACCGCCCAGGAGTGCGAGAGCGAGTTGGCATTTGCGTATCCAGAGCTGAAGAAGTGGTGGATCCTGACCGTCATCTTCCTGGTCCAGACGTCCATGAATTTCAACACCTCCCTCTACTCCAATGGCTTGGCTGGAATCTCCGAGGAGTTCCAGGTCAGTGAGCAGGTCGCCCGTCTCGGTGCCGCCCTCTTCCTCATCCTCTACGCCTTTGGCTGCGAGCTCTGGGCCCCTTGGTCCGAGGAGTTTGGTCGCAAACCCATAATGCAGGCCTCCCTCTTCCTTGTCAACATCTGGACCCTGCCTGTCGCCCTCGCCCCCAACTTTGCCAGTGTCATCGTCGGCCGCTGTCTCGGTGGTCTCTCTTCTGCTGGTGGCAGCGTCACCCTCGGCATGATCGCCGACATGTTTGACTCGGATCACCAGCAATACGCCGTCGCCTACATCGTCTTCTCCTCGGTCGGTGGCTCCATCCTCGGACCCATTGTTGGCGGCTTCGTCCAGCAGTTCATGCCCTGGCGGTGGTGCATCTGGATCCAGCTCATCTTCGGTGGCTTTGTCCAGATCCTGCACCTGATCACTGTCCCCGAGACGCGCACCACAATCATGATCGACCACATCGCCAAGAAGCGCAGGAAGAATGGCGAAGACGTCTGGGGCCCCAACGAGATCGAGCCCTTCCGTGAGCGCTTCACCTGGGGCGAGCTCATGCACACCTGGACCCGTCCATTCTCCATGTTCCTTACCGAGCCCATCGTCCTGGTCTTGTCGCTCCTGTCGGGTTTCGCGGATGCTCTCATCTTCATGCAGATCCAGTCCTTCAGTCTTGTCTACACACAGTGGAATTTCAACGATTACGACATTGGCCTGGCCTTCATCCCCATCGGAATCGGCTATGTCATTGCCTGGCTCTCATTTATCCCCGCCATCAGGCGAAACACGCACGCGCGGAGAGCAAGGCCTGACGATGAGCACGCGCAGTACGAGTCCCGCCTTTGGTGGCTTCTCTTTCTCGCGCCGTGCCTTCCTCTTGGCCTCTTCATCTTCGCATTCACTTGCAACGGGCCCCCAATCCACTGGGTCGGCTCCATGTTTGCGAGTGCCATTATCGGCATTGCCAACTATGCCATCTACATGGCCACCATCGACTACATGATATGCGCGTATGGTCCTTACTCTGCCTCCGCCACCGGTGGCAACGGCTGGGCTCGCGATTTCCTGGCTGGTGTGCTCACCTGCGCAGCCACCCCTTTCTACGAAAACATCCCAGGACAGAACGGAAAGCCCCTGTTCAACGCATCCATCATTCTCTTCTGCATCTCGTTTCTGCTCGTCATCGCCGTCTATGTCATTTACTGGAAGGGCCCTGTACTGCGCAAGAGATCACCATTTGCCGAGAGCCTTGCCAAGGGCGTCGATACCGAAAGACAGCGCCGCCCATCCACGGCCACGGGTCCCCCGCCGCCGGCTATCAACGAGAAGGAGAAGCAGCCAGGGCAAGGTGCTATGACCCCAGGAGGTACCCATCGTGCTCAGCGGCCACACTTCGGCCCTGGCTCCCGCACCAGCTCCTACAGTGCCGCCAAGGACGCCGCTTCACGGAATCATTCACGCCACGCGTCCAGAGCGGCCTCAAGAGCGCACAGCTTTGAGGAAGACAGAGATGGCGAGACCAACCCCTATGCCTCACCACCTTCCGGAAGGCGGACCCCCGGGAGTCGCACGCCTGGGACTCGAACGCCTCGCACATCTGGCGCAACTGCGGAACATGTCCACCCCCAGCAACTTCACAGCAGACTGGCACCCCTGGCCAAGATTGAGTCCGAGCAACCGTAGTGTAGTGCGGGTTCTCATCCTCGTGCCGGACGCCCTCGCTTTGGGCCTGGCTCCAGGAAGTCTTCGTACGCTGCTGCGAAGGAACAGGCCAGCCGAAATGCTTCACGTGAGGCCTCGCAGGACGTGTCCAGGGTGGCTAGTTTTGAAGAAGACAGAGAAGATCCACAGTGTCTATCCTCACCCAAGTCGGTTTTGAAAATGGCCACTGCTAAGCTTGAGTCGTGGAACCACCAAGGTCGCATTCGGCGACCGTCGACTTTGGCTGAGTGCAGTGAGTCTGGAGAGAAGTCAGTGTGACGTGTTACGGAGCAAACCGGGGCTATGCGAGGGTGATCACTATCAGTATCTGCTCTCTCAGCATTCGAGGTGTCGTGATACGGCTTAGACGCGTTAGCAGGCCATGGTGTCACGCATCAGACGGATAGAAAGGATCTGCGATCACGACGGGGGCTGTGGAGGTCTGCATACAGGAGCAAGCGAGCATTCAGCTTTCATATGCATAGGCTCTAGATATAGATGCATGATTGCATGGTCGACTACATACTATAGATACCCAATCCCAAGAGGACCATCCACATACGCTGATCAAAGTGACTGGTTGAGTCTACAATAATTTAGACCCTCCCGCCGCCGCATTGCGTCTCAAGGAAGTTCGACATGCGTTACTGGGTGTCTCTGCAAATACCCTACAACATTTAGATTAGCCGTAACACCCACAGTGGAACAGCTGTCTGGTCAGTGCATGCACGACATCCAACTTTACAGCCACTCGACGGGCCCATCCTTACCGATCAGAGCACGGGGGATACCAGGAAAATGAGTGGACAACAAGACCTTCGGAATTCCGTACCCTCGTCAACGTTCATTTCAGGGGTTCGCCATCTGGCATATCACGAGATAAGCGAAAGTCTAATCTACCGGCGGATAAGAAACCTGCCACGACTAGCATGCTAGGGCTCAGGTGCTGGAAGGTGTGTATCTAGCTTCTTGAAATTCACACCGCTGTCACACTCGTCTATGTATGACCCCCAAACGTGTCATTGGCCCCAGTCCACCCGCTCGTCCTGTCCTGCGCACTGCCCTCGGTCTCCCGGCGCGACGTCCGCGGGGCAAAGGCATCCACCCCTTGGACCTCGTCGCCTGGGACCCGCCGGGGCAGCTCCGAGTCCGTCTCGGTGACCGTCTGCCTCCTCATGGCCTCTTCTGGCTGCTGCTCTTCCTCCTCCTTGTCGGGCAGGTGGGACTCGCGCAGCCGCGAGCCGTCAAAGTACGACGCCGAGGGGGGCACCTCGCCGGCGGGCGTGGGCCCCGCGGACGTGACGGCGGTGAAGTCGAGCATCGAGGGCCCGCGGTTGAAGACGGGCTTGGCCTGCTTGCGGAGGGTGTCGCGGGCGGAGTGGTCCGGGCCGGGGACGCCGGGGGGGTGCGTCGTCGTAGTTCTCTGCGTGTTGGACCGTGGCGGCGGACGGGTCTTCTCCTAGGCCCTGGGGTTTTGTGCTTGACTTCGTGTCCTTGTACCCCTTGTGCGCGTTGTTGGCCCCGAGGCCGTCCGCGCCGGATCTGCTGCTGTCTGTTGTTGTTGACATGTTGGTGCTTGTGTAGTCCTGAGAGTAGGCTCGGTGGTGGGATGATTGCTTATGGCGTATGGATTATGGAATCGGCGTGCTTGCGTGGGTGGGTATATGCACTTTTAGATTCGGTGGATCAATTGTGGTCAAAAGGATGCTTGGCTTGAACTGAAAACAGCTAAGAAAATCTGAGATTATTTCCGAGCCGGACTCGACGGAATCGTTATATATGCCCAGCGGCATGGTGATGGAAACGGCCGCCCCCAACGTAATGATCTTCGTGTCGCCACAGGGGCTGTGGACCCAGATGTCACTGGTCGGACAGTGACGTACGGCAGCCCACCCGCACGACCTGTCAAAACGTCAGTTAGCCAAGATCGCCCGGGTGAGACAACAATGATGACCGATCCTGCGCGCATGGGAAATGATATACCGCCATGGCGCATGTTTGCTGTGTGATTTGGCAATTTTGGTAAGCGGCTGTCCGCGGCAAAACACGTATCACAGTACAACACCAGTGACTGATGCCTCCATATCCGTGTTATGCCCGGGCGAAAGTGGCCTTTGACAACGGCCTCGGACACTGCGCGTCCTCGCAACAACTTTAGAAGCCAAGTCCGCAACTGGACCTGAGGTCCAAAAAAAAAAAAATTCATCGAGAATCAATTGTCTGATGCTGTAGGGAGTTATTTGTCCGTTGGCACTCCATAGACTCCAAGATGGTAGCAGATGTTGGCCTCGGCCGTGTGCCCTTATTAAATGCGAACTCTTGTGCCATCGCGAGTCCGCCCTAACCATCGATTTTGGTGTCCGAGCCGTTCCAAGCTGGAAAAGCCGCCAACTCGCCGTAGTTCTTTTCCTGGTAGTACTTCATCGCATCCCAAAACGTACCGTCAGGCAAGTGAATCTGCCTCATCGCCGTCCCGTCGTGGTATGCCATCCTGTCCGGCTCCTGGCAATCCATGCTGTGGTCCCCTCCTCCCGAAACCCCATCCTGATCCGCGACCGACTCCCAGTATGATGAACACCGGTCACTAGCATCGTCGGTGGGAATGCTGATACAGTTGCTCAAGCCGGTATAGTCTCGAGTGGAAGTGTAGTTGCCGTTCTTGTCACAAAACCCTTCAGCCATCACGTAGTGGTCGGTGGTGCCGCTGATGTGTTCGAGGATAGAAGTTCCGCAGAAGCTCTTCTGCGGCGACTGGCAACATCTGTGCTGGGGTAGGTCGGAGCAAACTAGAAAGTCGTCATTGCTGGTATCGCACACGCCATCCCCAGCAAAGAAAAGAATGTTGACGCCTTTGACAGAGGCTGTGAGGAGTGCGATGAGGGCGATCAAGAGTTTCATGGTCAGGGTCGTACTTCGCAAGTTCCTTGAAATGACTTGTTCTTTCACAGGAAGGAATGGCCCAGACCAAAGTTACTTGTGTGTTACTTTGCAGTGGACTTGGCAAAGAACTTGCCTGAAATTGCCTGTACAACTTCCACAACAGATATTTATCATTGTTTGAAGGGGGTGTGACTAACTTGTTGATTCAGCAAGCACATTCCAGGTCAAAGAAGTGGAAGGAGCTTATCAAAAGTACTGGTGACTGGCTCCTGCAATGGATTCACGGCATCTGCAATAACACAGAACTTATTTGAGGTGTTACAAGATCGTCTTCCACCCCCCCCCCTCTTCACCACCCTGATCTCGCTCATTACTGTACCACAACCCCACCTCAGAACAAACACCATTCAAGGCACCACCCACCATATCACTATCGCAATGCAGTTGACCTTACCGATCACCGCAATCATCCAGACATTCATGATGGTGATTCACAGCTTCCACAGCATCCGTACTGTCTCAGCCATGGATGCAAACGGGTGCTATGAGAAGGGAGCACTGTGGGATGACCTCGGTACTTGGGACGACATCGAAAAGGCTCTTGACAGCGACCCTATCTACAACACAGGGTACCTCAACACGGACAGTGACCCAGTGAGTAGCAAGTAATAGCTACGGTACATGTCGATGTGCGTTTCTAACAATCCACAGGTAAAATCAAATATCCACATCGGTGAACACTGCTTCATCTTCCACATTACTGTGGCCTCGGGACATACGAATGGAGGCCACTTGTTTGTCACGGAAATGCTCAGGCATATCTACGACAACTGTGGTCATGGGGGTGTGCAGAAAGTCGGGCAAATCGAGAACAACGTCAAGATTGGCACGTTTTGGGTGAAGGGTGATCCGCAGGGCAGCTCGGATTGTTGAGCCAGGAAGTAAATCTTTTCATACTCACATGAACACATACCAAGCTCATGCAATGATAGCATCAAATCCATAATAGAGGGGCACAAGAGCAATCTTCATTCAAATGAAAAAAAAGCGTACCTTTGTGCATTTTCCGTGGTGTCTTTGTTACCAGCAAGAATGCTGTGTTCTAAGACAAAGCCAGGGGCACAGGCTGAATCACAATGCTTTTGTTGTGTGTTAAAGCTACCCCGATATGCCTCTCAGCTCTCTTGGCTATAACTATCACTATTTTATCTCGTTCCTATGCCATTTTGATACTGTATTCACACATACGCAAAATCCAAGCAACTTAGAGCGCCTTGCGAAATCCATAAGCTTACATCTGGGACTTAAATCCACTCACGGTTGCATCATGGCTGCATCCTCATCAACCGAAGCGCAGAGGGTCACGTTCGGCATCGAACTTGAGTTCCTAGTTCCATATCTCTGGTCCGATGAAGCAGATCCCGAGGCGGATACGGATGAGAGACAGGTGATTCGCCTCTCACAAGAAGATGTGGGTCCGGGAGAAGTGTTCCTGACAGCACATGATCGAATTAAAAACATCCTCCGGGACTTTCTTCGGTCTCACGACATTCCTGTCAACAACAACAATAGTGCTCAGGAAGCTGGCCCACCCTGTGAGTATTATATTGGCAACGACTCATCTGTTCGAGAATTCGGTTTTCAACAGTATCACTTTACTGGGGTTGAACTTCGTAGTCCGGCACTGTTCGCTGAACCTAGTTCTTTCGACGATATCAAGCGCGTGGTGAGTCTGCTTACCAATAACTTCCGTCTCAGGATCAATGAGACCACCGGGTTCCATGTCCACGTCGGAATGGGCTCCCATCGGCTACCGCCGCGTGCTGTGCGTCGTCTCAGCCAATTTATCTGGTGTGCTGACGGGGTCTTGTCACAGCTACATCCACCGGAGCGCATGCTTAGCCAGCATTGTCCGACCATCAGGCACGGTAGCCACCTAGCGCAAGGTGAGTTGGACAATTGGCGTCTGGCGGAGAAGGAATTACAAGAGATTCGGCAATACCTTGGTTTGTCTTCGCTTTCAAATCCGGCTCAGGATAGCGAGGATCCTGCAGGGGTAAGTCGCCGAGTCACCATCTTTCAGGAAAACGGTGATTCTTTCCCTGCCCTGAATTCTCGCACAGATCTCACGCGACTCCAACGTCTTCCTCCCGTTCGTACCAGCCCTTACCAAGATGAGGGAGCCCGAGCACGCTATCACAGTACCAGGAAAGTAGAACTGCAGCGCTTAACACGCAGCCAGTTCCTTGAGCGGAGGCCTTCCCAGCCACGGCAGGTGGGGATGCCCGCCACAGAACCTACGGAGCGATGCACGTCAATTATCGCCGGACTTCATACGCTTTGCCAGCCGGAAATGTACGGAGATCCAACCCGGGCTGTTAACCTGCTTCAAGGCTATAATTCCCAGCGGTTCAATTACAACCTCATACCCTATGACTTTCAGGCTGGCGATTTACCGATGCGGATGACAGTCGAGTTTCGGGAAGCAACCGGGTCGCTCCACCCTTCATGGGTTGCAGCTTGGGGTAAGACGTGCTCCAGAATCGTAGAGTTCTGCCTCGACGCCGAAGAAACCGCATTCGCAGACTTGATCCAGCGCCTTCTGGAGGCCGAACTAGCATTCGAAGCCAACCGGGAAGAGTCTCATCGTTATGATGTAATCGACTTGCTCAATGACCTTGGCTTGCGCAACGAGGCCAGACTTGTCGAGCAGAAGATTCTGCTGGGGGACAGGAACGTCTTTTGGTTCCCGTGTACTCTGGAAGAGAACTCCCCAGACGACCCCTCCGGTGCATCAATCATGGTGCCGTCAGGCAATAAGGACTGATAAGTACATTATTCTTTTTGGTTTCCTTTTGATCTTGCTTCTTTCGGCTTCCTGGTTCACTAGGTGCGGTGTCTGATTTTGCCCAAAGGCAGAAGCTGCTTCGTTGGAAGTCGCAATAAACTCACTAATAGGAATGTTATCAAATTTCCACACATTAGAATGTTGAATACCCAGATTCTGTTGCGTAAATAAGAACATTTTGAATGTGGGCAAATGATACCAATGCAAAAACTCGACGGGTCGGTGGCCCAGGAAACCAGTGCAACCTCTGTAGGTAAATACTCCACGCTGTTGAATGGAGCCCCCTCATTTTGGTCGCTAGCATGTTTGCAAATCAGGCCCTCTGAATTACCCAGATCAGTTTTTTTCCGAGCTAGCTGAACAATGCTAAGGTCCTTCATAGACGGCTGAGTCCCTCTGTGCTGGAGATATTGGGAGCCCATTACACCATTACAGACAATTAGACTGCTGCTTGATTTGTACATTAAGAACAAACTCGGGTAGCCGAGCAGGCCCCTGAACCCAACGATGTATGACACTGAGATTTTGCATTCAGCTTCGAGGGCGGATTGTCCAGCTGAGATGGCCCAGAAATGGATCGGATAGTCACTCCAGCTGGAAAGGAATTGGGTATCAAAAAGGTCTACATATTGTGACCACGTACGGAGCTCAGCTTTTATCGACGTTAGCCGCCTTCTCCAGTATATCCTCCCTCCTAATCCCACTCTTTTCACACATGCCCGTAAAAATGCCACCTTGATCAAACAATTCCACCGGTGTCCCCAGCTCTGCCACATACCCTTGATCCATAACACATATACGGTCATAGCCAATAATGGTCTTGAGACGGTGGGCAATACATAGCAACGTCTTGCCTCTGAAAGCCTCCATGGTCCGCTGAACCTTCTGGTCGGTGGCGAAGTCGACCGAACTCGTGGCTTCGTCGCAGATTATGATCTTAGCGTCCCTCACCAACGCCCGGGCAAGAGCCATCAGCTGACGCTGTCCGAGGGAGAAGTTCAGCCCTTCTTCCTCCACAGCTGTATCGAGATCGATTCCGCCCTCGCCACTCTCGCTGGCAAGATCTGCCTTCCGGAGCGCCGACCAAAGCTCCGCATCTGTGTGTTCGTTGAAGGGGTCGAGGTTGGACCTGATAGTACCTTTGAAGAGTGTGGGGTCTTGGGGAATGATTGCTAGACGGGAGCGAAGATCATGCAGGCCAAGCTTGCTGATGTTCAGGCCATCGATAGTGATGGAACCGCCTGAGAGCTCAACCAGGCGGAATAGCGCCTGCATGATGCTCGACTTCCCGGCTCCTGTCCGGCCAACAACGCCCAGCCTCTCACCACCTTTGACATCAATCGAAATGTCTTTGAGTACCAGGGGCAGTCCGGCCCGGTAGCGCAGCTGGACGTGGTCGAGGACGATATTGCCACGCTGGGGCCACTCTGCTGGTACCTGGCCAACATGGAGAGGGGCCTCCTCTTCAAGCCCTGTTCCGTAGTGGTGGATTCGCTCCGTATTGTTCATGTCGTTTTCGACCTCTGCCATCTGCCTGACAGCAAATTGGAACATGCCCATGATGCTGATCATATATGATAAGACGAGCCCTCCAGTGCTAGGGTTCACCGTGAACCGGGATGTGACCACGAGCATGCCAAGGACAAAGATCATAATAAGGCCGATTGCATCGAGTCTGAGACTTAGCCACCGCTGGTTGGAGAAGGTGAGGAAGTATGCGCCATCGAACTCGTCAATGGTTTGCCGTATTGTTTTCAAGAAGTGGTCCTGGACGCCGTACGCTCGAATCGTGGAGGTTCCGTAGACAGCCTCGCTGAACTTTGCGAAGACGTGTGATCTCAGTATAGCCTCGTGTCGTTTGATCTCCCTGGCAGATGCCCGATAGTAGTATGCCGCAAATACAAATGCAACCATCAGGGGCACCATGGCCGCCACGAAGTAATAGTAGTATGCGAGGATCAAGCCTATGGTGGCTATGATCTGGCCGAGCATGAGCAGATACATCCTCATGGATTCATTGAGGTTGTTGTCCATCACGTCGATGTCTTTGGAAAATCGGTTGGTGATTCGGCCAAGGGGTGTTGTGTCGAAGAAGGACATTGGTGCGCGGAGGACCCGGAACATGGCACGCTTCAACATCACCTTACTTGCCCGTGTTCCAAAGATCGAGATGGAGACAGCAAACAGGAACATGAACATGGCTTGGCCAGCACCCAGACCCGCGTAAATACCAATCTGTTACTCTGTCAGACTCAAACACCCACCATGAGGATTGCGGGGGGGGGGGGGGGGAGTTCTTACCCATTCACCCGTCGTCAGCGGGAACTGGTCTGCCGTCCACCAGGAAAGCCACAGGCTTGTGGCGATGTTGCTGCCTTGAGACAGGATCAGAAGGACTATGACGAGCGGGGCAATCAGGATGGAGCCGCCTGCTCTCAGCCAAGCACCGTAGACACTCCAGGACACAGCCTTGACAGCGCGTTCCTCGGCCTGCATAAGCGCGATGTTGGACTTCGCAGTCTCGACTTTGACGAGCTTCTCGTTCTCGTCTGGAACATGGAGGCTTTCCTCGTCGGAGTCGTCGTTCTTCGCAGTCTCCTCGTTCGAGGACGTGAGAGTCATCAGCTCGATAAACTCCATGTTCTGCGAGACCAGGTCTTGGTAGCTTCCTTGCGCCTTGATGGCACCGCCGTCCAGCCAGATGATCCTATCACACCGGTGCAAGACATGTAGCTGGTGAGTGGCTAGTATCCGGCATTTATTTGCGAGCAGCCCGCAAATGGCCGAGTCCATGATATGCCGACCAACATGTGCATCAACCGCAGATAACGGATCATCCATTAGAACGATATCGGCATTGAAATATATGGCGCGGGCGATGTTAATGCGTTGTTTCTGACCGCCTGATACCGTGATGCCACGCTCGCCAATCTCAGTTTTGTCTCCGTTGGGGAGCATGGCAAAGTCGGTGCGGAGGGCGCACGCCTCGGTGACTGCATCGTACCATTCGCGGTCGAATTCTTTGCCGAATGTGATGTTATCCCTCACTGTTGCATTTTGGATCCAGGCGTATTGCGGGCAGAAGGCTCTTGACGCCCCGAAGGTAACAGAGCCAGAGATCTTCCGCATGTCACCGGCGAGGGCAGCCAGGAGTGAGGTCTTCCCGGAACCAACACTGCCTATGACTCCGATCAACTCGGAGCGGCCAGCTGTGAGTGTGAGACTGGGCAGATTGAACGGCTCAGAGAGTGTGATGGAGTCCGGAGTTCGGGCCCCTTCGTCTGTTCCTTGGGTTTGTGTCTTCTCCCAAGTGAATGTGGCGTCTTCGACGACAACGGCATTTTCGTTGCCCGGGTCTTGGTCTGCGTCTTCTGATGCTTCTTCGGCCAGCAAGAATTCTTGTATACGTTTGATTGATGCAAAGCCATCAATGGTATTGCCAACGACCATGGGGAACACTGCGGAGATTCCAGTCAGCTATGAATGCGCCTTACCAGCGAGAAAGGGATAGGGGGAAAGGTCTCACTGTTGAGTGGCATCCGGAGACCATTGAACAAAGCAAGGGAGGAGAAAATGGGTGCCGGGCTCAAGCTGTGACTAGTCAAGGCATATGTGATGAATGAAAGCATGGATGCAAAAACGGGGATGGCCATGGCCAACGCCTGGATGGCATCACGGATGGCGAGCAGGATCTGAATCGACCGGATCTCACGTTTCCGTATGGCCTGGACGCGCTCCAAGAAGCTGGTCTCCCACCCAAAGAATTTGACGAACCGAATGGATTGCAAGATCTCGGAAGTCAGGCTGACCCGCTGATCAGTGATCTTGTTGATGGCGAAGCGCCTCTTGAAGAGTGCCCGAATGGCCGCCGTCAAGGCGGGTGTGCAAAGAAACAGCAAGCCCAATCCCGGCAGGGCGCTGTAATTCAGATTAATAAGAAGAAGAACCATAGTAATGGTAATGGACAGGGGAGATCCCCAGAGCATGTGGATCATGCCAGACGCCTGGTCGATACGATATGTATCGGTTGACATCAGGTTGACAATTCTGCCGTTGCTCCATCCGTCCGTATCATTGCCGATTGTCGACAATGGTTTCTCCTTTTTGTCCTTGGCACCTTTCCCTTTCGGGAGGCTCTTCTGGTACCACTTCTTTTCATCGTCACTTCCTGGCTTCACGCTGCTCGGCGGTGGCAGGATGTAGCCTCCGGCCTTTGCCCGACCGGAGATCCTGAGTGATTTCGCAAATATCAGTGACATCAGCACCGCGCGAGCCTCACCGCCCACCGTCATGCCCCAGTAAATGAAGTGGTTGATGGAGAAGGTCATCATGACCTGCAGGGCAGTGATGATAACGACAAGACCAACGCCATAGCCGATGTTTGGCCCACGGCCACCGGTTTCCTTGGCATTGAAAGCTTCTGTGGCGAACGAGATAAGGAATCTCAGGAGAAAAGGCGATATGGTCTGTGCAATTGTGCTCATCAACTGGCAGAATGCACCGAGCAGGAACTCCTTCTTGAAAGTCCTCACGAGGGCAACCAGTAGCGGCCTTTTGCTCCCAGCGGCGACGCGCTTCTGGAATTCGACATTGAACCTTTGTTCGAGAACGTTCAAGCTTCGTTCTGGATTCACGAGCCAAATGTCGTTTGGTTCCAGTGGTCGCTGGTACCCGACCTGTAGTAAAGCTTAATTAGACATTCTACCAGAAGCGAATAATCAACAGTGATTGAGAAGAGTTGACTGCAAAAAGAGACGGCGGCTGCTTACACGCATAAGAGGAGTGACCCAGTGGAACACGAGCTTGCTCAAGAAGTTGGCCGTGTGTTCACCAGATGGTTGCCGTTCATCTGGTACGGGCGGGATCGTGCTGCTCTTCAGCGGGTTCAGACGACGGGACCAAGGAATGCGGCCGCTGGGGCCATCATCCGGCCGTGGTGCTTGGCTGCTTGGCCGGTCCTCCAGGGAAGGCGAGGCAGTGCCGACGTTGGCGTTGACTTTCTCGGCCATCTTGTTCCCCTCCATGTCGTCCGGACGAGTTGAGGAATGAGCTGAGTCGGGAACCGCCGACATCTAATCATAGCACCACCAGAGGGCTGAGCGAGGCATGGATCTTACACTTCCAGTCATTCCGGAGGTGTAATTAAGCTTAAGATCGTCGATTTGCTCAATTAATAGCAGCCCTTGGCGGCGAGGATCCAGAATTTCTCGGGGTTTTCGAAGACCCCAGCTTCACCGTGCTACAGGGGAGCTGACGTGGACTTGGCTGCTCGAGGGCAGCGATCAGGCAGGCCCCACCGTCCCCTCTGCCGTGATAAGTTCCGGCTGTTACGGCAGGTGTTTCCGGCGGGCGTCTCGTGCAGGGGCGTGTCATGGCTTCGTGGAGCCGAAGCTTCTCGGATGTGGGCGGCGGGCGGTAGGCGGTGTGGGCCGTCCAGCGCTGCTTCAGGTAGCCAAGAGGAGAACAGCTCGTGCATCTTGCATATGGCAGAGGCAAGGAAAGCCCAAGCTGTGTCTCTGAAACCACTGCTTGTGTGGTTGGGGACCGACTTCCGGGCGACTGAGCGGCATGTCCAATTGACCTATTGAAACAGCGCTTGCGTGTCTGCCAAGAGGGTCTGGCCGCTGCTACATAGGCGCGTTTGTTTGCGGATCGTCCGATGGCAAACGATTATATCAGCAGCTCCATAGGATCTGCAGCTCGAGTAATTCCATGCCTGGTGCAACGACGTGCGCGAAAGTATATCTTGCGTTTCAATGGCAGTTCCTCGACGGGACTTGGACAGCCGATCCTGTGGGAAAAAAACCGGATTCTGCGTGGTCTTATTCACGCAGGTCTGGTCACCGCAAGTCGTTGCATTCTGTTGTTGCCAAAGAATAGGGGTCCTCACTTTCGCGTTCGTTCTCGTGAAGAGCATTTGTTTGGAATTCTCAAACGACACGGAAAAGCCCAACAATCCGCCGGCATCAATCGAGTCGTCCCACCGCGTCAGTCTCTTTGGTCCAGCCATTCTTGGACGGATCTGTGGGGGGGGGGGGGGGGGGTTCTTGCTGCCGTGGTTATTGAAGAACGATTCAAGTATCAACACCCTCAACAGTGGCCTTGTATCGAGGGCTGTTTCAACGCCTCCCGGTGACGAATATCACGGCGGAGGCGCATGAACCTGGTGTATTCATCCTTCTTCTGACTCCAGGGGTCTGCCGATCTTGTATCCATTGATCTGCATCACTGGCAGCGGTGCTGCTTAGAAATCCCCAGGTGAGCAGAGGCTTGTTTTGAAAATGTAGCGGCTCGCTTTGGTAATTGTGGGACACCACTGTCCCTGCAAGAACCAGCAATCGTGTGGTCCATATTTGATCTGTGACCAGTGACAGATATACGGTCGCATATTCGTATGTGGCAGCGTGTTTATTGGGAGGGTGCCGGGGGGATGAGACTATTATCGTAGCAGCACATGCTTGGCATCCTGATACATGCATCGAGGCCGCTCGAGTAGATTGGAATCATGTCTTACAGTTCTCACGGGAGTAGGACAAAAGGTGTCAAGGTCAACGACGAAGACTAGCATGCAACTTTTGCTTCCCATTTCCTATAGTTGTTGACATTTCGTTCGAACCTCTATCACTAGCCGCCGGCGGCACTTCCCATCTCTTCCTGGTCTCCAGATTGATTCTGAGAGCTTTTTCTTGTCTGTTTCTTTTTGTTTGTTGTCTTTCCCTGCATCTGTTCTCCGTTTCTTCTATTGAAAACCACCAGAAACAAAAATTCAAAATTCAAAATCAAAAATCAAAAAGGAAAGAAAAGAAAAGAAAAAAGAAAAACATCGCGTGCAGTGCGTCGCGACCATGGAGAACCGGAACTCGCTTGTGGCTATGGCCAAGCGAAATTCGGCATACCTCGTGCCTATGAACATTATAGATCCTCGAGCCTCGTGGACTGGTCACCATGGCCAGCCGGGGCAGCCGCCCGCCCCTACGTACCCATCGAGCAACGTACGACGTATCGAAGAAGATGAACTGTCGCTCACTAGAGCCGAAACGAACGATTCGCTCAAGGACGACCTGAAGGTTGAAGAGAAAGAGGATGTCGTACTGGGAAGTACGGAAATCTTCGACAAAGACGGCAACATTAGGCTGGTCCCTACGCCGACGCCCGATCCGAAAGACCCTCTGAACCTCAAAGAATGGCGAAAATGGCTCGCGGTCGCTTCCATGTGCTTCTTTGGCTCTATCTCGCTGGCGGCAGAGATCGCCATCGCCGGCTTGACCCCGGTCTTCCTCCTCGAGTACTCCGGCGTTGATCCCGCTTCGACTCTGAAACATGCCGACCTCAAAGGCAACCCGGACCCTCTGGCCGTTATCCCTCCTGGTGTACAGCCTGTCTCACTCGCCCAGGTGTCTCTTCTGGCCACGATTCCTCTTCTCAGTAACGGCTTCGCAACATACTTGCTGGTCCCATTGTCCACAGCCATCGGCAGGCGGCCAGTCCTCATCTTGACGTCTACACTATCTTGGGCTTCGGGCTTTTGGGCGGGTGCTAGCACGTCACTGACCAGCCATATTGCTGCACGGGTTTTCCACGGCCTCGGATCAGGGGCTGTGGAGGCCTTGCTTCCCCTGATTGTGCAGGATATAATGTTTATCCACCAACGCAACAAAGCCGTTGCCGCTATCATTGCAGCTCAGGTAAAAATAACATCCATTGTCTGACAACACAAGCAATCTGACTGATGGTTGCTAACGGGCACAGGGTCCAATGATCATCACTTTCGGAATTTTGGCGCCCTGGATCTCAGTTAACTACACTTGGCGCTGGGTGTATTACATCACATCTGCTATTGGCATATTTGCGTGGTTCACCTTGATCGCCTTCGTACCCGAATCCAGGAGGCAGCGGACCAAGGCAGAGCTTGGTGGGTCCCACACTTCAAGTTCCGTAGCCGGAGACAGCCTGTTGACATCCCATCGCAGCTGGTCAGCAGCTCTGGCCGGTCGAGCCGGGCGAGAGCCGTACAAAGCTGGACTATGTTGCCTATGGTCGCCGCACGAAGTGGGATGACATTGGCTTCTTCCAGTATGGGTATGAATGGAAAGAGGGTGCCAGCCAAATTCTCGCCACAGCCAAGACTACATTCTTCCCGGCTGTAATATTTTGCACCTTGTTACAGACCGCATTTGGCATCGTGATGGGCGCCAGTGGACAGGCTGTCTCGTTCGCTCTTCTTGCTGCTGGGTTCGTCATAGCACCAACCTCCCCTGCTCGATACCAAGGTACGACTACTGTTGCTGACTCTAGTCCAATGACAGAATACCGTTCGAGCTGACCGGTCTGAGCAACCTCACTCAGATCGTGTCCACCATTGCCGTCTTCGTCATCGGTGGTGCTCTTTCTGACAAGGTGACATTGTGGATATCAAAGCGCCGTGGATCTCGCGAGCCCGAGTACCAGCTCATCAACCTCATCACCCCGATCGTCTTTGCCATAATTGGTGCTATAGTGTTTGGCTACGCAGACCAGTTCCACCTCCACTACATGGTCCTGCTTCTTGGACAATTCTTTCTCATGACTTCCCCACTCATGGCCGCGCCAATCATAAACAACTATGTCATAGAGTCATATCCGCAGTGGGCAGGGTACGTGTCTTTGGGGTCCCTCCGGTGTGCATTATGATGCTGACGCGTGCCTGGTTTCAGCGCTGTCTTGACGAACGTCTCTGTGCTCCGCATATTTACCTCTTTTTACTTCAACACACAAGTGACAACTTGGATATCTCAACTTGGTAAGTATCATATTTGTTTTCAAAATAAAATTTTATGCGGATCGCTTACAAAAACCACACAGGCCCCCTCAAGTTTATGTCGTACATCGCCGTGGCTTTACTGGTTGTGTCATCCGGTATCCCGCTCCTTTTCGTCTACGGGAAGAAGCTTCGGAGCCTCACAAGTGGCAAGGTCAAGAAGGCAAGAAAGGGTGGTTCGAAATGGCAAGATTAAAGAAGACGAACATTCGCGGGGCTCAAGTCGGAGGCTCAAGCCAATCAGAGCGCATCATCCCCTGCCAACCCGCCCACCCTGCCGTCACATGCAATTCGCACACCCAATGTGCACGCCCAATTCACATGCCTAATTTATGTTGCATACCTATTTAGTTATGAGCATATGAAGTCATCCTAAGTGTGTGAGATGGGTGTGCAAATTGGATGTGACGGCAGGGTGGGCGTAATTGGGGCACCAGGGGTTGCGTGTATTAATTGGATTACAGAAACCTACTTCCCGTTGACATCTGGTCGTGATAAGCCCTACTATTCATTACTATCGGCTTAGGTGTGCATCCCCATGCAGGCGGGCGAGCGGCAATGTATTACCCAGCGGAAGGGATTAGGCGACCACCTTATGCCATCCCCCCTTTGGGCGAAATACCAGAATGAGCTTGACGGGCCCGACTTGCTTTCACGATTGCCAGCGCTCGGATCTGTACGAAAAGTCCTGGGCTAGGACAAGAAGAACGCTGCTCGAAATGCCCGGAGGCTACCCTCCAGTTTGTTTGAAGAACACCGTCGGGGGCTTCATCGGGTTTATCATTATGACAGACTATGAATGAAACCCGAGGCAAGGGCTTTTGCTCTACTCTCATTCGAGGGAACATTAGGTTTGTTGAAGTAAATATACATGAAAGTCTTCTGTGGACGAGAACTCCTGAGGGTAGCACGCGGTGCACAGCTAGCACTTGGAGTCGTCACCGGCCTCATCCTCCCTACAGCTTGCCAAAGCCAGCATTTGCCTTGACCTTTTCGCGAAGCTTCTCGTCGGCGGGCTCGGCAACGGCATAGTTGCTGTGCTCCTTCCAGGCGGGGACATCGAGGGTGGCGGGCTTGGAGGCGTTGAAGGCGCCGCTCTGGAGCAGCGTGTTGGGGACGCAGGAGCGACCGATGGCCTTTGTGCAGAGGCTATCGTCAACGTTGCCCTGGGGCGTGTAGACCAGACCGACCCCGTGGGTGTCGTCGAGCACGATGCTCGTGTTGTAGACAAAGTTGCCCTCGGCGAGAACGACACCCCCAGTCAGGACCTCAAAGGCGTGGGCCTCAGACGAGACGGCCTCCCAGACGTTGTTGACGACGTGGGTCAGCGAGACACTGGTCTCCTTCTTGTCTCCGACTTGTGGAGCGCGGCCGGAGAAGTGGTCCATGTAGTTGTTGATGAATGTGATGGAGTCGTCCTGTCCCGAGAACTTGGAGCCCCTGTGGTTTTGTCGCATCATGCATTAGCAAATTGCGAAAACGCCGTAGAGGCTTACATGCAGAGCCTGAGTTGACAAGAACGCCGCGATGGAATGGGACTTACCAGTAATGCGAAGTGCTACTTTCTGTTCCGCACTTGGAGCTATACTCGGTGAAGCCGTCGAAGTGGACGCTGCTGATGGTAATGTTCTGGTTGCTGCCCTCGTGGACGACTACCATCTGGCGACCGATGCGGCTGATCGTGAGGTGGTCGAGCCAGATGTTGTTAGACCCCCAGACATCAAGCCCGTCACCTCCCCAAACGTACTGCTCGTTGATTTTCTCGAACTTGACGTTCTGGATGATGATGTTCTCCACACCCGTCATACGGATGCTGCGACCCACAACGATGCCCTTGTCGCCCTCGCCAATGATTGTCTTGTGAGAACGGATCCAGAGAGGGCTAATACCAGCCTTGTTGAACTCCAGGCCCTGCACCTTGGGAGCGTCGGGCTTCTCGCGGTTGCACCAGTCACCACCGAGGCCCAGGGCAACCTGGCACTTATCCTCCAACTCGCCCCAAGGCTTGCAGCCGTCAATGACACCAGTCCCCATCGCGGTGGTGTAGTCGAAAGTCTTGTCGAGGACGATGACCCGGGGCTCCGGGTCCTGCAGCAGGTCGCTGAGCTCGTTGACGTCCTTGGGCCGGACCGGCTCGGCATCGCCGCCGCCGGTGACGTCCGAGGCGAAACCCACGGGCTTGCCACTAACGAGGGGGCTCAGCTTGGCCGGCTTGGGTCCGGCGGGCTTCGGCTCTGCCGGGGCGTCCGGGTCGGTCACGGGCCAGCACTGGCTGTAATAGTCGTTGTGGAATGTGCAGGTGACATCGATTCCCTGGCTACAGGCGGTCGGCCCGTAGTGACCAATACCTCCGCATCTCTCGTAGGCGTTGAGCACACCTTTGGGGGTGACGGTGAAGTTCTTGTTTGTGAAAGCTGTCTCCGCGTTCCAATCAGCCCAGGGGTCACTGGAATTCGCGGCTCGGATCGACGTGTAGCCGGCGGACGCAACCCCGGCAACTCCCAGAACGCTGATGGCGTGCATTTTGTAAAGAGTGAATACGACGAACCTACGTCGTCTGAGAAATGAATGTAACGTGTGCTTCCGAAAGATGGACAAACCAAGGACAAGCTCCCCTGCACAGGTACCCAGGTGATCATAAATACATCAAAGAATAGCGCGACTAAGTTGGAGCTTGGAAAGACCCCATACATGGAGCAGCCACCAAACTCCGTAGATAGATTACATCTTGGCAGGCTTTCCACAGTGGAGTGCAACTATCCCGCCATGACTCAGCCTTGCGGTATTGAGTGCCTATTCCCAGACTGCGGAGACAATTTATCTGACGTTGTAATTGCTAATTAAAGCTTATTCCAGCCTCTGGAAAGACCTGGGGATATGTTTCGTTCTCGGCGACCTACTACATGAACCGGTTGAAGTTGGCTTGAGCTTACTCGTGTATTCCGTTGTTTCCTGGTTGGTTGAAAACGAGACTATCGTATCACTTTACATCAAACCCGGCGTATCCGAGCGAAGTCATGATGCGGACGGGTGATCTGCAAAACGGACTCGACTCATCACCGTAGCCCCTCCACATGATCGCTCCTAAGTTTAAACCATCTGATGAACGCAACACGACTGCGAACAACTCCTCTACACCGTTGTATACGTGTCATGTTAACTTTGCCCTGGGCCTCTGCCCTCATCCTCGAGTCTTGGCAAAATAAACAGACTAATTTCACCTCAAGGCCCGCCATCAGGCCACATTGTCCGAGTCCTGTGTAATGACGGTGTGGCACGCTTAAAAGGGGCCGCCATGGGTCGCGTCGGGCGTTGAAAATAGCTGCATTGCAGCAGCTTCCTGGATCCGGCAGTCGGTGAGTTCACTTACTGGAAAGTCACCTTTTCGGACCCGACCTACGCAGTCTCTCGCTCGAGAAGTTCTTACCAAGCCTGTTCGCCGAGGCTACGGGGTCTCCAGTTTTATTACATGGGTGTGAGATTTATCCTGGGTGTTTCAAGTTACTCCAGGTGCGCCTCAATATAACACATCATGTCGGTCTTTTTCCCCAAAATTAAAATCAATCAGCCCCAATTGACAATGACATATCTGCCCCCTTCACAGAACAACCCTTCAGACATGTTGCAACTGAGGTTCTACACCGCCAAGTCATCTGCGATCCTGCATATGTATGATGAATGCCACGGATGAACTGTATAGGACGTGATTTACAGCATTGATTTGGTATGAATTAGACCGTTAAGCCACCTGTGTAGAAATTACCAATGCAACGAGAACAGAGAGAGCAATCTATAGATGCATCAACCGAGCCCGAACCCCTGGCCCGCGCCTGTCGACAATGTCTACTTGCTGCAGCTTTCGAAATTGAAGTCGGGAGTCTTTCCTTATCCTAGAACCGCATGAAGACACCTGGCCACTGCCTTGACCGCTCCCATCCATGGCTTCCATCAATGGCAAAAAAATGTGCAACGAGCCCCTTTCCGACAGATTCGTCTAGCTTGTGGAAGGGCCAGGGCAGACAGCAGCAAGGGCCTGCTGTCTGCAGTTCTGACCACCATGTTGCCAGCACTGGGACTGGATGCCGTTGACACTGAAGAAAGTGCTCTCGTAGCACTGCTCAACATATGAAGAGCCAATGCACCGGTACAGGCACTGCGGGCAGCTGTCCGCGTAGCTACCGGCTTCTGACTCGCAGATGGCCAAGTAGTCTGGGGTCGCTGTGGGTGCTGCGGCGGTGGTGGATGTAGCCAAGGTTGTGCTGGCACTCTGTTGTCGAAGAGCAGTCTTGGTTAGTGGGGTGCCAATGCAGAAGTGGCAGCTGGGGTTTGTCAGCTGGACAGGGACGGTCTGCGTACCTGGGCCATACCAAGGGCTGGCAGAGCCAAACTCAGAAGTGAGGTGAAACGCATCGTGGCAATTGTTGGGCTGAGGAGAACCGGCGGTATCAACGACTGTCAACGGCGAGGGCTGTGATGGTTTGCACCAAGCCATCCACTCCATTGTGCGGATGTCGGCAATTTATATACACATCTTCGCCCGCTTCCCCCTTCTCGTGCCTGGTCTGAATAGGACCTCATGGACTGGGAGCCTATTTTGCCCCTGGAGATCTGCCTACGTCCAGGCAGTGTGGTCGAATCGGCATTCGCGAGGTTGGAGCCAAGCTTTTGCGAAGGATTTCTAGCGTGCGGTAGGAATCAGCGCAATTTCCGGGCTCTCATGCTCGCCGTTGTTAGGCAGGTTGCAGTAGGCTGCAGCAGGCAGAAATGCCATACTGACTAATCCGCTAATAGATCATTCAAGTTATCCAGAGCAAGTCTAGAACGTCGAAGGCTTTCTTATTTCAAAATCGTTTGCACCTCTTGTGCCGACACATTCAGCAGAGCAACAAATATTCAAATGGGATCACGGTCCAACCATGTAAGAATCTTCTCCGAAAAGAAAACTTCAAATGAAGGATATAGATGTTCATTTGGCGCAGAATTTCACCAAATTCACGGGGGTCTAGCTCAGTGGTAGAGCGTCCGCTTTGCATTCACTTAAACATGTGATGGTGCGCGTGCGGAAGGTCAGGTGTTCAATCCATCTGTCCTCCATTTTTCGTTTTTGCAACAGCAGGATTTGGTGACCTAGATGGGGCCTCCCATTTTGACCCACTTCCTACTGTGCAACCGAGGTTAGCGTGCGGCCTAGAATCCGCTCCCTCTTGTATGCGTGTAGATCAGATGAAATACTATCTAGCTCGCCTGTTCGCATATGAGCTTCCCGCGTTCTGGCCCCGGCTTTTGCTCACCACCTTGCACGAAAATGGGCTACCGACCGAGAGCCGGGCCGATAAGGGGTAACGCCGGGCACGAATTGCCAGTGAGTTCACTTACTATGTGCTTAGTCTCTAACCCTAGATTCACCATGAATGCTTTCAAGGTCACCCGAGTACCCTGACCACATATGCAAATAGCAGTTAATAATTCACAAATCGTCGTCACCGTTCTCCAGCACTTGAATTATTCCCCGACACAGCAGGGCATTAGGGCATGTCTCTTTGCCGCTTGACTCCCTTCGAGACGCTAAGAGGCTTGTACACTTGGGTGGAAGCAAAACGCTTTCTTGTTCAGACATGGCATTACAGGACGCAAAAGCTTTACGGTTTCCTAGGATCGTTCTTTAGTACCAGGTTGTGGGTCTGTGCAAGGAATTGGAACAAGTGGTAAGTGCATCAATGATGGCAGCAATCCCAGTAACTCGGCCATTCCCAATCGAAACTGGGTAACGAATACTTGGCCACAGCCTTCGGGGAGAGCACAACTTCACAGCGCTACAATTTTGACGGCCTCCTCTGCGCTGCCTTCGTGTCCTGCCTGAACGCCAGGTCCCCAAGAATCTCCTCGGACCCCCCTCCGACCACCATCATTCGCAGATCACGCGTGATCTGCTCGATCCGACCTCCTCCGCCGGGGCCGTTTCTCTGGTACGCAACGCCGCCCATGACCTGCTGGGCCTCCCTCGCAGCCAGCTCCAGCATCCTGCCCCCGGCCACCTTTGCCAGGGCGATGCGCCCCGCGACGTCGTCGCTTTGCCACCCGTGTATCTGTATGTGGTACGCGATCTGTTCCAGCCATGCCCAATGCGACTCGACCTCCCTGGCGAGCGTGATGACCTTGTGGCGGATGATCTGGTGGTAGACAAGGGGCTTGCCGAAGGTCTCGCGGGTGTGTGCGTACTGCAGCGCCGTGCTCAGGCAAGTCCGAGTCTTGCGGTTGCAGACGATGGCCATGAGGAACCGCTCCTTGTTGAAATTGGTCATGATGTACTTGAACCCCGCATTCTCCTGCCCGAGCAGGTTCTCGACCGGGACGCGGACGTTGCGCATGCGCACCCAGCTCGCCCCGCCGGCGTTCTGGCCACTGTTTTGTATCTTTTCGATCTCTACGCCCTCCGAGTGGAGGGGCACGACGAGCAGCGAGATGCCTTTGATGCCTGGCCCTCCGGTCCGAACGGCCGTTGTCATGTGTGTTGCCCACTGCGCGCCCGTGATCCACTTCTTCGTGCCCGTGACGACGTAATGACTCCCGTCTTTGGTCTTAACTGCCCTCGTCAAGATATTGCCGACATCGCTGCCGCCGCTCGGCTCCGTGATCCCCAGGCAGAAACTCGTTTCCCGCGTGAACAGCCCGGGCAACCACCGCCGCCTCTGCTCCTCGGTCCCGTGGTTGAGAATGGGCGGTGTGCCGATGGCGTATGCCCCCGCCAGCGCGATGCCGACGCCCCCTTCTATACGGGCTCCCTCATCGGTGAGAACCATGAAGTGGAAGACGTCGAATTCGTCAGCTGGTATGCCGGCTGCCGACTCGAATCCACGCGGCCGGTACTGGGCGGGTATGTTGGCGAAGGGCAGTCCGGAATTGACAAAATCTGCCTTTGCCGCATCTGGACAGTCGCCGTCTTGCTCCCACTTCAGGTTATGAGGGAGGATGTTCTGGTCGATGTAATTCCTGGCGTAGGCTTGGAGCTTCCTGTGAGATTCGTTGTAGTAAGGCGACTCCAGGGATGTCAGCCAGGCGGGTTCTGCCCAGGGCAGTTGGGGGGCACAGTCGTCCTCGTTCGACATGATGGCGTTGGCTAGGCTTTTTCTTGGTTCCAATTCGACATCGCCCGTTGCATTGAATCTGCACAAGTTCGATTTTGCTCACAATTAGGAAGTCGAGGTGTGTTTTTGGGAGGTTGCGTGTGTTCTGGGTTTCATCTCTCACTGTATCACACTCGCCGTTTTGGAGATGCCGAGGTCAAAGACGGCTGCATCGGACGTTCTGTATTGTTGCCCCGCATCCTCGTGCACAGCACCACCAATGGACCACTTGCTACCTGGACTACTCCTCCAACAGTCACCGCGTAAGCCTGCTCACAGACAATGGGGTAGCAATGGGAGTGACAGATGTGCACCTCCTGCCTCTGTGTAAGCACTACTTTTATTAAGTCTCACGAAGGATCTTCAGTCATCGTTCATGAATCGTTGAAGCCATTGTGTACGGCCGATGAAGCTTCGAATCCTCTTGCCGAAAATCCTGGATTTCAATGTCAGCATTGGCAAATTCGAGACAGACCGCCTGGAGTTCTGGACTCGGTTGAATGTGTTCCGTGCTTCCAGACTTACCATAGCGGGATAGTCAACGAGCAAACAAAGAGGAACAAGCCCCCCAGGATACAAAATACGTTCAAGGCTCCCTGCTCCGCCAACCAGTCGTTGACAAAATATGTCAGTCCAAATGTTAGCAAATTTCTTGAGTTGATTGCCACAAAAGCCTCTTCGTTATGTCTTCGGTAGGAATCGATGATGTATCCAAATACACAAGTGGCTGCAAAAACGAGGCTCATATTGGCGAGTCCAAAGCAGAGCACCGGGCCGGTCCAGTGCGTCTGGTAGTGGATGGTGGCCCCAAAGCCAAAGAAGCCCACAGTCCCCAAGATTACTGCAACGAGGATGAGCGGCAGGCGGAATTCCGGCTCGTAGAGCCCTTTGTTCCTTTTCGTAAGGTAGATGCAAATCCAATCGTTGACCGGTCCTGATATGACCTCGCCCAGAATGGTCATGATGAATGGGGACAGACTGATGAGGCCTGTTTGGCTGACTGTGAAGTTGTACGGCGGCGAGACAAATATTACCCCGTTTACTACCGAGAAGACAACGATCCAGGTGATGGTCGTCCCTGTTACTAGTTGTCAGCAGTGGTTTGCTTAACACAGGTAAATACGGACATCAGACGTACCGTAGATTAAGAATGCCCAGAGTACAGCGGGATAAAACCACATCACCACTGGTCTAAGGAAAATCTTCCATGCCGGAGCATCGCTGTATCTTCCGGTAAAGACGCGCAGAGACTGGATGTAGGTATGCTTTCTCTCGTCGTCGTGGCTCCCAACCCCAAGGACGGCCGCCTCCTGCTCATGGTGAGCTGCATGCTCGTGGCCCAACTTCAAGTGCGGCCCTTTCTCGTCCGTCTCGACGACTGGTACGACTGAATCCCGCCGATAAGCAGTCTCCGGGACAAAGAAGACGACACCAATCATCAAGATTCCGAAGAAGATGGCGCACACGCCAAACGTCCACCGATATCCATCCAGCTCAATGATGTACCCGGCAATCAAGGCACCGCCGCTGATTCCTGTGAGGAGGAACAGGTTCCAGACTGCGATTCGTGTCGCACGCTCATGGACAAAGTACAGATCACCTATGGTGCACTGGACCAGGATCTCGTAAGGGGCCATCCCGATGCCTGCCACGATTCGACTGGCCAGGAACGAGCTGTAATCCGAAACCGCCGCGCCCCAGACGCTTGTCGCAAACATGATGCATATGGCGATTATGTACACCGGCCGACGCCCGATGATCTTCGCGAGCGGGTTGGTGATGAAGAGGCTCAAGCCGATGGTGAGAATCAGCCAAGCCGTGGCCTGCGAGAGGATCTCAACCGTGATTCCAAGGTCGGAGGAGACCTGGACAAAACCGGGGGAGAGCATGGGTCCGTAGGCGCCGACTACGGCGGCCGAGAGTCCGACAATGAGGAGGATCATTTCTTTCTTCCATTGTGGCCAGTTGAGCGGGTCGTTGGGGCTGTTAGAGGGCTGAGGCACGAGGATGACATCCTTGAACCGCCCTCTTCCATGCTTAAGAAGCTCTCTGGGGATGTTTGAATACTCGGGAGGCAGGTCGTCCTGGTCGCTCATAAAAGCTGCCGACCATTAGGCTCCCATAACCGCCATAGTACGCGTCTCATATTGCAATGCTTTGGACTCACCTGTCCCGGGGACGACCTCCATCTTCTTGCACTCCAGTATCCCGAACGGCATCGTGCAAAGTCTACGTGAGCGCGCAATCGAGTGAGCGGCTAGAGCTGGCAGAAGGCAGAGAAAGTGACACGGGAAAGCAGCGATGCGGTTGCTGACTGTAAGGTCGGCAGGTTCAGCCCAAATCTACATATGTAGTTACACGAATTTGCCCCTAAATGCGTCACGTTGCATTCACCGGGCTGGGTGGCTACCCCATGTTTTGATCTCATACAACTAATGGATGGATTCGCTCGAAGCGTCCAGTATTTTGGGTAGAGGAGCCCGTGTGTCAGATCAGGTTCACCAATTAGCACAGAGGTTGAGCCAAGGGTACCGGTTTTCTGGTGGCTCCGTACCAAGCACTTGAGGTAGGTCGGACGGGGAGCCGTCCGCCCTTGTCGTTGACACACCTTAGTATTCTGCGGGGTAAAAGGCGTCTCCCTCGGTAGATGATCTAGATGCCCCGGCCGGAACAGCTGCGACATCATCCCCGTCATCCGCATCTCTCTGGATAAATGGTCAAGGTGGTGAAACTTTGATCCCAATCTGCATGGGATGAGGCAAATGGACATGTTGTGCAGCCATCTCTTGCGGAACTATCTTTGTCGTTATAGTTTATAAAAGTTTCATTGACATTGAATTAACCACCACGAAAATACATACCACACGAGCAGATTCCAGGCCCTAGAAAGAAAAAAACTCAAGATGGTGTCCTACCCCAGACTGCCCAGCTCCGGCATCAAGGTGATCGTCGTCGGAGCCGGTTTCGCAGGACTGACTGCGGCCATCGAATGCGACCGCAAAGGCCATTCCGTCACCGTCTTTGAAAGGGTCTCCGACCTCAAACCCCTCGGGGACATCATCAGCTTCGGCCAAAACGCCTCGCGGATATTTGCAAAGTGGCCAGGGGTCATGGAGAAGACGGAGCCGATCATACACAAGAGCGACGGCATAAACTACCACAACTGGGAAGGCAAGTTCGTCACGTCGCAGTCGTTTGCGCCGGAGAAGAAATGGGGGCCGCAGGATAAACGGGCACCGGGGGGAGCTGCACAAGATCTTGTACCATCATGCGCTGGACCGGGGCATAGATGTGAGGCTTGGCCAGAGCATCACGGATTACTTCGAGGACGGTGAAAAGGCCGGGATTGAGGCCAACGGCGTCAAGCACACGGCTGATGTTGTCTTGGCCGCGGAGGGTGTGAAGTCGAGAGGGCGGATGATAGTGCTGGGATTCGACGACAAGCCCCAGCCCTCTGGGTACGCCGTCTACCGAGCATGGTTCTCCACGGAAAAGCTGAAGCAGAACGACTTGACCAAGCACCTCGTGCAGTCAGATAGCCACAACGCATACATTGGCCAGGACATTCACTTCATCGCAGCGGCGATCAAGGACGGCGAGGAGATGAGCTGGGTGTGCACGCACAAGGACGAGGCAGGAATCGAAGAGAGCTGGCAGTTTCCCGGAAAAGTCGAAGACGTCCTGAAGGTCCTGGGCGGTTGGGCACCCGTGGTCCAGGAGCTTGTCAAGGCAACGCCGCACGACCGTCTGTTCGACTATAAACTCGTCTACCGAGACCCACTTCCAACATTCGTCTCTCCTCAGCGTCGGATTGCCCTGATTGGTGACGCTGCACACCCCTTCTTGCCGACTTCTATCCAGGGAGCAAGTCAAGCCATGGAAGACGGTGTAACCTTGGCAGCTTGCCTCGACATGGCCGGCAAGGAGAAGGTGACGGAGGCAATGCGGGTGTATGAGAGGATAAGGTACGAGCGTGTTCACAAGATACAGGCGACTGGTGTCACTACGCGAGATAAATGGCACAAGGCGGACTGGGACCTGATCTGGCAGGATCCGACTCTGCTGCATCTGAAGCGCGAAGAGTGGATACTCAATTTCGATGTCGAGAAAAACGCCTACTCGGAGTATGAGAATGTGCGGAAGTCTCTGGATAACACAATTGAAGGTAAATATGGGAGTTAAGGCTTAGAGATGCTTGCACACTGTGGCCAGCATTGCCTAGAAAAAACAAGGTTTGCAGACGTTCCTGTGTTATTTCAGTTGCTGACTACCTAAAGAGGGTCTAACGAAGCTTATAGTACTCTAGAAAAATGTTATAATTCCCGCCAAGTAGTATGATTCAATGAAAGTGACATCAACATTTCCTTCGCAATGTTCCCCAGACGGTGAAAGATTGGTGGACCAGCATGAAGAGGTCGCTACTCGGGCATGTGGCATTCCTGATTGCCTTTCAATCCAATGTTGAGCTTTTAGCTCAGATTCTCGCGTATGTGTGCCGCAAGCTCCGCAGAGAATGGCTCACGCTGTAAAAAACCAGAAGTCAGTAAATCTTGCATCCAAATCGCAGTATTCAGTGGCAGATACTTACCATCATTGAGAAGTGGTGCGCATTCTCGACCCGTCTGATCCTGATCTCACTGCTCGGCAACAGTGTGTCCCACCCGTTGGCCCCGAAATCAGTTCGCCGCTCGGTGAGGAACTTCATGCCCTCCGTGTCGTCGGGGTGAGGCTCGAGCTTCTTCACACCGGGTCGGTCCGTGATGGTGTCCGGGGCCCAGATGATGGACACCTTCTTGGGGCACTTTTCGCGGCCCAGCGGCTTCGCGTGGTACTCATGCAGCACGTCGATGGACGCGTTGAAGTGGGAGATGAGCTTGTCATGCTCCGCGTCCGAGAACGTGTGCGTGTGTTGCCTCGAGCTGGCGGGCTTGCCATGCTGGCCGCCTCCGAACAGGTGCAAGGACCTGCAGAAGTCGTAGAAGTGCTTCGGGAGTGGGTCCAGGCCGGTAGTTGGTGTTGGCGAGTCGATCAGTGTCAGGCTGGCGACTTGCTCGCCTTGTGCTCCTAGTATTTGCGCCGTTCGATACGCTAGGACTCCACCGGCGGACCAACCGCCGAGATGGTATGGCCCAGAGGGCTGCCGGCGACGGAGTTCCGCCAGGTAGACGGAGATCAGGTGGTCTAGGGGACAAACTCGCAATGACTCTGGGTCCTTGAGGAAGGGCGAGTTGAGGGCCACGACGCAAGTATCGGTAGCGATGCGAGGTATGCCGGCGTACGAGGTGGCAGATCCTGAACCATCTGGGAAGAGAAATATGGTCTTGGTGCAGGTGCGTTGTGAGCCCTGGATAATAAGCGACGTGCACTTGGCGTTTGCAACGGCGTCTGGTAGAGGAGTGAGGTCTTCAGCCTTGACTTCGACCAACTCATCGTCTTCCTCCGGGTCGCTAGCAGGGCTGGAAGGGGTGATGCTGCTGTCACTTGGAGACGCAGTCTGGTCAGATGAGCCCTGGTCTGATGGTGTTGACTGACCGCCCAGCAGGAATGCTTTCAAATCGGCGACGGTGGGACACTCCATCAGCAAGGATTCATGGTCGACGTCGATTTCGAGCTCTTCACGGAACCTGCTGACGATGACAAGAGACAGGAGCGAGTCAATACCGCTGTCCGTAAAGTGAGTGTCATCAGTGAGATCCGCCTCAGCCACTCCGCTCTCCTCAGACACGATTTGAAGAGCACGTCCGACAATATTGGGCTGCGGCGAGACAGTAGTGGACTGTTGCGGGACGGCAGGGGCTTGCTGCGCAGGATCATTGTAAGCCTCCTTCACCTGGCTGCCCAAGTCCTGCGTCGAACTTGGAAGCGTTTCCTGCGCATCTCCCTTGAAGAGCTTCTTGAGGTCACCGATTGAGGGGTATTCCATCACCATTGAGGTGGAGTCAATGTCGACGTCCAATTCCTCGCGGAATCTCGCGGTGATGGTCAGCGACAGCAGGGAATCGACACCCAAGTCACCGAACAAGCTCGAGTCGGTCAGGTCAGACACGGCAATGCCGCTCTCCTCCGAGATGATTTCCAACGCAGCGGAGACCTTACTAGGCTGGGCCTGAGTTGCGGTCGCAGCAGGTGCCGGTGCGGCTGATGGAGCAGCTCTAGCTGCCGGAGCAGACGACGTGAGCTGGGGCTTCTGTGCCTTCTTGCCGCTTTCGAGAGACAGGATGACCTGGAGTACCCGTCGTGGGACACCCTGGATCTATAGAAAGAGTTAGAAATTACCGCATGGAGGGATCCTGAAACGGGTATCGAGTCTACTTACCGCAAGTTGCTGAAAGCTTGCGACGATCTTGTCACCATCAAAGACAGCGACATCTCCATGCCAGAGCCTGTCCTTGCCCTCATGCATGCGTGTATAGGTCGTGTATGCCTTTTCGAACTGGATCTCTTCATACATCTGGAACGAGCCCCACCCATGGTTCATAAAAACTTCAACGTCGAGGTCACAGCCGTCATTGCAGTTCATGACGAACCCACAGCTCTGGGTCAGCGCGTCGATGATGGCCGGGTGGGTGTGGAACCTGTCGTCCCTGTTCCGCTTGACGCTCCCAAAGCTGACCTTGCTTGAAGCTTCCAGTGTGTTGCTGTTCAGGACGACCTCATCGATTGCGCGGTAGTCGTGGTGGAACTGGGCAAGAGGGCGGATCATCCGGTAGACCATGGCTCGGTTGAACCTTGCAGTCGTCTCCGATGCGATCCCCTTTCGGAGGGCCTGCATCTTCTCCTTGATCGCAGCAGCCTCCTTCTGCAGCTTCTTCTGGTGAGATCTGTCCCGGAAGCGGATCACGCAGCGGGAATGCTCCTGCGGCTGTCCCTTGCTGTCGAATGAGACAAACTTGCAAGTAGCTTCTTTCGAAGTCCAATTTACTTCGGCTCGCGCCTGCAGTGGTTGGGGCCCCTTGGGCTTGGCTATCAACGCCTTCGATATTGTCACGTCACCAACGTCAATCACCAGCTGATCGTCACACAACTGCGGCTGATACTTCTCCGCGAGGTACTTTCCGAGGGAGAGGGCCATGTCGGCATAGACTGACGGGGTACACAGGGGAATGTTGTCGACCATGTGTCCCTGGATGAGAGGGTTCATATCGGGCCGAGTAACGTCAGCCTCGACCACAATGTTGACACTGTTGCCATCGGCCCCTGCAGTCTCGTCCACAATTTTGTGAATGGTGGTCGTGTCCAGGCGGGAGGCTCCAGACAAGATGAGTGGAGGGTCGCCCTTCCTCAGTGACCAGTCGTTGACGTATTGGATCCAGTAATCCTTGAGATCCCAGCTGTACGCGGGCAAGGGGACAACTCTGTGTGCCGAAGTGAAGTCGCGGTGGTACTCTGCCCATCGAATGTCTGCGCCCACAGAGTACATCCGCTTGAGTGAGTCGGTAAGGACTTGCCAGGGGGACTTGGACTGCTTGGCAGAGCTGGTGCGCTGGGATGTGGGCAGTGTCACCATGTGAGATCCCAGCGTTGCCTTGACCATGGCTGAGACAGCAGGGTGGGGGCCAACTTCCAGAACGACAGTCTCGCTGGTGATGACGCGTTCATCATAGGCGGTCTGAAGGCCCTTGAGCATGTTGACAGGCTCACGGCAGTGTTTGGCCAGGTACTCTGGGCTGAACCCCGTGTCTTCATCGGGTGATGAGGTGACTGTACCGCTCAATGGGCGGATAACAGGAATGCTTGGCGCAGAGAACGTTGCACCACTGGCGAGTTCACAGAACTTGTCCAGGATGGGCTCAACCTGGGAGGAGTGGAAGGCATAAGGAACCTTGAGTATCGTCGTCCTGATTCCAGACTTGGCAAGGACCTTTTCTGCCTTTTCGACTTCGGCGACAGTGCCAGCCAGGACCGTCTCGGTGGGGGAGTTGACACAGGCGAACTCGTAGTTGATGTCTTTGCCGCGGAGAGAAGCCTCGATTTCGTTTGCAGAGGCTCTGACCACGAGCATTGAGTGTGTTCCTTGTGAGCACTTCTCCTGCATCAATTCCGCTCGCTTGCCCACAAGGTAGATTGTGTCCGCATCAGATAGCACACCAGCTGCATTCAACGCGGCGAACTCGCCAAGGCTGTGGCCGACAACGGCAGATGGGAAGATATTCCAAGAGGCAAGCAGCTTGGTGAGGGCAATCTGCATGCAAATGCTTGCAAGCTGGACGGCCACGGGCGAGGACTCGAGGATGTTCTCCGACTCGTCCGCCTCGAACACGGGAACCACAGATGGGAAACCAAGAGACTGGCCGAGATGGTCCAGCCGACGGATTTCGGATCTGTAGCGAGAGAAGCTCTGGAAATACAGTCTTCCCATGCCTGCGAACTGGGCGCCTTGACCCGTGAAAGCAAAGACGGTCTTGTGAGCCTTGGGCCGGTTGGCGCCTGTCTTGTCGCGGATTGCCGCTTCGACCTGAACGCGCAGGTCGTCGATGGAGGAAGTCGCCAGCATCACACGGTGCGGGTGATGAATACGGCGTGCTGTGGTCGTATAAGATAACTCGCTGATCGACGCCTCGGGATTTTGCTGGATGAAGTGCAAGAAAGACTGCAGGTTTCCCTGAAGGGATGATGCATTCTTGGCGGAGATGGCGACGAGGTGAGTCGTTCTCGGGTCGTTGCCTCCAGAAGTCGAATCATAACCATAAGGTGCATCCTCTACCAGCAAGGCGGTATTTCCTCCAGCAGCGCTGAAGTTGTTGACAAAGACTCTTCTGGGCTGGGAAGCATTTCGCTGCCATGACACTGGACCGTCGCGGGCGATCCTGACATTGCGCTGGTCCAGATCCGTGGGAAACTTGTGGTTGATCTTGGACTTTATGCCACAATGGGGAGGGATTGTGTTCTCTCGCATCATCAGCATGATCTTGATCAGACTCGAGACGCCGGATGCTGCTTCTCCGTGCCCAATATTGGACTTGGCGCTTCCTAGGTAGAGCGACTGGTCCTCGTTCCTCACACCGACCGAAGGAGCGAAAGTTTCCAGAACGCTCTGCATCTCGGAGGCATCTCCAGCCTGTGTTCCGGTGCCGTGCATCTCAATGTAGCTGACACTTGTCGGATCGACAGCATCTTGCGAGCTGTTCAGGATCTTGTTGAACATCGCCCTTTGGGCACCAGAGTGCGGGCGGGTGATAGACTCCGCCTCAGCTGAGTGGTTTGTGTAAGCCCCGAGGATCATGCCAAGAATGGGGTCTTTGTCTGCCACGGCGTCTTCAAGACGCTTGAGAATAACAGTCCCGACGCCCTCACCACGGCAGTATCCGTCTGCTGCATCGTCGAATGTCTTGCAGTTGCCAGTTCGGGAGAGGAAGTAGCCGCGATCCAATCCAGCTGTAAAATCTGGATTTGTCAGGACATTCGTACCGCCTGAGATGGCGGTATCGACGTCCCCGGCCCAGAGAGAGTTGCAGGCGATGTGGATCGCAGCAAGACTAGATGAGCAGGCAGTATCCACGGCGTAGCTGGGACCACTAAATTTGTAGAAGTAGTTGATCCGGCCGGGAATGAACGCCCTGTTGCCGCCAGGGATGAAGCTTGAACGCGGAAGGTTAGTGATGATGCGCGTAATAACATCGGGGTATAACATACTAGGTGTCGATCTTCTGTGCACTATTTGTCTCCATCCAATCGTTGCTCGTCACACCATAAAACACACCGACCCGGTCCCTTCGCGTGGATGGAGTTGCGTCAGGGACAATCCCCGCCTGCTCAATGGCTTCGTATGCTGTCATCAAGGCAATGCGTTGCGCAGGATCGATCTGTGGTGCCTCACGCGGGCTAACATTGAAGAAGCGCGCGTCAAAAGCAGCCGGCTCATCTAGCCAGCAACCAAAAGGCGTGGCAGAGGTGTTCTTGCCTCGGCCCGTTGGGTCATAATGGGTCGATTTGCTCCAGTGAAGGGGCGGCACTTCCTTGTGCACATCAAGCCCTTCTTTGAGGAGGTCCCAAAATGCCTCCGTGCTGTTTGCTCCAGGAAAACGTCCAGACATGCCGACTATGGCAATCTTGGATCGTTTTCCTGGAGCAGAGGTTGCACTTGGCGGGCTAGGCGAATAGGGCGGCTCTTGCTTAAATGACGGCTTTGATCCCGATGGTGGCGCCGGGAGTGAAGATCCCAAGGGGGTCTGCTTGAGCCCCGAGTTGATGAGCTGGTCCGCAGTTGTAGCAAATGGGATGACCCTGAGTTGAACGTCCTTGAAATTCTCGAAAGCGGCTTGGATGCCACCCAATGTTTCAGCCCAGTTGATCTCCTCCATGAGGATCCCTTCTAATGCGGCCTTCAAGAGTGAGTGGAAATCGCCTGCCTCGAGTGCCTGCCCACTGCTTGGTGACAGGACCGGAATCTTCGGAGAACCGGCGAACTCTGATTCGGGAAACTGCTCAAGTATCTCCCGTACATCCTCCTGGGAGAACAAGTGCTTCGCATGGTAAGGAGCGAATATGGGAATGTCCTTGTATTTGACATTTTTGAACTCCTCAGAAGCAGTGAGCTTTGCGAGCGAGGAAGGTGGGCCAGTGACTGTGATGCCATGCAGTGCATGAGCGCTGATGAAGGGTCTGGCTGTCAAGGGAAGTGTCTAGATCGATTCAATCAGAGCCGCACGTGTTGTAGAGAGACTAGCAGGGATCCTTACGCTTCGCTCGCCAAATTCCTTGACTGCTTGAGTAGCGGCCTGGCCAGCCGCAACCAGAGACCAAGATCTCGAAACGCCCGACTTGGATTCAGTGTGCTCAAGTCTTGTGGCACGCTTGCCTGCGGCCGCAGCGGATAGGCCGAGCCTGAAGGCAACCACTACAGAGGTTACTGCTAGGGGAAGCAGAGCAACCACACTTTGGGCGCAGCTAACCGCTGCAGCCGCGAGAGCACCGGTGCAAAGGCCCAGGAGGCGGCTGTCACGTGGGCTCGGGTATTCATGCTTGGATTCGCTGGATCATATCATTGTGAGCATGTATTCCGAAATTGGAAAGCACAGGTGATGTACTTACGCGACGAAGGCGGCGATGTGATACATGCAGGTTAGAGACATGTCGAGAGGGACACATTGTCTCGCCTCCTCCGATGACTTTGCCCTCCATAGCACCAGATCTTCGACGGAAGTGAAGCGCGGGAGGGAATCCCGCTCCTGAAGCGGGAGCTGGTAGATCTCCTTTCGAAGGGCATTATAGGCCCTCTGGAAGAAATCACCCAGGAGTACGTTGTCCCGCTTCGACTCTAGAAGGAGCGTCTTCAGGTGAGGCCCGATGTCGTAGGTCTGGTCGCCAAAGAGATAAAGGTGGACTTGTGTTGGATTCATAGTGGCTGAGGTCCAGATGTTTGGTTACAGAATGGGTATTGTCTCGACAGTTTGGTTATGAATAATAGTGTCACCTCTGGTAACGCTTCCGCATGCAGAAGCCTGATATCAATCTTGAAACACATGTATGGCAAGACGACATCTATATACGAGCCACGAAAGAGCCTCACTGCTGACGCTGCCAGATACTGTACCAATAGACCTCAACTATTCCAGGATTCCGGTTTACTTCTGACTGTGTCCTCGGATCCAAGGGCGGACGCTCTGTGGGGCGAAAAAATATGAAAATAGCTTAGAATATGAAAGTTCGGCGAGGAGCGCCCGACCTTCCTGCCGAGGCTGACAGTATGCAGTGTTCCCCGAGATAATGCGCCTCAGAGCCGAAAGGCTATAGTCCATAATTGGGAAAAAAGAGGCGTGCTCGGTGCGATAGGCCTCAGCCCGGCGGCAGGCCTAAAATGAGGTGCTCACTCCATCTTGCCACCATCGGAGACAGGCATGCAAGAAACACCGAGTTCAAAACCCAGTCATACGACTGAGATCTTGAGCTTTGAGCAATTATTCTAGGAAAGTCTAATGGTACCTACCTAGTAGGTCATGCTCACGGCTGAGACTAGAGGCGGATGCTGCCAAGAGAGATTTTCAACACCATCTCTGCTGTGGTAAAAGGATACGATAATATGACGAAATCCAAGAGAATGAGAGCGCGATGAGAATTGTGACCTGTGTTCACAAGTAGCTTTGAGTGATTTCCCAGCCCTCGAAGTACCCGACCTAGCCCAGGTATTCTCAAGCTGTGAAGTTGCTCAGAGAACGCCACCCATTTCCACGTCCGGTTGATCAAAATATTGAACGGCCGCCGTTGGGGTGTCCGCTGTGAGCTCTGTTCGGACGATCATTCAGCCTCGGCCACCATCGTCTCCGTCGAAGTAGCCATCATTGAGCCACTTGCTGTGGAGTGATGAACACACAATTCAATTCTTTGCTCTGTGATTAGTCAAGTGAAGATGCCCACAATTTTGGACACTCGCATTTTGGTTACTTCTAATGAAAAGTCTAGGCCCTCTCCCGTGCTTCCCAAGTAATGCAGGAACTGCATGTGCTGTGTCGCATGTGAGGGATCCGACGTGGGATGCTCACGATCACGATGGTGGCTCGGGACTGACCCCCATGCCATCAAGGTTGTGACTAACTGCATTGTCTAGTCTGAGAAGATGCAATCAGCGTGCTCTCAGCATGGTCCTTGAAGCCCGGCGCCTGAGGGCAAAGTCCGCCCGCCGTTCAGCCTCAAGTAAAAGCGCTCATGCTGACGTCTTTGATTCTTCTCATCGTATGATATCAAAGTGCCTGCCGTGTCCTTTTGGATCGCATCGCTGCAAATAACTTGTTTACGATTGAGGATCATGCAGCCAAGAATTCTCTGGACCAGCTGGACATCCCCACGATCAATTTCCGGCTACTGAACAGTCATTAGGAGTCCCCGAAAGTGAAGGTTTGTCTTTTCTCGCGGCCTATAGTCTATCGCCATAGTGCGACGGGGACTGCTCTGTGCCACCGGGTATGGCCGAGTATATAGCCGAGTGTCACAGACGGAAGCCGAGTGTCACAAACGGGTGTCGAGTATTACAGACGAAGGTAGGTACTTTGGCCGAAAACAAGATTAAAGATGCACATCAGTTGATTTATCGTCCACAGCCACATGTAAATGATCCAAGGCTGATTAGGTGGGTGGTACGAATGCCTGAAGCGGTAGGGTGGCCGATGCACAACGTCCGCGTCACCCCGCCGCTGCTGCTTGATGACCCCCAGCCTCGCGCACAAGATTCTGCCATCAGCAAGCCCAAATGCTTGAAAGATCGTCCGTAGCACAAGAACCTTAAACGCCCTCCAGATTCTGGAACATCGAAGTGCCAAGGCCTCGGGCACTCGTACACACGATAAAACCGAGTCGCAACTTCGGAACTTCGGCGCTTGAGGATAATGTAAGCCTACGTGCAAACCCTGGATTTACCAAAAAAGAATCTCGGGGATGTAGGTCGGCTATGCCGGTATTACAGTCAGCACCGTATTGGTACTACAAACAGCTACTGGCCTTGGTTTCAGTACAACCCGACTCAATGACGGACAAGCTGTGTGAACATGTATACGCCTCTGGCCGTATCTGGGTAGGTAGGGACCCGCTCTGACCACACATGTGCACTACATGCGTTATTGCAAGGTTTAGCCATGTCTCAAACTACGGGTGCCACACCGTCTACACCCTTATTGTGGCTTGCACAATTCACCGTCACATGCCCGTATCGGCTATCACAGAGACCTTCAAAGTCGTGACACCAAACGCGAGCCTCGTCGTCGGGACGTCTGTTCACACATGCATGTCTCATTATCCTCGTTGACGGACCATTCACAGCAGTTGACAAATACCGCATCCTCGATGTCATCGTATCCAGCACCTAGTCCAAAGTTCTGCGAGCCGACTCAACTCTTGAGACAAATGTAGACAACTGTGATTTCTATATTTGATGAAAGAAGGTCTAATCGAGCAAGTACTACAATCGCGGACAGCCAAATAGAAATGATGGCCAGAACAAGGTATTCGGACATGTCTTCAGTGATCCACCCCAGAAGCAGTGACATGATTTTTGCCAAGCATGTAGCCTTCCCTCAGCCCTCTCTCCCACTGCTCCTGCACCATGCGCAACGCCTTTTCGCTGCGTGGCACAAACCTCGCCGCAAACGGCTTTGGCGCCGCAAAAGCAGTCGGCTGGAAGGCCGAGTCAAAGTCCATGTTCATGGTCGTCGCCTCCGTCCCGTCTTCCATCAATGGCGGGCGCACCTCGAACGCCCACAGGAGGTTCATCAGCCCGATGTCCAGCGTGTTCTCGCCGAGTTTTGCACCGGGACAGATGCGTCTTCCGGCGCCGAATGCTACATGGCGCAGTGTCAGTTGTCGGACGGGTCTAAACGAGGAAGTTGGTGCAACGAAGAAGAGGTGGCTTACCAAAATGGTCACGCTTGTAGGGGTCCCCAGCCGCGTATTCCGCGCTGTACTTGGGATAATTCAAGAAACGCTCCGGCCGGAAGGTAAACGGTTCGTCGTAGCGCTGCGGGTCCTGACCCAGAAAAGAGGTATTGGCGAGAAGAACGGTCCCCTTGGGAATCACGTAATTCTTGTACTTCACATCCGCGTCGGTAAAGTGCTTGGTGCCCCAGATGGGAACGGGCCGCAGCCGAAGCATTTCTTTAACGCAAGCGCGGATGTAGGGCAGGTTCTGCACGTCCTCGAAGGCCGGAGTCCGGTCCGGCCCGACAACGCGCATCAGCTCGTCGAAGGCACGCCTCTGCGAGTCCGGCGAAGCAGCCAGGTGGAGGATCAGGTTGTTCATGGTGACGAAAGATGTCTCGGACCCTGCCTCGGCCAGGCCGCTGATGTTCCACGCAGCGTCTACTTCAGCTAGGCCCTGGCCCTTCCAGAAGGACTCGTTCTCCAGCAGCTCGCGGCCGACACACTTGGGCGCGTGGCCGGCCTCAAGCTCCTTTTTCAAACGGTTCCACAGTCGCAGTCTGGCGTCGAGGATTGGTTTGGTGTAGGTCGCGGCGCGCCTTCGGCCGGGCTGCAAGAACGCTGGCAGGTTCGCCAGGAACGGCAGCTCGTCCACCAGGAATGAACCCGGCTTGGACACCTGGCCCAGGATCTGTGATGTCTTGTTGGCCTGTTTGACGTCCTCGTGCTGCCAGCTATCCACACGACGGCCATAAGTTGCAGTCATGTGAATGCTGAAGGAAAAGCGACGGACATGCCAGTAGAAGTCGCGCTGGTTTTTGTTGTCGAAGGCGATATCGTAAAGAAGCTGCTTTGCTTCGAATTCCTGAACCGGGATGAACGAGGCAGTCATTGGCGTAGACAGCACCTGGTGCGAAACGTGGCGATAGGCCCGCCATTGCGGACCGTATCGCATGGTGAATTGGCGCAAACCCCCAGTGACAACATCATGGGCCAAAGGGGCGGGAACCTTTGAAGAGGTATGGATTGACTGTATCGTGTGAGCTTGAGGTTGTCTTCGATTGATAGCTGATGGGAGCATCTCCTCACCTGTTTGTCCATGATCTCCTTCATAGCCTCTGGGCTGTTGATGACAACCCAGTTGTACCAGCCCACCCGGAGCTTGAACACCTCGCCATACTCGAGGCCCCACCTGTGCATGAAGGCACTCTGTTTTGGCAGTCCAAGCCCAATACCAACCAGAGGCCACCCCTTGGGTCCCGGCATTTTATCCAGCCGGCGATCACGACGGACCCATATTCCAATCGCAATGGCTGCGAACACAAGGATCGCCAGGACAGGGGCCCTGTGGACCAGAAACGGGGAGATCAACTGACTAGCCATGGCGATACTGTTGTTTTCTGGAAGAAGCGGGACACGTATTTCCCAGAAATCATTGAGATATCATTCATGATCCAGCCAGATGCACCCAGTTCTTTTGTTTAGTGGTATATAAGGCGTACTACGCTCGCGTGAAACGCCGGCACAAGCTCTGACCATCAGCGGCAAGGATCGCCTCGGATATCCGTGTGTGGGCATGCGGGTGTCATCTTGTCTCTGTTCCATTGCCCGGCTACTAAATCTGCAGTCAGCCTTTCCGGGAATAAGATTTCTGACGCGCTTGCGCCGCGCCTTTTGGCTTTTATAGTTCTGTGTCACGTCCGTTGTCTTGGCACATGCGTGTGCAACCGCCGCAATATCCAATCTAGTCCGTGGCGTTGTCCAACACCAGCCTCCAACGCATTTGCCTAGATTGTACACGGTGCCACAGGAGAGGAAACTTGGCTGGACAGCGGTGTGGTGTGCTTCTCTTCGGGCACCGATTAGCATGTCGTACGCCAACGGTTCGGGCAGCTCGAGCCAAGCCTTGCCTCTGTTCCCTGGGAGCCTTTTCCTCCCACCTCTTCACGGCTCCCCCAATCAACAATTCTCCTTGAGTCTTGAAAACATCTCACTTCCTTCCCGATAAACCACACTCTTCTCACGTCATATCAGCAAAACTAATACTCAAAATGTCGCAAAAAGAATCTGAGATCGACATCCAAGAAGCTCACTCATCGAGCGGCTCCCCTTCTAAGCATGAGGGTGTTGATGACAGTCATGGCGGCCGACTTACGCGGCTGCAGCCTTCTCACGAGATGTTGTATCCATCCGCCTTCAGGGTGGGCATGACGATCTTTGCCCTCTTGATCGCCGTTTTGTGTGTGGCCCTCGACAGCACCATCCTCTCGACCGCGATACCAAGGATCACAGATGAGTTCCACGACCTTCGTGACATCGGTTGGTACGGTTCTGGTCAGCTACATCATCCTCGCTACCAAACAATCTGCAGAAATCTAGTGCTAATTGCATGTCAGCTTATCTTCTCACAAAGTGTGCGTTCCAATTATTCTTCGGGAAGGTCTACAAGACCTGTCGTCTGAAGCACACTTTTCTTGCCGCGCTGTTACTCTTTGAGGTTGGCTCGGTTGTCTGCGCCACTGCACCAACATCGGAGGCATTGATCATCGGGGTGAGTGGCTTCGCTTGATCTCTTCCACCCCATCTCAGTGATTGTCATCGTTATATTTGGGAATTGGTGCTAAAAGCTTCCATGTGGTTCAAGCGAGCTGTTGCCGGGATCGGCAGTGCCGGCGTGACGGGCGGCTCCTTCATCATCATCGCGCATATTGCGCCAATGGACAAGCGGCCCACGTACCAGAGCCTGACTGGGGGCATGTTTGGTGTGGCCTCAATAGTTGCTCCCTTGGTAAGACTACCTCCGATCCCAAGGAATGCGCGGATGTCTCGGCAATGCACGCTCACATGCGATTCCATAGGTCGGAGGGGCCTTGACGGACCGTGTCAGTTGGCGATGGTGTTTTTGGATCAACCTGCCACTCGGGTAAGACAATACCACATCGTCATAAACAATGTGACAGCAGCACCTAACATGGTATCATCACAGAGCCGTGACTGCATTGGTCATCGTTTTCGTCCTACGGCTTCCGCCAAAGGACCGCCCAACCAAGAATGAGGGCCTCCTGAGAGTGCTATGGGGCCTGGACCCCCTTGGATTCATGACATTTGTACCGAGTATCATCTGTCTGCTCCTAGCTCTCGAGGTAGGTTTTGCCAAAGGCAAATTCAAACACTTGCTTCGTGTCTGACAGTGCTCAGTGGGGCGGCACGACCTACGCCTGGCAAAGCGGTCAAATCATATCTCTTTTTGTTGTGTTTGGGGTTACACTCCTCGTCTTTGTTGGTATTCAGGTCTGGCTCGATGAAACGGCAACCAGTGAGTTGTATCACTCTCCTTCCAAATTTCTGTCTGCTCATGAGCCCGCAAGTGTGTACTAAGAGCCGTCTATATGCAGTATCACCTCGCATCGCAGGCCAACGTACCATCTGGTCTGCTTGTATCTATACTCTCCTTCTCACAGGGTCATTCTTCATCGTTGTATACTTCCTCCCGATCTACTTCCAAGCCGTCAAGGGCGCTTCAGCCCTCCAGTCGGGAATTGACACCATCCCTCTGGTCGTCAGTCAGGTATTGGCTATAATCATGGTAGGCGTCCTCACCAGCAAGATTGGATACTATATGCCATTCATCTATGTTTCGGTGGTTGTCTCAGCTGTTGGTTCGGGCCTGTTGATTACGCTCTCTTCCGACACAAGTACTGCCCGGTGGATAGGCTACCAAATATTGTACGGGTTTGGCAGCGGGTGTGGGTTTCAAGTTCCCCAGGTTGCCGCTCAGACTGTGTTACCCTTCAAGGATATACCAACTGGTATTGCCATCACTTTGTTTTTTCAAAGTCTCGGTGGCTCAATCTTTGTCAGCGTAGGGAACAACGTTCTCAATGATAAGCTGGCACGTAACATCGTTTCGCTCGAGCTTCCAGGCGTGGATGCAGAGCAGGTTATTCAAGCAGGTGCAACTGCGTGGCACAAAGTCGTGCCGGTGCAGTATCTTGGCGTTGTGACGGACGCGTACAACCAAGCCCTCAGACAGACATTCCTGATCGGGTTGATCACGGCGTGCTTGGGTTGCATTGGGGCTGCTTTCATGGAGTGGGAGAGCGTCAAGTCTCGGCCGAAAGTCCCTGCAGGAAATGGCGATCAGAATAAGAAAGGAGCTGCCTGAACGCGACATGGGCATGGTATTAGCTGAGATGGAGGGGTTGTATGACTACAAATGACAACATCGTCTTGCATCCGTCAGTGATTTAAAGACAAGCGCAACGTGTGAATGTAACGGTTACATCCCGTGCATCTCTGTTTCCTTCACGCAACACAGATCTCGGGTGCTCAAGGAGTACTGCATCTCATGTGCTGCAGGAGCCTCTGCCCTGAATGGCTCTTTCCTCTACTCCGAACTTGACTCATATGTGAGCTATTATTGGCAATGAATTGCAAATGGTTCTTTGAGTGACTCGATGGCTATGACAGGGGTTCTAGAGTCCACATTACGGGAATCCGTTACCGATGCCGGGAAATATCGAATCGTGATGGATTTGAGTACACATGCTGTGCTGATCACAAAGGCAGGGAAATCATCTATCAATAGTCTACGAGTCTCCAAAGCGACCCGACAGTACGACTAGAATTTCTCAATTACCGAAACACCTTTCCTGAGTCACACCCCAAGATATGATCATTAACAGTATCACTCGCCAGGACGGCCAGGTGTGCGGCTGTTTGTTCTAGCTGAATCCTGATTAAACGTGCCTAGGTGGGTATCATCATGTCAGAATTGATCCAATACACGGCCAAATTCAAGTGCTTGAAATCTTTCAGCGACATAGAGGACGCGGTTGTCAAATGAGACCAAAAATACCACATCCACCTGAGAGCCGATATATGGACGGGAAATGTTGGAGCAAAGAACCTGCAGAGCGATGATCCGCGACCCCAACCGGCCACTTTGCTGAACGTGCACCCACATTCAAGGACAGTATCTGATCATCATGATGGAGTAATTGCGGTGCAAACTGATCGTCCCGGAATTATTGCCGCACTTCAATGAGTAATGTTTCCCACGCGGTGTCAGGTCAACCACGGAAATTTGAATTCGCCCGCTCATTTACCAACATTGCTTTAGCAAGAACCCACCACTTCAGTGTTCTGTTCAGATCGACAGAAATCATCGGAAAGTGAGCCTGGCAGTCTAAACTTATTCCACCAAGCCTTGCGCCATATTCTCTCCGTTTCTCCCATCTGGGCCTGCAGGTAGTTAAAAGTCCTGGAGGCACGGAGTGGGCCGAATGTGTTGAGCCAAGCCTCGCGCACGGGAGGCGATGCAGAATTCGGACCGCTAGCACTTGTTACCAGTCACATTGACAGCTGCCAGGGTTCCATTTCCCTTCCACTGGGGGTTTCAGGTCGTCCGCTCCGCTCCGCAAATCTTGGGCGTTGATTTTCCATCCATCACCGTAGGGCAGACGACATCAGCGGAACAAACCGAGGTCCTGCGTTCATCCAATCGAAATGATCTACTCTAATTCCGAGCATTTGGGCAATCGTCCCACTTGCGGTGAGTCTTTCGGGCCGGCCGCCCTCAATGCAACCTCCGCTGTCAATGTGCCCCTGAGGCTTCCAATTTGTGGAGCCTCGAGTCAACCCCAAGCTTGACTACCTCCTTGGCAGATTGGACACCCCCCACGAGATAATGGGAGCATGTTGCTATAAAGAAAGATGTCTGTCTACGCCGTGAGCCGAGGAAAATGTGCGAGACCATATCAGCCACTGCTGTATCGATGCACTCTCTTGGCTCGGAACTGTCATTCTTTTTGTCGTGCACTTGATCAGCATGTTCACTTCTGGTATCGCCCTCGCGGGCCTCGCGGCAATGATGCCCGGAGCTCTCGCCGCTCCCGCCGCCCCCACTGCACCCGGCTGCGACGGACCCGACTCCCGGGCTTATCCACCAACTGGCGCAGTCGTGGTTGACGCCAGCGGCGCCCACGCTGGCAGTTACAAGACCATCAGCGAAGGTGTCGCCACATTGAACAATCAGACGACGGCGGAACAAACTGTCTTTGTCCTGCCAGGCACCTATCACGAACAGGTTCTCGTCTCACCTCTGCAGGGCCCGCTCGTTTTGCAGGGCTACACCTGCGATTCAAGCTCCTACGCGCAAAACGAGGTGACCATCACCAATGGGCTCGCGCAAAAGGATGTTCCTCCCGAGGTCACCGGAGAGGCTCGTAACGATCTCACAAGTACTCTCCGATTGAAGTCGGACAACATCAGGGTCTACAACCTGAACATCGCCAACACTGCTGGAAATGTGGGCCAGGCGCTGGCTGTGAACGTCAACGCGACGAACAACGGCTTCTACGGAGTCAACTTCACGGGTAAGAAATTGCATCTCAGTCTGCAGCTGCACTTGAACCAGCACTGACGCAACCCGTGACGAGCAGGCTACCAGGACACAATCCTCAGCGACAAGGGCCGCCAGCTGTACACCAACTGCTACATCAACGGCGCCATCGACTTCATCTTCGGGCGCTACGCCCAGTCGTGGTTCGAGGGCTGCGACATCGAGCCAATCGGCCCCGGGTACATCACAGCCAGCGGGCGCGAGTCCGACGACAGCTCAGCCTTCTACGTCTTCAACAGGGCCACCGTCACGGGAACAGCTGGCGAGGGCTCGACATATCTGGGTCGCCCCTGGGGCCCATATGCCCGCGTCGTCTTCCAGAACAGCGACCTGAGCGATGTTGTCAACCCACACGGTTGGGCAGACTGGAACGGGGACAATGTCACCGACCACGTCTACTTCAAGGAGTTCCAAAACACTGGCGCCGGTGCGGACCTCTCCCAGCGGGTGGCTTACAGTGGTGTTTTGGAGGAGGCTGTCAAGATCACCGACGTTCTTGGAGAAGGCTTTGAGGAGGAGACCTGGGTTGATGCCAGTTACCTGTAAATATCAAGGCATATGCAACGATCTGTCAGATACCCCACGAGCAACAAGTATGCAAATACACACAATATCCTTTGTGACATGATGTTGTGAGCTCTTCTCATTACCTTCTGTTATTATGCGTCAGCGACTGGAGAGTTCGTCTGAAGACCATTACCTTGGTTCTCACGATTGATCAGCCGCGGGTCAACTCACATTATATGTAGCACGCCACATTCAAGTGCTGATAACAAGGGGTCCAATAGTCTCCCAGGAAAGTCAGATGCATTCTTTTAGTAGGAAATCAAATGAAAATACAAAATTCGAAATACGACTAGCAAGGGGAAACTGAATTGTTGTCTGTTGTTGCATGTATTTTTCTGATCAACTTACGAATCTTTATTTTTTTTCATGACATTCTTTCTTGCGCAGATCTACCACTGTTGCTCACAACTCCACGTTAACTCTAACAATAGTTTTTGAAGCGGCTACCGCGCTGGGAAGATGGGAATTAGGGTTTGTTCGACGCTTGAAAGGCGGTACGGCACCCCCATGTACTACCCAGGTACTTATGGAGCCTTGGTGGTACCTGTCTACAGGTCGATGATTCCCATGTCTCCATCAGCACCCAGAATTGGACGACTGCACAGCAAATGATACAATCGTAAGTGGTCTCGTTTTTAATCTGTACACATATGCTTCTTAAGCAATGTGCATCCAGTCCCTTCATACAGTGATAAAATACAATCGTAAAAAAAGGAGAATGGTCATGGGTTGGACCTCATCTGTTTTATCGCGAAAAACGGCGCAAGCATCTTAGGCCGTAGGAAAACCTGAGTCCAGCCATTCTATCCCTGTGAAAGATGCCAGTGATGCGAGGTCTTCTGACTCGCCCTTGCGCGGAGAAAAGCTCTATTTATATCGCACCGCCAGCACAATGACTTGTATTTTTGGCTTGGCGGGAAACTGTCGTGGTCCTGAATAATTAATAGACCACCAGGGGTTCGTCCGATCACCCAATAGCACCACGTGCATGATGCCTTATCTGCAAAGTCATGGTATACATGTAGATCGACCTGAGGGTCTTTGGAAGGGCCGTAGGGCTACGATCATGGGTTGCGTGACATTCTAAGCTGTGCAGCAGGGGTCACACAGTTCCTTTGCCCACTTTTGGATAGACAGACATGATTCGTAGTTGGAAAATGGAGGGCTTAAAGCATCAACAATCCTCCTCACCAAGTCCCACTCTGCAAGTCAATGAATCCTTCTTTAGATCTCTCTCCATGCCATGCGTTACGGCCGCGATGGCTTCCGGTCTTTCTTCAGCCATAATGTTCGTGACGCTGACTTTGGTCGGCGTAGCTTTATCCCAGCAATTCCCGAGCGGATGGGAGCCAGACACGGCGGCATGGGGCGACTTCCCCAGTGTTCCATACGCGGTGTGGGATTCGGTGCAGCCAACTGCTAACCAAGACAGATCAACTTTATCCTCGGTAAGTTTTCGTGTGTCGGAGCTGTAAACATGATTTATCGAACATTGATAGCCAACACCCGGTTGCAGGAAGTTCTGCAGAACGACATTAGCGAGGCTGCACTCCTCCACCACGCAGAGAACCTTGAAGCCATCGCCTACAGCACGCCCGATCGCAACCGCGTCTTTGGCAGCACGGGCTACAATTTCTCGGCGTTGTACATCCACAAACACCTCGCGCCTCTCAGCGACTATTATGACATCACGTGGCAGCCATTCACGGCGCTGTTCACCAGCTACAGCACCAGTCTGTCAGTGACGGGGACGGACCGCAACGCGGGCCAGATGACTTTCTCGCCGAACGGGCACGTCGAGGCCCCCGTCGTCTCCGTTTCAAACAACGGCTGTGATGCAGCCGACTTCCCGGAGAACGTGAGCGGAAACATCGCCCTGATTTCCCGCGGCGATTGCGAGTACGGGCTCAAGTCTGCCCTCGCCGGTGCCGCCAAAGCCGCAGGTGTAATCATCTACAACAATGAAGGCGGTGATGAGGAGCTGCGGGGCTCCTTGATTCATCGCAGCCGCCCTGAGGGCCCTTACCCGCCGACTGTGGCAATCTCCCAGAATGCTGGTCGCACGATCCTCACGTCATTGGCTAGTGGCGAGAGGATTGGCACACTGACTGTTGAGGGAGTGGCAGAGGATCGGGTAACGATGAACTTGATCGCACAGACCAAGGCTGGCGACCAGAATAATGTCCTTGTTCTTGGAGCTCACGCAGACTCGGTAGAGGACGGGCCTGGTATCCAGGACAATGGCTCAGGTGTCAGCTGCCTGCTCGAGGTCGCGCTCCAGCTGGCGAAATACAATGTCACTAACGCGGTGCGGTTCGCCTGGTGGTCGGCTGAAGAGTTTGGACTGGTCGGGTCTCAATACTACGTGAACCAGTCCTCGGCCGCTGATCTTGATCGGATTCGCCTCTACCTCAACTTCGACATGATTGCGTCACCAAACTATAAGCTCGGTGTATACGACGGGGACGGATCAGACTCCCCGGAGGGTGTGGCAGGGCCGGCCGGGTCAGGCGAGGCCGAGCTACTCTTTGCGAACTACATGGGCGACGTGGGAAAGACATCGACGCCAGTCTATTTCAACAACCGGTCCGACTATCAGGCATTTATCTACGCGGGTATTCCATCCACGGGTCCGTTCACGGGAGCAGAGAAAGCCAAGACGGCGGAGGAGGCGTCCGCATTTGGCGGGACGGCCGGCCAAGCCTATGACCCGAATTATCACCAGGTCGGCGATACTGTGGACAATCTCAACATGGAGGCCTTCCTCGTCAACACGAAGGCAGCAGCCCATGCAGTAGCAACTTATGCGACGTCATTTGACTCGTTGGGAACCAGCAAATTGAAAAGACGATCAGCCTTGATCCCACAAGCTCATAGCCATTCAACGGGGTGCCAGCAGCACAGTCACGGGGAGCATGGCCTCTGATAGAAACGGCGTGGTACATCAGAGAGGCTTTCTTATTGTATATAGTTCTAGCTTGCACGGCATGGTTGGCGACACCAAGCCAGGCCAGGCCATTTTACATCTCAGCAGAGATCCTCAGAAGTTCACCTGGTAGCACTAGCCAAGGGTTTGATAGCTAGATGTTCTCTAGTGTTGATGAGATCGAATCAAAATCGACTAGTGGAAATTGACTGAGTATATAATACTGTGCTTCAAGACGGTTGGCTCTTCGTCCCCGTTTGCATGCCGATCGGGTTGTTCTCGACCTCGGAAGTGTCCAACTCTCTTTGATCGTCTACAGCCACCATCCTTCCCTTTGGCCCTTGTATAGGCTTTGCACCCGACCTTTTCTGCCGCCAATGCAACCCTTTGCATTGCAGAGCAAGAAGCATAATCACCGACAAAAGCAGAACGCCAGCTAAGAGCAAAAAGGTCCATCCAGGTCCTATGGCTCGGAGCAGAGGGTCAAGCGCTGCAAGATAGCCCGCAGCCATCTCGCAGCGTACAAGGTTGCACGCAGCTTGTGCCGTGGATGGGCATTCTTGGTTGGCGTCGACGAGCAGTGTGCTCAGCGCCGTGAACATGGTCTGGATGGTAAGACCAATGAAGAATTGCGTAACAAGTGGACCGGCCATGACCACGCCCGTCTGTAGTTGCCAACCGTATGCGGTAATCAGGCAGGCACTTAGGGAAATGAGCGGTACAATTGTCCGGAGTCTCGCTTTCTCAACTGGGAATGTCGAAAGGTTGTCAGCTTTGTTTCGGGTGACAGGAACGCCCAACTCAGTGGCTGTCTTCCGGAAGTTTCTGTCGAGTAGTTTGCCAGTGGCAAAAGCAGACAGAGCGCATGCAACACCAAAGGGTATGTAGATGAGCCCACTAGTGAGTCCTGATATTTCATAAATATCGAGGAATAATGAAGACAGCGATGCCTGCAGACACGAATACGTCGCGTAGCCCACACCGTACGCCGACATCATGAAGACGTTGCCGGGGGATCGAAGAAGCTTGATGGATGTAAATGGGTTCATCGACGCCCTTGCCCGCGTCTTCTCTTGATCCGGTGCCTGACCATCCACAGACTTGACAGCCACATTCGGGACAAGAAGAGGCAACAGGGGTCGATTGATCCCACGTGCTCGTACACTCCCGTTCCCAACGATGGCTCTATTGGTTTCTGGAAGGAAAAGTGCTATAGGTATGAGACAGCACGGTGTAGCAGCTGAGAGAAACCAGAAGATGGAGCGCCATGACCACCGCAGCAGCAACAAGCCACTCAGAAGAGGACCGATACTGGGCGGTGTGTTCAGACTGGCAAAGGATCAGTCCATCAAATCTCTTTCCTTGTGTGCTATCCAGAATTTGCCGGGCCAAGGAGAGTAGTCGGACGAGGGTTACATACAAAAAGGAGATGACGCCTGCATAGCCCCCTCTCTCAGCAGGGGTGAACAGGTCGCTCAAGACGCCGTATGTGACGGAGAATGTGCCTGAGATACCTGCACTTTGGACCATGCGCAAGAAGAACAGGAGCCCAAAATTGGATTGCAGGGCCAGGCCAGTATTCGACAGCAGGTAGACTGTCAAAGCGGTGAGAAATACAGGCCGCCTCCCGAAACGGTCCGCTTCATTCCCCGTAATCGATGGGAAAATCCCCGACACAATGAGGTACGATGTGACCGTGAGGTTGATCCTCTCGATACTCTCGTCAAGATCGTTGGCTATCGCTGGTATGGCTGGGAAGTAGATGAAGCTACTGACTGAGGAGAACCAGCCTGCGAACGCCGCCAGACCAATGATGCAATTCTTCTGGCCGTGCGAAAATTCGGAATGCTCGGGCGACTCATGAATGTGAGATTGGACCTGGATGGCTTCTTCTGGGGAGCTTGTCTCTTTGTTAGCCATGCCCGGGGGACTCGGTATGAAAGCTTGCGAGCCAGCGACCTCAGGAGGACGCAAGGTTGAGAAAAGCAAAGCTTCAGGTGCCACGAACGACTTGGGCGTCAGCACGGAGGATCGCCCAGTGTGAACCACACACCAACCAACAGCGGGGAAGCGGGTCTTGCATCCTACGACAGGGTAACATGTTAGGCTGGTCTTCGTGGATACCAGATCGCTAGTTTACGTGAATTGATAGGCGCTCAGCATCCTTGCCTATCCTGCACGTTGGGGGCACAGAAAAGAGCCGAAGTTGGCACTTTGAATGATTGAAAATTCCGTCACTGGATTCTCTCACTTGCCAAAACTACTACTGAAGTGCTTGCTTACTAGCAATCAGTTCTCTTGTGAGACCGTCCCGCAATTAATCCAGCATGACACTTGCGACGAGTTCTCAACTGCCCCGGTCGTAGCGGGCATAGCAAAAGCCATCAAGATTATATACATCAATTTTATCGAGATAAATATCTTGGAACTACTTTAATTAGCTCTATACTTAAATCAAGCTAGATTTAACCCCTGAATCTATATATGCCGTCCATAAGCCCATTTATATAATAATAAACGCTAAAATATTTAACGTTAAAAAATATAATATTAATAATAATAAGTTTTAAATATAATTATAGTTTATAAATAACGTAGTTTATTATTAAGTGGCGGATATTATTAAGTAATGAATTTTTCCAACTTTACTTAACTTTTATTAATTATGATATTATATTAAGGTAAATAAATTAATAAAAAGTTGGTATTAATTAATATTAATTATATTTAATTCCTTATTTTTAATTAATTTTATTAATTTAAAAATATTAACATAAATATAATGTTAATTTAAATTAATTAACTTTTAGTAGGAAATATACATTTAGTATTAATTAATGCTAATTATATTATTAAAAATGCAATTTCCTATAAATTAATAAAATAGCTATATTTATATTAATTAATGCTAATTAAGTTAGATTTACTATAATATAATTAAAATTTAATTAATTAAATCCTTCTTTATCTTTTTTATAAATTCTTGCATTATGCTTAATTTTATTATAATTATTATAGCGTTTTTTAATTAATTTATTATAAATTAACTCTTTTATCTTATTACTTATTTTATTAGCTAATCGCTTTATTTTTTATTTTTTTTAAATAAAAGCTTAAGATTCCTTAATTATAAGGACTTCTTTAAGCTATACTTAAGTTCTTTTAACCCTTTAGCATTTAATAAGTATTATATTAATATTTTAAAATATATAAATTTGCTTACTTATTATAATAAGTAAGTATATTATTACTTATATATTCTTAATTAATTAATTAATAGCTTTTATAATTAATATAAGGAAGCTTTCTTAATAAATAAAGATTTTATTTTTAATAAAACTTAATTATTAAATAGTTTATTAAGTATTTAATAATATTTAAAACTTTTATTTTTAAGGAGAAATAAAAAGGAATTATATTAAAGTTTGTAAGTAAATATTAAGCTTAAAAATTATAAAATTAAAATCTTAAGGAAAAATTTTAGCTTTTTTAAATATAAATTTAATATTTTTTACTATAAAAGTTTTATTATAAGCTACCTTAAATATAAGAAAGAATTTAAACTTAATAATATAATTAATTAAGGTTTAAATAAAAAGGTTAATCTTATTATTATATATATATTTTAAAAATAAATATAATGCAATATTTAATAGTTAAAATAAGTAAGATAAATATAGCAATATATTAATAATAATAATTTTATTATTTTTATATTATTAATTAAACTTAATTAATATATAGCTTTTATAATTATTTATAATTAATATTTAATAATTAGCATTTCTTTTTAACTTAATATATTTATTAAAATATTAAATTTATTTTAAATTAATCTTATTATTTATTTATTTATTAAAAATAAGCTTAATAACTTAATTATTTAAAAAACTTAACTTTATTACCTAGTTAATAAAATAATAAGCGCTTTAAATAATTATAAATAATGAAATTTATAACTTATTTATATTAATATATTTAATAATAATTACTTATTTTTAATTATTAAGTTAAATTAATTTAGCCTTTTTATATTTATTAATATATATAATAATTATTAATAAGATAATTATATTTATTATAAAGTTAATTTTATTAAAGTTATAAAAACTATTATTAATAATTTAATATTTAGCTATTATATTATAAAAAAGCTTAAATTAATTCTTAATAATCTTTAAATCTTTATAAAGAGCTTTTTAATAGTTATAAGGATAATTAAATTTAGTTTTTAAGCTAAATTATAAATTTATAAAGCATTAAGCTTAATGCTTACTTATAAGCTTGCTATTTTAAAATATTAGCAAAAGATTAGCTATATCTTTTATATTAAAAGATTATAAAGGAAATCCTTAGGTATATTAATTAATAATATATTAAATAAGCGTTTACTTTTTAATTAAGTTAAGTTTATATTATTTAATATATAATTCTTTAAGATTATATTATTAATTTATTTTATAGCATAAAGTTATTTTAAAAATATTAAAGATTTTAGCAGCTTAAGTTATAAGTAAGGGTTTAATGCGATTTTTTTTAAAGTATTAAATAGCTTAAATAGCTAAGAATATTTTATTTTTTTAAATAAAGAATATATATCTTTATTATTAATTTTTTATATATTAAATATTTAAGTAAGTGAATTAATGCAGGATTAATGCGAAAATTAAGGATATAATTAGCATTAAAAATAGCTTATTTTATTAAAATCTTAATAATTTCTAATTATATTATATTACTTTTAGCCCCTTTAAATTAATAAAATTAATTAAAAATAAGGAATTAAATATAATTAGCATTAATTAATACTAACCTTTTATTAATTTATTTACCTTAATATAGTATTATAATTAATAAAAATTAAGTAAAGTTGAAAAACTCCGCTACTTGGTAATATTCGCCACTTAATGGTAAACTATGTTAAGAAAAGAATAATAACTTTATAATGGCTATATAATTTATTAAATTTCTTATTTTATTATTAATAATTAAATATTTCTTTAAAGAATTAAAATTTAATTAAAAAATAAGGGTAAAAAAAGACATTATAATATATTTTTTAAAAAAGAATAAGGATATAATTAAAGCTATATGCAATTTAATGCATAAGCTTAAGGTTAAAGGATAGTTAAAAAGCTAAGTAAATAATAGATAAACTAATAAATAATTAATTTAAAAAACACAGTATGGCTGAAGCTATCTTATCTTAAATCTCCATACTATTATTATTGCTAATGATATTCTTAATAGTTAGATATTAGGATTAAATTGATTTAACATGTTGATGTAGGGTGGTTGAGTTATTTGGTGGCGATAGAGGCCATGTAGACTTTGCTCTGCATGTATCCGTTTTCATCAACATATGGCACAGGTAGCACTTGAGAGTTTGATATGACGTGGTCAATGTTGTTCCCGACTCTCTGTAATTCCAGAGGAACGTGTCTTCGGCAATACCAGTGGCGTGTGGCAGAAAAGACAGGGCCTAGCAAATGTGTGATGGTATATATTTGAAGTGGGCTTGTGTGGCTAGAATTTGACTGCAGAAAGGCGAGAAGGCGCCCTTTTCAAAGGCGAATTTAGGAACCCCCCCCCCCCCGCAAAGTGATTTGACGCTGTCAATTTGATCTTGGCGGCTAGACAATTATCAAATCAGCTCAACATCAATGATATGAACGACCACAGGCGAGGTCTTAAAACCAAACTCTCAGTCTTGTATACGGTACCGGTGTAATCTTGTTCCAGTGCAGGACACCAAATCAAGGATATATACCCGAAGCGATCCCAGGAATATGAGCTCCAGCTCCGTATCAATTGCCCGGATCAGACAAGCAAGTGTAATAAAACGTGCAGGTAGTCTTTTGCATCTCAAACAACCCGCCTACCATCACAAGTGGCTACTGGGCCTTTATACAGCTTCCGACCCCGTACGAAGTATGCCACGACGGCCAGCAACGTGGCACCACCAAACATTGCCACGGCCCAGTTCATTGTCTCCGGAGTGGGAGAGTAGTAAATCGGCCAGAAGCACCAGAAAAACGCAAATGAGGCGTAGCTCACCCCGATCCCATTGACCAGCACACCCCAGCGGCCCAGGCTCCAGCGCACCGGCGGCAACGTCTCGGGCCAACGCAGCCGGCGGTACAGGACACAGGCCGTAGACAGGCCGTACGTGCCCATGAGGGCGACGACGCCTATGGACAGGATGGCGTTGAAGGCGACGCTGCTGCCGATGTAGACGAGGCACATGACGATGGTGAAGCCCAGGGTCAGGGTGCACGCGTTGCGCGGGACGTTGAGCGCCGGGTCGACGCGGCGCAGCCAGTCGGACGCCGGGAGGCCCTGGTCGCGCGCGAAGGCGAAGCACTGCCGCGACGTCGACGCGAACGTCGACACGGCGATCATGAACATGAGGACCACCATCAGGGACGTGATGGCCTGGGCCCCCGCGGGCGGCAGGCTGCCGCTTTCCAGGATCGCAAGGAAGGGGAAGGCGTATTCTGTCGTCGCGACGGTGACGTCGGGGATTGTGAACAGCGACATCAGCATGATAGCGAAGGCGATGGGCATGTTCAGGGCAAAGGACCAGAACATGGCGCGCGGGGCGATGATGCTGGCGTCTTTTACCTCCTCCGAGATATCTAGTACCTCTAGCTGTTAGTCGCCTGCTACGGATCCCAAAGTGATACATTCTGGAACATTCTAAAGCACAAAGATCGGGAAAGTGTAGCAGGAGAAGAATGGTACTGACGAGCTACGGCATCAGATGCTGCAATGCTGTTAGCGCACTGGAATGTGAATGTGACTTTGTTTTATCTCTTGGGTAAATGGGTGGTCAACGTACCGCAGACATTGTACATTGCGGCAACCTGCCCGACCATGACAGCCAGACCAAGGGTCGGGTAATTGCCGCCATTGTCCGTCACTTCCAGGAAGACCTGTCTGGCGGGAGTCTTCTGACTGGTTACACCCATTGTGACCATCACGATGATGAAGCAAGCAATGTGGAGGAAAACGAAGACGTTCTCAATGACAGGCAGCCTCCTTGCGCACCAGATGTTGAGAGAGGCGACCATAGCCGCTATGAGCATCGCGAGGAGGCTCGTCTGCCACAGCTCGGGGGAAAAGGCTGGGTCTCCGATCGACACAGCCGCCATCACCAGCTGGGCGGTGAAGATGCTGTCAGAAGCCGCGAACGCCTGCCAGCACAGTGCACTGAGCCACCCTGATGCATAGCTTGAAATCTTTTGCATGGACTGGGGCGAGAATTCAGAGACCCAGTGATACCTGCAGTCGAATCAGCAAACGTTGAACCTTTCCCACATTCCTTACTTCCTTTCCCAGTCAGAGACAGGAGGACTGACTGTCCCCCGGCGGTCGGGGCCATGGACGACATTTCCGCCAGAGACAGGACAACGAAGAACTGGCCCAGCATCACCCAGCAGTAGCCCCAGAACGTGCCCGCCCTGCCACCGTCGACAAGGCTCTGGAAGTTGTTGACGAATACGAACTCCCACGTGCCCATCGTGCATGATGTGAAGGCAATGCTGCTGAACCAGTTGAAGTTGCGCTTGAACTCCTGCTCCTTGCCCATGCGCTGCATGTCCCTCTGGTCGGTGGAGAACTCGCTAGCCGAATCGATCACAGCCGGGCTGCGGACGGAATTGGACTTTTCAGAGACCTCCATGGCGACTGGTGTAAGATACGAACAGAACCACTATTGTTCTTCACGCCCAAACGGCATGTGTGAGTGAGGTGAAATAAGACCATTCGTAGAACGCTGTTGTATAAGGAGTGATGGAAGGAGGACAGCTTGCGGCAGCTACTCAAGAGTGGAGGCGCATATTCTATGAATCAGCGTTGTAACATTATAATCGGCTTACCCTTACATCTCTTTCCGTTCGGAGAAATCGATGGTTGGCTGTATTTTTAGTTCTGCTGCAACCTGCTTATTTAAGTATGCTGTCTCACCATGATCGACCTTGGCTTATCGCGACTTGTTCTTGCACACATGTGTAAGCCTAGCGTCTGCATTGACCGGCATCAGTCCATGGTGTGTTGACAGTAGTGCTTACCTCCCCGCAGCAGGCCAGGGTGACATTGCAGCTGGATTTAGTGTCACCGACTGAGAAAGGGAAAACAAGACGGTCGATACTGGATGGTTCATTTGTTCAAGCAAAGAGAATCACAGTCAGTTCAGCTATTAAATCAGGAACACTGTACTATTCGAATATTGTCGGCAATGATGTTAAAAAGAAGAAGGCACCTACCAATTGATTAACGTCCGGGCTGCCCAAGCTCCTGAGCAGCCAGATCAGCCCACCAAGCTCTTTCTTTCTAGATACTATTCTTAATAAATGCGGTAAATATTTACGGATGGTGAGTGTACATAGTTAGTGGGTAGTATACTATAGTCACATTTGTCTCATTAGCTACAGTGCATTTAACTCCAGGGTCAATGCAATGCAGACGGGACTACGATGGGTACAGGCCTTTCCCTTACGCAGCCACAGATTTTGCTTTCTGCATTACCTAGGTACAGCAGGATCACGCAATGTCCTCAAGACGGGATAATGACGGCTCCCCAGGGCCCAGAATCATAAACCGAGACTGGAAGGTTTGTTTCTAGAAATCGTCGAAGAGGACCCGATCTAGGTCGGAGATTTGATTTACTGTGGTTACTGTGGTCAAACTGGGATATTTTCCGAGCAATGCTCATAGATTTTCTTGCCATTGCAGATCCTCTTTTACAATATCAATGGCTTAGGATCGGCCAGTGGAAAGGAATTTAATTTACTAGCGAAACTTCATCAGTAGAAAACCTACCAGTAAAGAAATGTGCCAATAGAACCATTGCCGGAAAACCGGTGCAGAAAACTCTTCAAGGCCTCCTGTGACCCGCTGCTACTACTCACCACTGGTCTGCTGCCGGTCAGTTGAGCGTGTGACGGAAGTCCTCATGCATCAAAGTCTCAGGGATGGGACTGTGAGTCGGACGGATTTAATTCCCGGACAATTTCTACTCCTTTGAGCCTCACGAATATCGGCTACCCAGCTTCAATATTCATGCGGCAAAAAGAGTGCATGCTTCCTTTTGAACCAGAACGGCATCAATTTCTTAAGAAAAGAATACAACACTTATTGCGGGTTTTGCAAAATAGTCGAATCACAGGGCGACTTGTGAATGCTAGAAAATTGTTCGGGAATTTGACCATTCTAACTAATTTAATTGTATGAAGCCTACTCGTGGGGACTCTCATCGCACCTAACGATTGACCTTCGACCCAGCCTCCTTCACCTCATCACATCCTTCTTGTCATTCTTGAGAGTGGCGTGAAGCTTCAATATGGATATCGTGTTCAGGGCATATTATCGCATAGTAAGATAGTAATATCGATAGGGTCCTATCGGCGATTTCCTGTGCTGTTATCAATGAAAACCAGTCCTGACAGGGAGACACCCGCCGATCAACCCACAATCTTTGTGGAAAGTCATGCCTTCTAATTCGGCCCTAGGTATGTCTTGGTTGTCAGTGTATTTTCCCACAATGTTGTATTGGTTCTCCCAAGGAGCGATACGTGCCTCGAACTCCCAAGAAAGCTTGACAAAGAGAGTATGAAACTACTGATTTGACTGTGTGATGCATCAGCAATAGAACATGTAGATTTGACCTGTAAAATAGCGACAAAATGAGAACACGCCTTCAAGAACCCGTAGAAGGTCGTTATGTACTTACAGTGATGCATGTGTGTGTGAAAAGGGCACGTCGGCAAAGAGCCCGCACTACACACTCAACTCAGCATGAGGTTATCAGGTCACCGATAGTTTCTGTGGGTTTGCTTCTACAAATGCCTGCACCTTGTTATTACCAAATATGGAGAACAAGAAACAACTCAAATACGATTCCCGACCAGGCTGAGACACCTCAAGGGCACCAACTTAGACGAGGCCCTCCAATACCCCCAACGACTCCAATCTCAACCCCAACCTTGTCAGGAACACACCAATGAGCAGCGGCCCGACTTGACAGGATGCCCCCGGAGGCTAGGAAGGCTGCACGTTATGGTATGGGCGAACAAAGGACCTCGCACTGACCCATCTGAAGAAAAAAAGCTAGCGTGTTGTAACCTGATCTGTCGAAGCCCAACCAAGAATGACCTCAACTCTCAACGTTCCCATCCACATCGGAAAACCGGCATCCGAAGTACCCTAGTTGGTCGTGCCTAATTGGTCGTACATCTGAAAACACAGCATCTCCTTGCGCTCCTCTGGCGATTTCTCTCCACTTCCAAGGTCATGACAACGCTCGCGGGCCGCGATGAATTGCACCACATTTTCGAAAGATCGCCACACAGCCCTCTTCTCCAAAGCGTTACCAGAACTCAGAGCACGCGCACTGCACCCACTCTAGAATCGTTTGCATCCAGTCCGCGACAGATACCGCCGGGTGCGCTGCAGGAAGAATTACAACGTGTTGTTCAGGTTTCGTAGTAGGGAAAACGTGTTGGCGCGCCAAGTTCACCGTCAGACGTGACTATCAACCTCCTTCTGGCAACAAAGGAGCCCAAGCCACGATGGCGTGATTGTCCCCCCTGTCTATCCAAGGCTGCGGGTTGGCTGGCTTGTGTAGCGAGCTCGTCGTCCCCGGATGATTTCGGTCGCTCAGGAATTCCTCTAGAATCTGAACATGTGAAAATGGACGGCCTCGCACATTGGAAGGTATAAGGATTTCATTTAGGTGCATCGTAGATATTATCATTGCTTTTCTCAATTTTATACGATGAGAGAGTAACGTGTTCGGGGCTAACACGCGGGTAAATCGGCCGATAAGCCTAAGGCGCCCCATCGCCGCCGCTGACGGGAGATAACGTGGTGGATCCGGTCTAAGACCTGGGCAAACAGGTGGGCCCGGCCCCCTGACTGGAAATTTTGAAAAATAGTCTTTTTCCGACGGCACCTGTTCCAGACCTGAGACTTGCTCACTCTAAAATTCTGGTTGACACATCAGACCCCGTCGTTGGGCGTGTAACAGCTCCACCGCAAGCCTCATGGCGACGACAGAGCAGCCTCCGAAGGGTTCGAACCTCGGCACGCCGGGTATGCTGAGTGAGAGAGACTCATCCGACACCTCCATGATGCCTCAACAAGAACCGAAGGCGGCTCCGAAAGCCGGCTTCATGACCAGATTGCGCGAGGAAATCGACCCGGCGCACTCGGACCTGCCCGTGCTCGCGACCTGCTTCGTATCCGGAATATGTGACAGCGTCGCGTTCAACGCAAGCAGCGTCTTCGTGAGCATGCAAACAGGCAAGTCCCCATCTCCCCCCTGGACCTACTGGCAAGTGTGTGTCACCGACACGCCCCGACTGACATGTCATCCAGGCAACACCATCTTCCTGGCCCTTGGCACAGCGAACCTCCCATTCGGCGCCGAAACCCTCTGGCTCAGGGCGCTCGTCTCCATCGTCTGCTTCTGGGCGGGCTGCTTCTTCTTCAGCCAGTCGCGCCGCGTCGGACCCAAGGGCAAGGCGACCTTGGCGGGCTCGTTCTTCATCCAGTCCGCCTTCATTCTCATCGCGGCCGCAGTGTCCCAGGGCGGCGTGGTTCCTGCGTTTGGTATGAAGTCTCTCGGCACTGCAGCAGCGCGCGGCAGGCTTGCGAGTTACGAGACCGAGAGCATGACCCTGCTCCCGGTTGCGTTGTTGGCATTCCAGTTTGGAGGGCAGATCGTGACGAGCCGAGTCTTGGGTTTCAACGAGGTGCCGACTAATGTGTTGACGTCGCTGTATTGCGATTTGTTCTCCGACCCGTTGATCATAGCGCCCATTGGCAAGAATGTGAAACGCAACAGGCGGGTTGTGGCCGTCCTCCTGATGGTTGCTGGTGGAATTATCGGGGCTTGGCTGCAGAAGTCGAAGGCTGGTATGCCAGCTGCATTGTGGATCGGAGGTGCCATCAAGATGGTCATTGCCGTATGTTGGTTGGCCTGGAGAAGCAAGACCGTGGTGCACGATGAGAAAGTGTAAACGAGGTAATGAGATCACTCGACGCAGGTACTTCATCCGGGCCCCATGAAATCTTACGAAGCGAGCTGCTCAAATCAGATGATAGACATATACCCATACCATAGATTAATTAGATCGAATTAATAATGTCAAAGAGCTATGTATCAAATGCAACTTTATCTATTATTTCTTTGACGCTCCACTTGTCTCGAGCTGTGTTGTTGTCGTCTTTCCCTTTACTTGGGTGCAGCCCGATCCGGAACTCAGAATGCCTCTGTGCTCTGAATCTTCATGTCGGTCTCCAGCCCGGAGATTACAGCGTCATAGAACTGTCGTGCTAATTCTGCGTTGTCCAAACTGGCAGCAGACAGAAAGTTCTCCAAGCACCACTGAACTGCTCCTGCGTAGTTCATGCCGCCATTTTGTAGGACTATCCCGGCCATTTGGGACGCAACGGTTTTCTTTTCCAGTAAATCATCCACGGTCATCCCATCGTCGATGCGGAGTTATGCAAAATAGTTGCCAGTGATGTATCAACAACAGTCCGAGTGATAATAGCATGGAGTCGACCGGTCTACATGCATTGGCTGGAATTGTCTGATGCTGCGACGTGAGGTTCGGAGGCGATGGTCCTAGGGAAGCTGCATGTGCTTGTCGTGATGCCTGCGATACTTGTTTTGCTACAAATGGTCGATCCAAATAATAGGTGCCACGTTTCGGAATATTCTCTCCGGCAAGGAATGCAATGTCATCAATTGTGACAACCTTTGATAGCCACGGCGTGCTGTACAAGTGGAGGACCCCAAACGAAAGTGTTAAGGCTAATTTGAGCCTTTCCGGATACCCAAAGTTGTCGATTCTCGCTCCTGCACTGTCCAGGATTTCCCGGAGCTTCATGGCCCGGTTGCATGGCCTCGGGTCGTGGTGATGATACAGGTCGAACTTGTTTGACGTACCATGTATGTAGCCATAATAATCTGGCGAAATACGTCGGTCTTTGCTCAATGTATGACACAAATTGGTGACATGATGACGTGCCAAGACAGTATTCGCGACGGAGGTTGTCAGGTGACTGAGTGGTGCTTTTCCTGACGCAGAAGCAGGTTGGGCTTCTTTCGATCGGGCGGATAGCGTGGAAGCCCATCTAATAAGTCTTCCTCCTGGCGGACTGGGCTGTGCTTGTGTAGGTGTCAACGCTTGTAAACCACCTTCTTTCGCTGACAGTTTCACTTGCAGTCTGCACCATCTCTGTAAGTCATCTCTGTAACCTCCGTGAAAGGAACCGAGAACTACGTCAAAGTGAAGCTCTCTCGCTGCTTCTTCCTCCTCAATTCCGGGTAGAATCACAGGTTTCCTTTGCGTGATTATCAGTCCAATATCGTGTGACCAAGTACAGCTACATGTTACTGTACCGGCCAGACTGGGGGCAGGTAAGCGGTTTAAAATCCTTAAGCGGTTTAAAGGGGCTTAAATATTCAAGGAAAGGAGCACTTAAAGGGGTGAAAGGACCTTTAAAAGCTTAAAAATAAAATTCACTTAAGATGGAATTAAATTTTAAGCTGGATTTATATACTTTTACCTCTACTTTTGCCTCTGCCTTTGCCTTTACCTTTACCTTTACTTCTTCTTTTACTTTTTTAAAGCTCCTTTCTTCCCTTCTTTTCCCTTTTGCTCTTTTAACTAAGGTAATAATTTATTATTATATTATTATAAAAGGAATAACTTCCTTTTTTAATTAATAGGTAAATATAAACCGCGTTAAACTTATTTATATATAGCTAAATTGTTAACTAAGCTTTAAACCGCTTAAAGATTTTAAACGGTTTAACTTCCCCTCTCAATTGCCCGCAGTTTAAACCCCCTAAACGGTGACTGCGCCGCTTAACAACCGTTTAGAAGAACCCCACATACCCGGTACAGCATGCCCCCCCTGAAGGGCAGAAAACATCCCCGCTGATAGTCTGCGAATGAGACTTGCTGCTTTGGCCTGCGACCTTGACCGTCTTGTCGGCTCCAATTCATCATTTTGCTGTCTGAGTGAACGCAGTACGGTGTTCCCGTCTTGTAGTCTCAAAAGTATGTCGGTGTGGGCAGCTTTTTGCAAGGTAAAGGAGGTTTTGCGTTTCATTTCTGCCATTATGGAAGTGAATCGACTCAAGTCAATATAATTGCTCCGGACATTCCTACCTCCGAAGCTTCAGCAACATCTCATGCGCACTCAAACGCCATGGACGAGTTGGCAATCCGCGTTCCACCTCTACCTAAGGAAACATGCTGATGGGCCATTCCTGTGCCCATTCTGCTTCACTATCATTTCTGTGGACACACGGTATGAATGGAAGTATGCGTTCCCTCCTCTACCCATCATTGTCCAGCCAATTATTTGGCTCATGCTGATCCAATGCTTTACCTCAGAAAGCACATTTTCAGTGACTTGAAACCGTACGTATGTATCTCGAATGGTTGCCTACTATCAGGGCAAGACTTCCAGAAACGGAAAGATTGGATCCGCCACATGACCGCGCACCACTGGAGAGAGTGGAGTTGCTCTTTTGGGTGTTCACTTTCTTTTAGTGACTGCCAATCTCTCGAGACTCATCTCAAGAAAGTGCACGCAGGAGAGCTCAGCTCACAGGTCGTTGATCACGTGTCAGCTCTGAGTAGTCGTATTGATGTCAAGAAAGCCAATGGGAAGTGTCCAATGTGCCAAGAATTTGAGGTCAACACCATCCGTCAGTATAGATCACACATCGGCCACCATCTCGAACAAATTGCACTATTTGCACTGCCAAACACGGACGACTCCGATGGGAATGGGAACGAGAACGAAGAATCTCAGGAAAACGAGGATGACGACAGGATCGAAGACGAGCCGAAAGGTGGCAGCAAGTCGGCAGAGGTGGATGTCACCAAGATCGACAATACCGACATGGATCTCATTGATACTTCTAGTGAGTCTGAGTCTGGTACAGAAGTCGAAGCCAATTCAGAAGAGACTTCGACAGCGCTTTCGACGAGTCGAATCGATAGTCGGGACGAGCTGAGTTGGTCATACCGCGAAACAGAAATCAAGCCAGGGGGGCATCAGGCATCTTCTGAGTTGCTTTCGGGTCAAAATGGTCAGCAAAATGAGGACAAGGATAGCGTAGGGAGTATCTATGGAGAACCTGAGGCTCAATCATCCCGGAAAGATGGCCAGGAGTCAACCGAACGCGTTGACCTGTCTGAATCGCTCGACCGGTTATCAAAGAATGCTACGTATCTTGGTGGTGGAGGAGGAAAGAGTCCGTCCAGAAGATCGAGGTATGTACAAGAGAAAAAGTGGAACTGCGCCTGGTGTCAGTTTGGCCCACTGGATTGGACATATGATACACACTGTGCGGACTGTGGTCGCCCAAGGGACCAGTACTGCCTAGTATCATATCAAACCAGGAAAGTCAGGGTAGACTGAAATAACTTCGGAAGTGGAGAGTTCTTCCTCGTCGGCCAGAAGTGGAGCGGTAGGTCATTCGGAATCTAGGAGGATGAGAAGAGTCCTATCGAGACAGCGACCTCACAGATCCTTCCAGAGTCAATCTAATTCGCCACGATAGGGGTCTCTATTTCAATATAGCCTTTCCGTTCGTGACGTAGGGTGCCTTTGGTTGACGGGAAACATCACGTGAACCTTATCAGTTGCTGGCAGCATATCACGAATCTCAAAGCATCATGTTGGTTAGAGGGACATTTCTGTGAGTCAATTGATACACGAGATTCTGTGTGCCATTCCAAGAACAGGGTTCTGCACCGCTCTGGCTGTTGGCAGCCATGTGGAGGATTTCTCTCAACAAACACGATAGAGTTTGATTTTCGACGGAACGTTGGGTTGGTCCAGCCGGGCCGAATGCAGCATGCGCTCTCCAACGGTTGCAGATTGGTGGCCTTCGTGCCTTGACTTGCAATAATACTCGCACTAATATCCGCCCACAGCGTCACATTCCAACCGCCGCTAGTTCAGGCGTCAGGTAGCATGTGCCTGGACTAGATAACAATGAACCGCCCACACGTTGTGGTCGAGAATGATGGATTTGACCTGGAGCATTCAATCCACTGAGTGAAGATGAAGCACCTGGTGTACTCTTTCGCCAGTTTGCTGGCTTCATCAGTAGCGTGCGTTTCTAGTGATTCCAATGTCTCAAACAACGTCACCGCCTCAGATTCGACATTGTGGACTTGGTGGCACAACAACGGCGAGATCAACTACCAGAGTCCGGTTCACCAACAAAATGTCCGACAATCCCATGTTTACTCGACTTGGGTCAAACCCAACACGGACTCCGCTGCGGAATAGTACGAAGCCTCCTGTCAAGACGGAAGAACTTGAGCTGACAACACCAGCTACAATTCCTTCGTCTACGAGACCATACCACGCAATGGACAAGGGAACATAATCACGCCGGGTGACCCAGACTCGGGCACCGACGCGGACGATGCCATCACGATCGAAGCTGACATCTGGATCACCATGGCCTGGACCCAGTTTCTTTACAGTGCAGACGCATGGGTCAAGATCGCTCGACAGAACAATCAGTCGAGCAAAGCCAGCAATGTTGTCGTTCGCCCTTCTGACCTTGATTTCAAGATCAAGGATGATGCTGACGGTAACGTGTATGTCTTGGTGCCATATCGAAGCGAAGGCTACCGATTTTCAGTGGAGTTCCAGGACAATCTGTACAGCTATCGTGACAGCTGCGACTCAACAACCTGTGACTTCGTCCAGAACTGGCACCCGGACGGACCAAACTACGTCCCGAAGCTTACTGAAGACATGCCCATCATGTCTGTCGAGCCGCACGACGCTCTTCTCATCTTCGCAAGTCCAATGCAATCGGCAGACCTCGTTCCAGACCAATCTTCGCCAGACACTTACCTTGTCCCGCCCGGCCGGGTACCAGACCTGAGCAACATCGACAACAAGAACGTCTTCTTCGCTCCTGGCACATACTGGATGACTGCAACAGACCACACTGTCCTGTCGGAGTCTGTGGAGTGGGTTTATCTCGCACCCGGTGCATTTGTCAAGGGTGCCATCGAGTTCACCACAAATGCCACCACAATCAAAGCAACGGGACACGGTGTCCTCTCCGGGGAGCAGTACGTCTACCAAGCCAACACGGCGGACGATTATCAAAACGTAAAGTCCAACGCAGACAGCCTGCGGATGTGGAGTGGATACAGTACCCCAGACAAGCAGCAGACGTTTGTCCTCGCCGGCGTCACGACCAACGCACCGCCCTTCAACAGCGTCGACTTCACAGGCGACCTGAAGACAATCTCCATCGACCAGTCGGACTACAAGCAGGTGGGCGCCTTCTTCGGCCAGACGGACGGCACGACGCTGCACACGGGGTCGAGCGTGCGGGACACGTTCTACCACTCGGGCGACGACACGATCAAGACATACGGGTCGAACATCACCGTGCGCGACGTGGTGGTGTGGAAGGGCAAGACGGCACCCGTGATCCAATTCGGGTGGCGCAGCCGGGACCTGCGCAACATCACCGTCGACGGCGTGGACGTCATCCACATGAAGTACTCGAGCAACGCGAGCCACCCCAGCATCATCGGCGCGAACCAGGTCTACGGGTACTCCGAGGACGACTCCAGCACTGCGGACCTGGACAACACCGTGCGGGATGTCTTCTTCGGGAACATCAGGGCCGAGGGGATCGGGGGCAACCTGATGCGCATCGTGCCGCTTGCGCACTACGAGAACATCACCATCGAGAACGTCAGCTTGGAGGCGTTCAGTGAGAGGAGCAACAGTATCTACAGGAGCGAGTTCCCGCTGTGGGGGGACGAGGATGGAGATGTGGTCTCCATCACAGGCTTTACAGTGAGGAACTTCACTGTTGGCGGGGAGGCCATTCTTCCGAACCTGGGGAACATCGGGCCGTTTGAGTTGGGAGGGCTCAACATTGCCGAGCGTTTGTTGACGGGGAATGGTGTGAAGATCGAGTGAAGGACGAGCGGTGGATGATTTTGCATCGGTACGCGCATTGCTGGAATTAGAAAGACGATTACCTAGAACTAGAAGTAGATGGTTGCTTGCACAGTTAGAAAGAAGTCCGTATAGATCTACAGGTAGAAATAGATGTTTACATTGATCAGCTCAAACAGAACTCTCCTTGTTTTTGACTGTAACGGCAGATGCATACTCATGAGCCTATTTATTTCACCGGCACTTCAGATTCGTTGCAACCATGCTCAAGTTTACGATGGCAGTCCTGACTCCCTCCCTCCACTACCCCAAGTTTTGATCACATGATGTTTGCCTCCCGGTCAAATACTGAAAAAGGGGAGTCGGACTAAACGCCTGGTGGCGAATGGTACTATCTCCGTTAATTGAGCATTGTTCTGCCATCGATTGACACCTAGTGGACATGTCTTGTTCGTTTATACTTCCGAGCTGATACAGTCATTGGCGGAGAGGTGAACGTGACGAAACGGTGATCCTTGAATGATGATCAAGTTCGTCATGGCTGAGTGCTTGGCATTATCAGCCATGCACAGCGTTGCACTACATCAACAAAGCAAGAAAAGAGAATTTTGGCATGGGTTTCCACCAACACCCGGATTCGAATTTGCAGAACAGAAGTGTTTCTATGATCAAGAAAAGACAAAAGAGATAGAATGTTCATCATTAGTGTTATACACAGAGGTGGAAAGGCATCAAACTAAACACGAAATATATACATCAAGAGGCAACATGGACTCCAAGCCTCTCCTGCATATTCCCATCGATCCTTCAAACCGAAGGACACTCCTCCGACATGCCCCAGAGCCGGCTGAAACTGAAAAGCCCCCCAGGCTACCCGTGAAGGAGACACGAGCCCACCCCAGCGGGACCAGGGGCAGCGAGGACGGCAGCATCTACTTCATCGGCACGGCCACGACGGTGATAGAATGGGCAGGCGTGCGCATCCTGACGGACCCAAACTTCCTGCACGCGGGTGACCACGTGCACCTGGGCCCGGGCGTGACGGCGCAGCGGCGGACCAACCCGGCGGTGGACCTGGAGCAGCTGCCCGGGCTGGACTGCATCCTGCTGTCGCACTTCCACGAGGACCACTTCGACAAGAAGGTCGAGCGGGCGCTGGGCCGGGACGTGCCGATCCTCACGACGCCGCACGCCCAGAAGTGCCTCACGGACGCCGGGATCGAGGGCGGGCCCTTCCAGGCCGTGACGGCTCTCGACCACTTCGAGAGCGCGATGCTGGAGGTCACCGGGCCGGACGCGCAGAGGAGGCCCGTGTTCAAGGTCACGGGCACGCCGGGGAAGCACGTCGCTCCTGGGCCGCTGGCCGTCGCGAATGACCTCTTGGGCGCCGTGCCGCCGACCAACGGCTGGCTGCTGGAGCTGGGCCACTCCAAGGACGGGGAGCCTCAGCCGAGGGATGTGAATACGGACTTCCGTGTATACATATCGGGAGACACGCTGTATATCGACGACCTCGTCAAGGATACTCTCCAGTGGCTCCAGGGCCAGCAGATCGACCTGATGCTGGTGCACCTCGGCGGCACCACAATCCCCGGCTCCAAGGCACCACTGGTCATGGTGACGATGGATGCGATGCAGGGCGTCAAGATGATGAAGGCAATGGACCCGACAGTGACGGTTCCGATCCATTACGATGACTACGATGTGTTCTTGTCGCCGTTGGAGGATTTCAAAAAGGAGGTCCAAGAGGCTGGGCTGCAGGACAAGGTGGTGTATTTGGATCGCGGTGATCAGTACCGGTTTTCAATGAGGAATTACAATTGATCTGTTTGATTGCAGCGATGCCTTTGATTCCATGTGCTGCTTCCTTGTGCGACTACGATGGCCTCTGTTTTACGGCCGGTTGAATTTGTTGATGTACTTTACTTTTTGAGGCCCTGGGTTTTCAGGACCGCAAAAGTCGTACATGTTTCTAGAACCACTGTTTCCTACAGTATACAGTGCCAGCCGATCTAAAATCAAGGCAACAGACTTATTGCCCAGGTGATTGAGCGAGTTCGAATACGCAAGTTGCAGAAGAGCTAGCCCCTATACGGGCATCAGCAAATGGACACAGCGTAGCTAGGCGTCACCTGGCGGCAGTAGGACCAGTGTGTGAGCAAGTACTTATAGCATGACTTTTTGGGGAAATTCTTTGGTCTGATCAGTCCAGTTGTGCAAAAGATCAAGGAATCTCATTATTGTTCCCTTTGCTGTTTTGGCTGCTATTGTTTCTATCCTGTCTGGATCCACAGCACACTTCTGGTTGCTGCCTACTGCACAGTCTGCACGGTCAGTCAAGTCTCAACTTGGTAATGGAGTGTAAATATTTACCTGTTACTTATCACACGACTCTTCCTATCCAGTGACCAAGTTCGAGGTAATCTTTATTTTCACCACTCTTGAAAACGCCAAAATGATACACCTTCCAGACGAGATCTGGGTCCAGATCTTCTCTCACTTCGAGGCCTTCCTCCCCAAAGACAAATGGTGGATGTACGATGAGCAAGGAGACAACTCCTCTCGGAAGACGCTAATTTCCATCTCCCTCGTTTCGACGCACTTCCATTGCTTGGCACAGCTTCTCATTTACCTATCCGTCCTCCTCGGCGAAGGAGAATACAAGAGGGACTGGAATAAAGAACAACTCACCCGCACGCTGGCGATTTCCCCGGAGCTCGGGTTCAACACTCGCACAGTCAGTTTTGATGACTGCAGGGCACCGATGACCACTGGTTTCGTTTCCATGTTACAAACGCTTTTACCATCTCTCGACTTGGGCACTGCCATGCGAAGGCACATGGAAATTGAGCTTGAGAAGTCAAGAGACGACCCCAACGTTCACATGGACGTCGGAATTGCTGTAGCCATGCTCGCCCTGATGCCTCGCGTTCGCCTGGTCGACTTCACCTATTGCAATTCCAAAAGCCTTAATCTGGATGATGAGCGGGCGGGCAGATGTGCACTACCAACTCGTTCAGAACACTGATTATGAGGGCTCACATGAAGAGGAAGATGGGGTGATAGAGGGGTTTCGCAGTGATAAGGCTGGGGTCAAAGGCTCTCAAGACCTTTCAAGATCATCGTTTGCCAACTATGGTCTGCCCAATCTCGAAGAACTACGTCTGCGAACTGCCGATTACAGGTACGGAAGCACACCTATCCACTGCGTCGAGGCCGCCCTGTTGCACGCGAATCTGAAAACTCTGCGCCTGCTCGGAAGCAACTGGCTCCATAGGAGCCTCAAATTGCTCAAGTGGCCCAAAGAGCCCTGCGGCTTCCAGTTCCTCGAGCTGAGGGAGAGCCTGGTGGAGGCATCAAGCCTCAGGCACATCCTGACGCGCCTCACGAGCCTTCGAACTCTGATCATCCACATAGGCGACGGACGCAGGCATGACGAGGACGACCAATGGGCTTTGATGCTGGACGAGTTCGGCTCGATCTTGAGGAAGCTGGGCCAGGATCTGGTGGAGCTGAGCCTGCATACCAACAACTCCAGTGACTACCTCGACGGGACTGGCGAGTACGAGGGCTACCTTGGCTCTCTCATAGAGTTGCGATCCCTCAGCCACCTCAGCGTCGTCATCCAACACCTTGTGGACGATTTCACCCAGCGTGAGTATCGGGAGGAAGTCCCGGCGCTGGCTGGCATCTTGCCGCCTTCGCTCGAGACGCTGCATCTGCACTACGATGGCATGGACTGGGATACTCGGGAGGAGTATACACACCGCTGTAGTTTCGTCAACGGCGCTGTGAGGAAGTTGCTTGAGCACGGGCAGATGCACAACCTTCGACGGGTCAGTATTGAGAGGTACTTCAACTACTCCCTGGAGGGTGAGTTCGACGGGCAGGTAGCCGGGTGGGATATGACGGTTGAGAATGTGCATCTAGATGTGCGAATGTCGTATAGCACTTCGCGGTTTCGGCAAACCATGGTCACTTTCACAAGGAGAGGATGAACGGAGGATTGACTTAGGAAGTCATACGTGTGGAGATGTATCCTTTGAAAATCCAGCGGATTCTAGTGATTACACTTCACGTATGTTCTGCACACCAAGGTAGAGCCAAGGACAAAGCGATGTCACGGAGGCGGTGATGAGAAAATTCCATGACCAACCTACACCGGTAAAGAAACTCTAGCAACATAATTGCAAACCTTGGGGACGGAAGAAATCGACGTAGAGAGAAAGTAATTGACGGGTTAGTAGATGCATGTAATTTGCATATACCCATACCTCATTTACAATCAGAGGCGTCAACTCGCTGGTCGCTAAACAGATATACTGATGCGAGGACAGACAATATTCCATCTATCGGGCACCATTTGTAATTACGCTCTCCTCCTTTTGCCCCTCCTTATCCGGGCTGTTTCTGACGTGGCCTTCTCATCCGCTTCCACCTTGACTGTCTCAGCCACCACCACATTCTTTCGCTTCCTCGACGGCGTAGTGATGGGCGTCACAAACGCGACATCGTCCTTGGTCTCTACCTTAACTGCCACCTCAGCGGCCCCATCCTCCCCTGGGGCCTTCTCAACCAGCCTGTCCGAAAACGTCCTCAGGTCGGCCGTGAATAACACCGAGTGCGCCCAGCCGGCCTGGCTTCCCCACAGCTCCCTGAAGTGGTCGCCGACGGCGTCGTACAGGGCCTTCGTGAGGGTCTTGTTCTTGCTCTTGCCGCCGAACTTGTAGTCGCGCATCGCGATCTGCCAGACGTGCGTGTCCACGGGGACGGCCTCGCCCCAGCCCAGGCCCATGAGGCAGACGCAGTCGGCGACCTTGGGGCCGACGCCGGTGAGCTCGAGAAGCTGCTCGTGGGCGCGTTTGTACGTCGGTGCCTCGTCCGCCGTGTCCTTCCCCTGTGCTGCTGCGCCCCAGGCGACGGTGGCTGGGTTCCGCAGGCTTAGTAGCCAGCCTTCTGGCCTGTCCTGTGAGATGTTCTGGGCTGTCTGGGCTATGTACCGTGCCCTATAGCCGAAGCCCAGCTCGCGGAGGTGGGCCTCGACACCGGGTGCTGTGAGCGCGGCTGGGGTGGGGAAATCGTGGAAGACCTCGTCGCCTATGGCCCCGATGTAAGGTCCGTAGTGGAGGCATAGCTTGTGGACCATCTGTGATATCCTTGAGATGTTGTTGTTGCTGCTGCATATAAAGCCGACGAGGGCCTCCCAGGCATCCTGGTTCAACATGCGGACGCCTGTAAATTTGGGTGCCCGTTTCCGGAAGTTTGGGTCAGCGTCTGCCCACTGCTTGTACAGCTCGGCGAGGTCATGGTGCAGGTTGAAGTAGTTCTTCAGCAGGGCTTCCGTGTCATCTGCCGGTGGCTCTTCTGGCGTGTTGGTCCCTGTGGACGAAGGAGGTGTCAAAGGCACAGCAGCAGACTTTGGCCATATTGCGCGGTAGTGCAGATGGTCTGCGTCCTGCTTCAAAGACACGATTCTGCCGTGGTGAGTGCAGTGCCTGAAAGTTAATGTCAGTCGATGCAGCACGAAGCGAGACACACAGAGTCAGAGGAAGTGCCAACTGACCACTCATCGTTGAGCTTGCGCCATCTGAAGGACTGTCCACATCGCAATGTGGTGTCGATGCAGAGCTCGGTCAGACTCAACGGCAGCTTGCGCCACTCGGCTGTTTTGAGGGCACCCATGGTCGGACTGTGTCTGAGAAAGCAGAATAAGGTTCAGCTTGAAGATGGGCTTGAAGATGGTCAAGTTGAAGGCCAATTGTGCCCTTGGGGAAAAGGGGCTTGTGAGCTTTTTGGATCTTTGCCACTAACTGCCCGTAGTCGCACACACGCTCACTGTCTTACTCTGGGGTATTGGGCCGAGTCCAAGGTCGAGTCACAGGGGGCTGCCAGCCAGAGCTGCAGGTAGTCTTCTCACTTTGGGCAGCTACCTAGGTATGTAGAAAGTACGAAGGTACACACGTACAGGGGTCCTCACGGGCGTTAGGCCTAGCTTGGCCTAGCTTGGCCTAGCACCACCCTCCCAGAGCCAGCCTCGCCCTGGATTTTCGAGTGAGAGGAGGGCCCAAGCTTGGGCCGCGGGTGTTGCTTGCGTTGCTGTGCTCCTGGCATCAGCTTTTTATCTGGGTCCCCTGCATTGGCCTCGCCTTGCGACATTCAACACCACAACCCTCTGCTGCCATCAGCCAGCCGACCATTGACCGCGGAAACAAACACCATCACGGCAACTCCATTTCCTGTCGCATCTTGAGGGTGAGCTTCTCTGCCAGGTCAATCATGAGCGGCGACACGTACTCATCGCGCGGTAGGTTCCGCACCCAATCTCCCCTCCCAGCCCAGCTTGATCGCGGGGCCACACTGTTGCTAACTATGGACCGCAAAGACGGAGGCCGCCATGGCTCATCCAGGGACTACGGCGTAAGTGCTGTCAACTTTCCTCTGTTCTTGAGTTCCTGTCGCCGTCACCCGCATCTTCGCCTTTCAGCACCAACAGCCCGATGGGCGACGACTGATCGAGCTCGTACCGCGGTCGGATATTACTATCCTACATTGAGCGCCTCGAAATCCCCCGCCAGCTCGCGCACTCGTTCTCTTGCCTCTCCTCAAATTACTGACAATTTGCTCCATCCAGTCCTCCCGCCGCGACCGTGACGACCGACGAGACCGTGGCCATGACCGCGACCGCCGCCGCCGCTCTCGATCTCCCTACGACAACTCCCGCCGGCGCGATGCGGGCGGCGAAGTAGATAGCTACTCGTCCAGCAGGAACCACCGCGACCGAGAACGCGAGGATAGATATGGGGGGCGAGACCGCCGTGGAGATCGGGACTGGGACCGCGAGAGACCACCAAGGCGTGAAGGCGGCGGCCGTAGGGACGACGACAGACCCCCTCGTCGCGATCGTGACCTCTTCGACGACCGGCGCCGGGGTGGAGGCGGTGGACGTGGCTTTGGCGGTGGGCGGGACAGGGAGAGGGAGAGGGACCGCGATCAGGACGAATTTAGGGACCAGCGACGCCGTAGTGATTCGCCGCCACCTAAGAAGAGGGAGCCCACCCCCGACCTGACCGACATCACGCCCGTCCTGGAGCGTAAGCGACGCCTGGTGCAGTGGGACATAAAGCCGCCCGGCTACGAGAACGTGACAGCAGAACAGGCCAAGCTCTCTGGGATGTTCCCGCTACCCGGCGCACCCAGACAGCAGCAGATGGACCCTACCAAGCTCCAGGCATTCATGAACCAGCCCGGGAACTCGGTCAGCAGCGCCACCCTCAAGCCTACCAACTCGCGGCAGGCCAAGCGCCTTGTCGTCTCGAACCTCCCTCCCTCGGCGACCGAGGAGGCCATCTCCAGCTACTTCAACCTGCAGCTCAACGGGTTGAACGTAATCGAATCCACCGACCCCTGCGCTCTCGTCCAACTATCCGCCGACCGTTCTTTTGCCCTAGTCGAGTTTAAGACTCCCGACGACGCCACAGTTGCCCTGGCTTTGGACGGGCAGTCGATGGAGGCAGATGATGCCAGCGGAGCGGCCAATGGTGTGGCCTCGGGCTTGCAGATCCGGCGGCCCAAGGACTACATCGTTCCAGCCGTCGTCGATGACCCCAACTACGAGCCTGGCCGCGTTTCCAACATCGTGATCGACACGCCGAACAAGATCAGCGTGACCAACATCCCGCCGTACCTGACAACTGAGCAGGTCCTAGAGCTGCTCAGTAGCTTTGGTGAGCTCAAGGCGTTTGTCCTGGTCCAGGACCGTAGCACTGAGGAGTCACGGGTAAGTTTCTGTCTTCCAGCACGATATTTCATTAACACGACAATGTGGCTGATCAACCTCTCGACAGGGCATTTCTTTCTGCGAGTACCTCGACCCGGCCGCCACCGAAGTCGCGATCAAGGCTCTCGACAACATGGAGCTTGGCGAGAACCACCTCAAGGTCAGGAAGGCTAGTATAGGAATCACTCAGGTTGCGGGCGTGGAGATGGGCGTCAACGCAATGTCCATGCTGGCCGGCACCACGTCCACCGACTCGGAGGTCACACGTATCCTGCAGCTGCTGAATATGGTGACTCCTGAAGAGCTGATGGATAACGATGACTACGAGGGTACGTCACACGTCGTCGTAAAAGCCCACGAGTGTGGCAGACCTGCTAACAACTCTACAGAGATTTGTGACGATGTTCGCGAGGAATGCTCCAAGTACGGGCAGATTGTGGAAATCAAGGTTCCCCGACCAGTTGGCGGCAGCCGACAGTCTGCCGGCGTGGGCAAGATTTATGTCAAGTATGACACCCCAGAATCGGCTACCAAGGCTCTCAAGGCCCTGGCTGGCAGGAAGTTCGCCGACCGGACCGTGGTCACGACGTACTTCCCTGAGGAGAACTTTGAGGTGGGCGCTTGGTAAGAGGACAAAACGTGGGCACGTCGGAGCGGCACGGGAACGAGTTGGTTGAGTAGCAAGGAATCAATCAGTGAGAGGGGACCGCGCAGTAGCTCAGGAAGTTGCAATAAATATTCCAAAACCAAGTGACGGTTGGCAGGAAGGAGGCGACGGGGACAAGTCTAATTGATCGTCCGAGACCTCGATCAGAGACCTCGATCAGGAGAACATTGTAAAACGGGTCATGTACAGTAGAGATAGTTCGGCACTGAGCGGATGAAAAATGAATTCGACGGGCAGTGTCATGGGAGTCCGGGGAGTTAGGGAGCCACGGCAACATAATTGCATTCCACACGTAAAAATCCAGACCCAAACAGGTATGAGATCAATAAAATCTACATTCAAGCTATTGCTAGGTAAGTCCAGCCCGGAGAGCGCCTTGTTCTGGTGAGCCGAACACGGTCGCCTCGGGCTGTCACAGCACAGACAGCTCGGCCTACCAAAAGCCAGCCAGTCCACCTCACATATAGGACCCAAGGGCCAGGAATCTGTAGAATTTGAATCAGCGACTCGTGTTCGACAACCAATTGGAGCAGAAAAGATGCGTCGAGACAGTGTGCTGTCAGAAGTCCATTACATTCATCGGAATCCCGAAGGAAGCCTAACATAAGAGGTACCAGAATAGTATTTTAAAAATAGGTTGTTGATCATCACTTGAGCACAGAGCGAGGTAGAAATGAAGAAGACTGCGATGAACTTACCGGCCTGGCCGTTTGGATTCTGGAGGATGCGATGCTGTCGAGTGTGTTCTGCTGAGGAACAAGCAGTTTTCGGGCTTCCTCGAAAGATTTGCAGGTGAAGCTTGCAGGTGGACCCGCTCACGTCCCGCTCAAGCTTGCAAAGCTCTTCGTCCAACGCTAGCGCCGCCAATCAGCACGGCCATCACGGCCCGACCATTTTGCCGGGACCCGCTTTCCGATTGCAGGCCCACGCAAACTTCGAACATAGGAACTTCCCCCAAAATCTGCCCCAGGAATTTGCAGCAGCAGCCAACCCTCAATCAGCAGCATCACGACGACCACGACGACACCACACCGTCAACCAACCCTCCTCCCCCGAAACCATCAATCAAAATGGGTCGTCTTCACTCCAACGGAAAGGGAATCTCAGCCTCGGCTGTCCCCTACAGCCGCAGCGCCCCCTCGTGGCTCAAGACCACCCCGGACCAGGTCGTCGACCAGATCTGCAAGCTGGCCAAGAAGGGCGCCACCCCTTCCCAGATCGGTGTCATCTTGCGTGACTCCCACGGAATCGCCCAGGTCAAGGTCGTCACCGGTATGTTGTTGTCGCGTTGGATCTCTGTCCGAGCAGGAGCTCAAGGCAGACGGTGTGGATGTGTGAACGGTGGTGAAGGCTGACTTTTGTGTGCGCGCCCAGGTAACCGCATTCTGCGCATCCTCAAGTCCAGCGGTACGATTTACCCAATCTGAACAACCCACATAAATACGATCCTTCGAATAAAACCGAACGATCGAACCGAACAACCAATATTTTGCAATGCGATGCCATGCCCTCTGCAACGCAGACACTTCTGAAGCTCCATGCCCACGGCATAGCTTCGGGACGTGAGCCGGGCGGCTGAAAAACGCGCAAACATAAACAAATGCCTCTGTTCGGTCATGTGCTGACAGAGTGATCTAAACATAGGCCTCGCCCCCGACATCCCTGAGGACCTTTACATGTTGATCAAGAAGGTGAGCCAGGAAAACAAATAGACTCCTTCCAATGGCCCCGTCAGGCCCCTCGCGTGGATGCTAACCACCGTTGTGTGATTTCTCAGGCCGTCGCCGTCCGCAAGCACCTCGAGCGCAACCGCAAGGACAAGGACTCCAAGTTCCGCCTCATTCTGATCGAGTCGCGTATCCACCGTCTGGCTCGTTACTACAAGACCGTCGGTGTCCTGCCCCCCACCTGGCGCTACGAGGCCGCCACCGCCTCCACCCTCGTCGCCTAAGCGATAGCTGGCTGTTTGTTTACTGCTACCGCTATGAGTCGATGAAGGACGGAGTATGCTGTGGAGGAGGAAGCCACGGGGAAAAAGGTGCATTGCTGGCTGGTTTATTCTTCGGTCTCTTCGATGACCACGGTCTGGTATGGAGTTGGGGAAGGACGGGAACCGAACCGATGGGGCCACCAACCCCCAGTCAAAAAAGGCTCGGCTTGGGGAGGATGATACCTTCTCACACCTCCCTTTGGTAGAGGGTAGATGAGCAAAAATCGCAACACGCCTGGACTACCAACTCGTACAGCAGCACTGAATGACGGAGAATTACCATGCCATCCACGAGAGATCCGTGTGTGATGAAAGATGTGCAATTGGGAAAAGTGGTATCTTGTGATAATCCCTGTCCATACGCCGCCTTGCGATTCATCGTGGGATGGCCGACCCAAGCAGAACATCACACCTTGAAACGCCTTACTACCTACCCAGGTAGCTCATGCCCTCACAACTTTTGATTACCAGTGGAACCATCTTGGGAGTAGGAAACATGGCGAAATCCGCATAGCTCCGCATGAGCCAACTCTCCGGCACAGAGCCGTCGCCAAGGTCCCCATTCTGCCAGGCGCATGCAAGAAGCTGTCGTCGCGGATCGCCCTGATCATACCCAGTGCCAACCTTAATACCAATACCAGCTATGGGCTGTCCTGAGATGCACGAGGTCAGAACTTTGTCCAACACGTAGGGATCGGTCGGATCTTTGTTAGGCGACGTACCTAGAGCCAACCTGCAGGCAGGCCCGAGACCATCATACCGTCAATTCGTGGAAGTGGGCGGCCTTGCGCAACCTGGCGACATAGAATCCGACGATGTAGTCCTTGCAAAAGGGAATGCGATCGTATTTCGGTGTGGTATCTACTGCTCGACGGTGGTGTCGGCGCCATTCTCCTTCGCCTTGTCCTTGTCCCCCTCGGGGACAGAAGTAGCAGCAGTGCCATCGGCAGCAGCGCGATCGAGCTCGGCGCTGCGCTTGAGCAGGAACTCGCCCAGGACACGGAGGGGGTCGGCGGGCCTGTGAGGTAGGAAATAGTTAGCCACCAAACTCGTTGACTTCTAGTGCGAGGAGGGGTGGGCAGGGAAAATGGATGGGGCAGGGCGCCTACTGCTCCTTTGCAATGATCTTCATGCCCTCCATGACGTGGTAGGTCACTTTGCTGTTGAGATACTGGCGGGTCGGGGCGCCGTGGGCAGCTGGCTCGGTGGGCATTGTGACTCTATCAGCAGTGCGGTCAGCCGGCGCGGCGGAGGCGGCACGCGACGAGTTGTTCTCGAGGCGGGCGGACACACCCTCCTTGGAGCCGGTGGGCGTGGAGGTGCGGTTGGGCGTCGGCGGGTTCGTGGAGGAGGAAGCGGTGGTTGTGGTGGTGGTGGGGTTGTTGTTGCTGGCGAGGGAGAGCTGGGCGAGAAAGTCAGAAGGAGCTCTGAGGTGGACGAGGCCCGGTTCGTGAGGGCTTCGGCAGGAGCCCGTAGGAGAGGGCCTGGCGAGGCTGATGGTCAAGGTGGTGTTGCGGGTAGCCATCTTTGTCTTTGCACAATGTAGGCAGCTCGACGGCGAGGTGTAGTGTGGTCTGGTGAAGGCGCAAAGGAGGTGGGGAGGTGATAGTTTATGGGGTGGCAGTGGTGGTTCTGTCACTCCAAGAGGCTTGTAGACAGGGCAAAGACCAGGCCACATAAAAGTCACGTAGCTGGGAGCTAGAGGTCATTGTGGCGATTGTTGTGAAGTGATCGTGATTGTGCATGTGGTTGGTGAATGCGAAGCAGGTGAATAGAGCAGAGCAGTGGTTGCGTGCATAGCAAATTGTAAACACTCACAGCCGGATCAGTTCCTGTCTTAGAAGCCTTGACTCCTGATTCTTCCAAACCTGCCATTGTAACATCTTGGCCATTATTCTCCTTCAGTGCCCCATTGTCTGTTGTTGTCGCAGAGCCCTCGGCTTCCGCAGCGCTTGTTCCGTTCTCGAGGACCGGAGGGTCGAAGACGGGGGTCGGTTCTGACATGTTGGGACGGGTTCAACGACTTGAGACGGGATGGTAAGTCGAGTTGGGTTGGAATTTTGAGAAATAATTGGATTCCCGGCCCGCTGTCGAGCTGTAGATCGGATCGCAGAAAGCTGTTCTGGTGGATATGTGCAAGGGGAAGATGTTCCGAATTGGATTTTGGAGCTCGAGGTCCCTCCCTCTTCCCTGTCGCGTGCTGGACTTGGCCGCGGCAGGCCCACCCACTGCAGCTCTGCAGCTACTTGAAGTAATGCGGCAGGAATGCAGGGGTCCTAATGGGAGCGACCCGCCCACAGGCAGGCTCGACGCGCCTAGAACGCGCCTCGCCGAATGACATCAATCGCGTCCGTCTTAGGCCTTTGTCAGCCCGTCTTGAGCGGCTTTGGCTGCCAGGCAGAGCAACTAAGAACGGAACAGAGCTGGTCATTTTGTTTAGATGGCTGCTCTTCCTGATCAACACCACCCTCATGTTGCCACGCCATGGACGCCTTTGTGCGCAGAGCAACGGCCTCGTCCACGTCTCGAGAACCCCTGGCCGACATCTCAAATTCGGGTGAAATGCCTGGCCGACCTGCGAAAAGGGTGAAAATTGGGGGACCCCGACATGATGACAGCAACTTTGACGACGATGGACAGTCCTCCGACGCGTCAACACACCGGTCCGTCAAGAAGTCAGTCAAGGCACCCCCAAGGCGCACGAGGGAAGTCATACCGGATTCCGAGGACGAGGACGAGGTGGACCAAGATACCTCAACCCACCATCATCATGAAACGGCCCTCGAGAGTGCTCTGCCTCACATCAAGGCTGACGTGGATGCGATCGAGGAGTATGAGGCAATGAGAGCCTCTCAACTTAGCACCGAGGACGCAAATGACGCACAACCTGAGTCTGACGTCGACCGGAGGAAGTGGGTCAGGGGCAAGAGCTCCATCTATGTCGACGCTTTCAATCTTGCCCTGGATACAGTGCTCGAAGACGAGGCCCACTTATTTGATGAGAAGGAGATGGCTGTATTTGACCAGTGGCGCAGCCTGGATTATGAGGCCCAGTATCTATACGTCCGTCTGTTTCTACGGAAAGTCGCCGCTTGGCACCGGCGCGACAAACTTGGCTACTACAGCGATATATCGGACCCTGATGCCGCTATCGAGACGCTGCAGCGGAGTCGCCCATTGCCCGTAGCAGAAGAGAGCACCGGGGCAGAACCTGATGATGATGATCATGGCGATGGTGAAGTTGCTGGTGTCGCCCTGCAGGATTGGTCCCTCGGCGACACCTTTACGTTTGCCGACTCTTCCGATGAACACATCACTACAGTTGACGAAGCTGCTGCCCTGCTAAGTTTGGACGAACTCAAGCTTCTGGCCAAGGAGGCTAAGGTCCAGGGCAAAAACAAGAGTGATATCTTGAAGAAGCTATTGCGCATGAGCTCACAACAGAGTGGTCTGTTGTCAGTGGGACTACGCCGGGAGAGCACGACTGGGTCAATGGACTCGGCTGGTCGTGAGACTGGCAGCGAAACTCCCGACCCAGACGCGAAACAAGAGTCAAACCGAAATCAACACTTCCTGGCCAAGATCATCGCCATCACCGGGCCTTGCGTCAGGATATCGCCTCCAGTTTTCAAGCTTTTCGAACGGGTACATCTTGTTTTCTATCGGTCGACAGAGTGGACGGAGAAGTCTCTAACCACCATCATACTGGCCAAGATCTCGAGGCGGAATTTTCCACAGTACATTGTCGACCGGACATCCAACATTTTCCCTGACCGTCGCAGCCTGTTGGACTTCGAGCAGGCCATGCGACTAGAGTTTGAGGTCGATCAGATCCTCGAGTTTAACGGAACTCCTGGCGAGGAAGGTCACCAACGTGTGCTGGAAATATTTGATAGTGTTACTGCTCGCTGGCGGAGGCTTTTGAAGGAAGAAGAACGCAAAGAGAACCAAGTTTACGAGTTCGGCGAGGGCGCATACCTCCGCCGTCTCAATGCTGCACATGCGTATACCAGGATCGCACACAAGGCAGCGTACGTCTACGGTCGGCTGCACGAGTATCTGCGAGAACACGCACTGCTCACCGAGCTCTTGGCACAGCGCTTCTTCCAAATGGCTCGGCGCGGGTCATGGTATCAGCGCAAAGCCTTGCTCGAAGAACACTACATGTGGGAAGAGAAGCCCGATCCCAATATTGCCGACCAGGAGCAACAAAAGAAGCACTGGCGCCGCATCGCCGTCGCGACCTGTGAGGCTGCCCTCGAGGACCGAGATTGCCATCTCATCTACCACTTTGATCTACAGAAACGCCTGACCAAGCTGGAAAAACGCTTACGCATCCCTAAACGACTTCAGCATGACTTTGGCCACGTCCGCCTGCACAAGCCAGAAGAACACAATGTCACAGGGACCCAAATCAAGCGTGACGATCCTACAGCCGGCAAGCGTGGTGGGACAAGCACCAAAACGATCTGGGTAGACGAGGCCGAGGGTGGCGGCGAGTGCAGCGTCGAGGAGATGTGCTTGTCTCATTACCGCACCGAGGGCTGGAAAGGTTACCATTCCGAGGGCGGTATTTTAAGAACGCTGTTTGCATACTTATTCTACGACATTCTGTTCCTGTACATCCCCAACGTATTTCAGACGGCATACCAAACGTGCCCGCTGGACTTACACACCGACGCCTTCTACGCCACCCGAGCCTCCGAGATCAACCACCGCCTCGCCGAGATCTCAAACGGCGACGCCCCGCGCATTATCCGAGGGGTCGACGCCGAGCACCGCGAGAGGAGGACGTGCGTGGGGCTGAACTGGGACTACGAGCTGGAGGACCTCGTGGAGCTCGCGGGCTGCTTCCGGGGCGAGGCCCTCGCCGCCGTGTGCAAGGTCATGGCGCAGGAGTACAGGCAGAGGGGGGGTGGGGTCCCCGACCTCGTGCTGTGGAGGACGGAGCCTGAGCCCGAGTGCATGTTTGCCGAGGTCAAGAGCGCGAATGACCGGCTGAGCGATACCCAGCGGCTGTGGATTCATGTCCTGACGGGAGCTGGGGTGAGGGTCGCGTTGGTGAATGCTGTGGCGGGAGATATCAAGGAAATTGATTGATTTACAGAGTAACGTATACATGACAATAAAGATACCAAACACAGGTTACAATGGCCTGTCAGAAGTGATATAAACCACGAGGGTTACAGAACGGAGCCTCCATGGATCGAGAAAGTAGACGCATGCGACAGTGAATAGGGGGTACGTACCTTGCGCACGTCTTTAAATAGGGTGCCTTCTGGGTCCTTCTCTGCAATCAGGATTTGGCCATATGCCTACTTCGAATATTGGCAATCGCACATTTGCCAGACCCAATCGACCCTGTCGCAGTCCGACACCTTGCCAAACACCGCCCACCACTGGTCACGGCCCAAAGACCGAACGACTGAGCCTACTCATCACCCAAGTTTAGACAAACGGCGCAGCACGGAAGTCAGCATCAACCAGGCAGTCAAACTAGCCCAGATCAGCAGAGGCATACTTCCAGGCATCAGGCTGGTGTGAAGCTTCTGAGGGAAAGCCTCTCATCCACATCTGTTGGCCCTCCAGTCCAAACTATCCATTGCAAGGACACGATCTCAACATCGACAAGGCTTGGCTCTCCGTCGTTATTCATGTACCTCCTTCGATTCGATACATCCAGTCCATTATGGCGTCCTACATGCGGCTTTGCGAAGACTGTGATCGGTGAGTGAGATGTGTGGGCTTGCCCATCATCTTTCCCAAACCCATTCTTTTTGGTTGAGTCACAATCCATAACAATTCACTGACACTGTTCAGCCTCCAGTCATACCCATCGGCCTGCTACAAGCTTCTCATGGGAGGTTATGACGGCGTGTTTGGCCACCTCATCGAACCCACCGTGAACAAGTTTTCCTGGAACGACGACTGGGAAGTCAACCACGAACACAAGACCGTCAAGCTTCTCAAGACTACCTTTGAAAAACGCCGGGACGCCATTGATCACCTACTGTCTGCTGAAAGAGAGAAGGGAACATTTAGGGTTCTGAATAAATGGACGGGAGAGAGGTTTCCCGTCTTCGGGCCGAATAGAGAACTCGTCGCAGACATCGAGCGCTCAGCCTCTGGCCTTTTCGGAACTGTTACCTACGGAGTTCAACTCATCACGTACCGAGAGGACGAGGACGGCCTGCTCATATGGGCTGCTCGTCGCTCGCCGAAAAAGACGCTGTACCCAGACAGGCTTGGCGTGACCGTTGGCGGGAGCCTGCCAGCTGGAGAGACTCCTTAGGAATGCATGATCCGCGAAGCTCAAGAAGAGGCGGGACTCGAGTCCCAGTTGGTGGAATCCCACGCAGTGTCTGTCGGCACCATCAGCTACGTCACCTCTTCCGAGGCTAAGACCACCAGCGGTGGAGAGTCTGGATTGATTCGGGCCGAGATCCAATATATCTACGATATGAAAGTGGGCAAGGACGTGATCCCCACACCTAACGACATGGAGGCTTCAAATATCAGCCTGTACTCTGTCAACGATATCAAGAGAGCTCCTGATGATGGAGACTTCACTCCTGCGAATGCTTGCCTCATGCTGGACTTCTTGATCCGCGATGGTCTCGTCACCTATGAGAACGAACCCAGGTACAACGAGATCATAAGCCGCCTGCACCGGCCTCTGGGCACTTACACAGCCTGAAGCACTTGCTACAAATGAACGCTCGACAATGATCAGCACATGGTTCTAGCCTTGCAACTGTCAAGGATACAGAAATGGCCTTAACAAATGGCTACTGGTTGACTTTTGGTCGTCAAGTATCCAGCTAGTCAATACCACATTGTGATTTGGAAGCCTCCATTGATAATACACTCTACCCAGCGTTGACACACTAATTTCCTGTCTCGCAGCCAGTCCAGGTTCACTCGCCCCATCGTCTGGACTCATCATCGCCCTCCCACTCAGTCTCCTTGTAGCCTAGCTCCCTCTTGACCCGTTGAATTGTCGCAATATCCCCGGCGTTCTTGCCAGCTGCATCAGTGATCTTGACGGCAGGACGTCCGGCCGCCGAGGCGAGCTTGATTACCACGTTGAGGGGCGTTGACTTCTTCCCAGTGATGCAAGCTGTGAAATCATTCGTGAAGAAAGTCCCAATGCCAAATGCTGACTTGAATCCGGCCGCCTCAGACATTTCCTTGAGCTTGATACATAGGTCGTCATTGAGGGAGTCGGAGAAGACCAGAGTTTTGTCCCCAGAGATGCCAACTTTATCATAGAAGTCACGCATTAAGCCGATAAATATTTCCGGGTCCCCAGAGTCCTGGCGAACTCCGCCAAACGCCTCGGCGAACGAATCTGACCGTGGTGCGAGTCTCGGAGACTCGACACGCGCGGGACTGAGCCCGTCTCTTCTCGGCGAAGAGCGCGATGTTGTCTCCATGGGTTGTGCGAAGGACTCAAGGAATGCTGGAGTGCCAAAGGTGTCCGTCGGCACAACTTTCCATATGCCCTCGCCGAAGCAGTCAAGCCAGTAACGGAGTGCTAAAGCTGTCGAAGTCCTGTAGTCGTCGACAACAGCGGCAACACCCATGAACCATTCATGACCCACGGTCCCCATTGGCTTCAGTCCGAACTTCTTGGCCAGTCGCACATTGCTCGTACCTGAGAATGAACCGGAGAGGCCCAATTCATATCCCCTTTCCTTAGCTCGAACCAGGCCCCGGAGGACCAGAACTTGTGTCAGGCAGTCTCGTCTCCTTCGTGCTCCGTACTCTGCGAAATTACATCCGGCTTCCAAGAGCGTCATGCCTTTTCTGAAGGCCTTCTCCTCCTGCCCTTCGTGCGTCCAATCAGTGTCCATGAACCGAAAGTACGCTTCGCACACCAGCACTAGCAAGGGCACTTCGTACGAGATTGCCTGAGCCCATGGACCCTTCACTACGAGGCGTAAAGAACCCAACTCCTCGCTACTTTCAGCCCCATCATTGGGGTCGAAGTCAAGGAAGACGTGTTCTTTGGGATTGAGGCGCAGAGTCCGGAGGAAACCTAGATAAGCCGGTTTTAGAAACGGGCACGCCTCCCGCAAGAAAACCAACTCGTCCTCGTCAAGGGTCAGAGCATCCAAATCTGGTTGATCAGCGCAAGAACGGCAGAGATGTGTCAAATTTGGGCTCACGGTCAATTTCCTCCTCCAGCCAGCGAAAGGCAGCCCTTGAAAACTTCTTCGCCGGGGTGCGATTTGTGAGCTCATATGCTACCGGAACATTCGGGAAGTACTCGAGAACAGCGGCTTGCATCGTCAACTTGCACAGGTCGGTGTCCAACAAAGACAGAGCACCGACGCCTAGCGGAATCCTCGCATATTGATCTGGTTCCATGGTATCCAGCTCGTGAAGATTGAGGTGTAGTGAAACTTGTGGCAGAATACCACAGTCAGCTCCAGCGACCACAGTGCATGTTTTGCGCAAGTTGTGGAATCACATTAGCCACCATGTCATCAGTGATGACGCGCAAGCAATTATTCCGGTTAGGTTCGGGCCTTTGTTTTGGCCCGCCCACCGGCGAGCATCGTTACACGGCATCGACTTGAGATGCAGGATCTGCAATTTCCTGACATTTGGATATCTTGTGTTTCCCCTAGATACTAGATCGGCCCTCGCGACACATGTGCAGACAAGGATCAAGTTCTGGCACTTCATTGATATTCCAAGACTCCCAGCTTATCAACCACTCTTTTACCGTGCCGATATGCTGAGATTAATGCGTCCTGTCAGATGGAATTTGTCAGGCGATTATGTTCTCGTTTCTTTTGGATACATACTTGTATCATATAATATTTTCTACATGATATGATTAATAGTCTGATGGCTAAGACCCATTTAAATCACTGCCATCATATACTTACCAAGCACAGGTTATAATGGCCCTGTCTCAAATCATATATCAAAGATGGTGTTGTGCGTGAGGGGAACGGTGCAAGAGAGGGTTTTTAGACTTCGTAGGATTTGGCGCTAAAGTTTAGGAACAAGTATATGAGTCAAAGTCCACTAATCTCGAATTTCTCCTTCTTCTCCTCGTGATGATGAAGCAGGTCTAGAATAGTAAGTTCAATTTTGGAACGCTCAGTTCCATGAGACTTAATTGCAAGACGCCGAATTTGACCACGCTCAACGTCATGACGGTCAATTCCATGGAGCTCAAAGCCATAATCCCTAAGTCCATAACCTCTCATTCCACCAAATGGTGATCTTCGCTGTGCTTCCAAAAGTTTACCAACCGTCACTTTGCTTTTACGGTAGTTGAGCAGAACTTTCAAGCCGAGTTGATCTTCCTGATCGCACTTAAGCACTGTAATCAGCAACTCGTCCTCGACATCAAACCCTTCGGTTTGGTTCTCAAGGTCAAGGTACTTCTGGATGATTCTTAGGCCGTGAGGCTAACTGAGGCGCATGCATTCCTTGAGGATGCCCGTGGTGAAAGGAATCTTTTGCCAATCTCGGTTGAGCAGTATCGGTAGGGTGGATTCCACCAGAGTGTCGTTCTTCGCTGCCACCATCACTAGTTTGTGACTGACAACGAAGTCGTCGCCTCCTCGGTCAAGCAGCAATTGAAGCATATCCCCCAACTCTCGGTCGGACAACCCAGGTCTGGGCGAAGTCTGCACAATTTGCAGACACATCTGTCCCGTCATTTCCACGAAGTCGTCACCTCCCCGGTCATGAAGCAGCTGAAGCATTTCCCTCAACTCCCGCCCGGACAGGGCAGATTTGGGCAAACTCCGCACAATTTCCAACCATATTCGTCCTGGACTTTCCACGCCTGCTCTAAGATGAAACATCAGACACTCAACTCTGTCCCTTTCACTGCATACTTTGCAGGTTCCCAGGCAATACCTGTCCCTTAGTCTTCCTTGGTCAAACTCGTAAACCCAAATCTCGTAATGGTATGGCCTCCCGAGGACATTGAGTAATATTTGTGCTGTTGTTACCAGGAGCTGCGTTCCGTTTTTGGTCATCTCACACATTGCGACTATTTGTCCTGATAGCTTTTGCGGGTCAAACAGAACCTGACCATAAGCCATATGGTACTGGGTCAACAGGCAGAATTCTGAAGGTATGCGCAAAATTGTCACAACGGGCCATTCCCAATCGTTGCTCTCCCGGTTCACGACGTTCAGAAGGAATTTTCCACATGACCAGTGACCGTTCAAAAAAGCCCATTTCCAAGCTTTGTGTTGCCCAATTTCGAAGTCCCATTTGGCTGCCCCTGCCAACAGTTGCTCCGCTGCCTCTTCTCGGTAGTTTACGAGCGCAACGATCAGGGGTGTCCGGTGGCACTTGTCGCGGATGTCGATATCGGTCCCGAAACTCTTGGAAGTCAGCAGCTTGACGGAGCTTTGCTTCCCGTAGGCTGCTGCCCAGTGCGAGGGTGTCCATCCGTCTTCATCACCCGTGTTCGCCGTCGCCTCACTGTTTTTCAACAGTAAATCCATTACACTGGTATGGTCCCCTTGCGACACACATGATAATGGCTTCCTTCTTTCATAGTCAATCGGGTCAGGAAGAGCTTCATGTTGCATCAATATGCGAATCACATCGTCATGTCCATGTTCCGCAGCATAGCTCAACGGCGTCCTCTTTAACTCGTCTTCAGAATCCACTTGAGAACCATCATCCAGGGACTGCTTGACTATCTCTAGCCAGCCTCTCTCAGCTGCCCAGGAAAGTACTGTGCGACTCTGTCCGCGTAGAGAACTGTAGTCTTCGACCACAAGTGAAAGGCGCAGAGCTCGATGACGATCATTTTCGACTAGAGCCAGGAGAAAATCAGGGGCCGCGGTGTATGGTTCAATTTGAATCGAGTGTAGTGGCCATTGCGCCAACAAAGGCTTGATACACTTCCTGCGCGCATAAAATGGGAATGGAAAGCTCGACGGCCACTGTCAGTGCAAACATTTCGTTCGAAGGCCTGCTCCCTGACCAACCAAATAGACGAACGTATTCTCTCGTCGAGTCGAAAGGCCCATGTTCAGATAGAGGTTCAAGAATTTCGGTGCCGTATGCCTTTTTCCAGACAGTGCTTGCACCTATGGAGTTGTGCCCTGGCTTCATTGTCCGTATCTGGGTCGTTGTGAACAAGGACAAATCATCCCACCAATTTTCCAACTCAGCCTGAGCAGACTTGAGTTCAGTTTGCGTAGCTCCTGTGGCAATGACTCTAGCTGTTGCAACTTCTGACGCCAAGGAAATCTTGAGACCAGCCTCATCTTCCTTTTCCAACTTGGGATCCGAAATGATTGACCAGTTCCAGAGACTGAGAACTGCTTCAAGAGAGTTACGGTCAACCTCCCATGTGGCCGATCGATTTCCACTATTCGTATCTGGCTGACGAAGGAATATGTGGGCTTGTTGCAAGTGGGGGGCCGGAGAATTCACTGATGAGGGAACCACAATATTGAGACTGAATGCCATCGATCTTGTTTCTCTCCATCTAGGCTTGATGCCAGCATGGGCCAAGAGAATCTGAGTGCTGGATTCAATGGCCGTTCTGAGCTGCTGAGCTTGTCGTCGTAATGGAACCAGTCGATCACCCCAGTCCGCGGGCCCTTTTGACTTGTTGTTGGTAGTCGACTGGCTCGTCAACTCGGCAAGTCGGGATCGGTAGTAAAACATTTTCTCGGCAGTGCATGGCTGAGGAGGCTGGGATGAGCCTAGGACGTTCTTGGCCTCTAGCCAACGTGCCTCGGACCTCAAGTTCTTCTCTCCCCCATGCTCGGGGGATAATTCATCAGAATTGGACCCCTTGAAAGTGCATATCAGTGTCCTTCCACTCTCTTTCTCCTCCACAACGTCGTCGAATTCGGAAGAGCTGTTTCTCGCAGTTGCATTCCTGCCGCCTCTCCCACCATTTCCCGAAACGTTGATGTCAAGCCCATCCTGGAATAATGGGCCTCTAACGAGAAATCCAAAAGTGCCACCATCTTTGTGAACTGCCCCATAGGTCATTTCTATGGCTAACCAGTCTAGCTCGTGGCCCTCGACCTCATCGGGCCGATTCCGGAGAAGGTTCTGTTCCTTTTTCAAACGCCCTGTGCGCAGCACTGCGCGCACTATACTCATGACCACTATCGTAGCCAAGAGAACCACAGAGACAGATGAATGCATTGACCTCAAGCCGACGAATTGGAAAGCGAATCCAAGAATCGTCAACGCCGTAGCAAGTCAGACTTGTAGTTGCTCTCCAGGGTGAGATGGATCGTTTAGTTTCCAAGATGTGGTGCACTCTGTCAACGGCTGCGATGCATGTGCGAAGGCGAATGAGTCGTACGTCTGGTCGCCGATAGACTGATTCCCGGGCTGTACGATGTAGATGGCTGATGGACATGATTTGTCGGTGCTTCCCGTTCCCTCCGCATGATTGTGATGTTTGCAATCCATGAGAAATACCCTTTCTTCAGTGCTTCTTTCTATGAGGAAGGCGCAGTAAAACATGCCGCAGGATAGAGTTATTGTGCCGACTGCCATCATGGGAAATGCCCATACTGGAGGGGGTGCGTCATCCTTTTCCCACTGCCAAAGGTAGGTAGCAAGGCCTCCAAAGACAATAACGGAAGCCTGTGCGAGTATTCCAAGTCCTACTGCTAGCAAGTGGGCATAACGAGATTGTTTCTTGATACCAATATTGAACGATAGGTTTGAATTGGGGGCAAACTTGACAGTTCCCTTCCCCGAGGCATTGTTGACGGTTTCCTGATCCGGGTCATTATGGACAGCTTCCTGATTCCGTGCCTCAGTATCGTTTTGTTCAATGACCTTTCGGCGCACAAGTGTCCCTGTCTTGCGCAGAAGTGTCTCCGTCCTGCGAAGAAGCGTCTCAATCTTGCGTTCTTCCCAATTCGAACTCCTCGTCAAATACTCTCGAGGGACATAGATACCATGTCGAGGACTTTTCAGCTGTCTTTCAAGATGATCAAACCAATGGTAGAAGTCATTGGCCGCGCGATCGTGTATTACTTCGAGAATCTTTGCTCGGCCGAATACCCGGACAATGGCGCCGTTGTGATAGAGTTCGCAAACGTCCCGGCTTGTAGATGAACAAAGCTCTGCCTCAGCGATTCCTCCACCTTCCCTGCGCTCGGCCGACGAAAGCTCGCAAGGAAGGACCGCCACAAACGCGAATTACAGAAACCACAGCCGCAACGATACCTAGTGGCGCCATCGCGAAAATGAAGTTGTCCAAGATGGAAGTAGATTCGCTTAGAAATTGCTTAGTAACTTGTTCACCAAAGAGAGCAAGTAGCGGAGAAAGGTCGGTGGCTAGCTTGTTCGAGAAGTCGTCCCACCAATCGGCCCTCACAGTTGTCAGAAGACAGAACGCCAGGAGTAGAGGGTTGTGGATGGTTTTCAACAGCGGCATTATTACTATTTCAGTGATCTTTGGGGACGTTTGGGATGTTGAAGTACAAGTTTGACTCGCAAGCTGTTACGATTTCTGACGCGGAAATTCACAAAGACGGCGATAGCTACTCCGGCATCGAAGAAGTTGAAGGGAATGGAAAAGAGGGGCGGACCCGACCAAACACTGAAGATTCGTCTTGTCTGAATCTGTTCCATTTGCGATTCGCAGGTTCGTGATTGGTACCTCGAATGCTGTGCAACCTTTCGTCCAATCGGTGGAGTTCTCTTTTCGCTGGAACAGGTCTACCGTGCATAAAAAGGAGCAATTCCACAGATGGTTGGCGCTCTGTGGACACTATCATGCATTCAACGCCGCAGGTCGTTGGAATAGAAGGTGGACAAGTATGGAAATTGATGCGCGGCGGTGAGTGAAGCTGCACCAATAATGTCCTCAACTTTCCTCTCTCGATTGGTTTGAGACTGACCGCGTGTCTACCACACTTCTAATGGCAACTGTGCACCTTAAATTACTGCTATTATAAAATTTTTACGCACTGTTGGTTTTCATGCGTCTTCGGTAATGTCAGACGCCTTTTCCAAATGCGCCGAGGAGAATTCCTTCTTGCCCGGCACCTCTTCAACCAGGGCTGCCTGCTTTCCATCAAAGATCACAGCAATCTCCTCCAGACTGTGGCCCCTGGTCTCCGGGAACAAGAACCATACCACAACCAGGAAGACAACCAGCAAAGCACAGAAGACAATGTAGTATTTCCAGCCAAGGTTTTCCATGCCCAGGGGGTTGCAGAAAGCGGCAACAGTGAGCGACGCATAGATGGAGAAGAGCTCGAGCGCGATGCCCTTGGAGCGGAGCGAGTAGGGGAGGATCTCGGTCGGGTAGCCGAGGAGCAGCGGCGTCCAGGCGATGTCGTAGTGGAAGTAGTAGACGAATAGACACACCACCACCACGATGCCCGCGGGCCTGGAGCCGGTGTTCGCGTTGACGGCCGAGCAGGCCGTCCAGGCGACGTACGACGCGAGCATGCCGACGCTGCTCCAGAGGAACAGCGTGCGGCGGCCCAGCCGGTCGACGAGCACCGACGCCATGAGCGCCGCGCCAAAGTTGAAGACCTGCAGGAGGCCGTTGATGAGCGTCTGGTCAAAGGTGTCGGTGATGCCGACCGAGCTGAGGACGAGGGTCAGGTAGTACGACACGACGCCGATGCCGTTCCACTGCGCAAAGACGCCGACGCAGACGGCGATGAGGGTGCGCCTGCGGTTGCCCGGGGTCTCCACGAGGGACCCCCACGACGTGGTGCGCGCCGCGTCCTTCTCCATCTGCAGCGTCTGCACGATCTCGGAGATCTCGAGCTCGACGAGCGGGGTGTATGAAGCGCCCGCGGCACCCTCGGCGGAGGTGTCCCGTCCGGAGTGGTACTTGGAGAGGATGGAGGAGGCCTCGTCGGCCCTGTCGTTGGCGATCAGCCACCGCGGCGACTCTGGGACTGCCCACCAGAAGGCGAGCTGGACGAGAGGGAGGCCGGCCTGAACAATCGACGGAATCCGCCACGACCAGTCGCTTTCGTAGTCTTGTGTACCAAAGGTTGTCCAACTTGCGAGGATGGCCCCCAGGTAGTACATGGTCCAGAAGGCGCAGGTGTATTTCCCCCGGTGGGTCGGGTACGCCAGCTCTGCGATGAGCATCGGGCTCGGCTGCACCACGAACATGCCTCCGAACCCGACGATCACGCGCGAGACGACAAACATGGCGTAGTTGACGGAAGCTGCCTGTATGATTGTGGCGATGATGATGAGAATGATACCGGTGAGCAGGATCGGCCTGCGGCCAAATCTATCGGACAGGCTTCCGATCAGGGGGATCGAGAGGACGGAGCCGATAGACTGCGCGGCATTGACCACACCGAGCCTGGTGCCCGTGGGGTTGCTGAAGTAGCTGTTCCATTGCTTCAGAGACTGAAGCCCGTTCATGAGGGAGCCTGTCCAAGGATCATGTGAGTTTGGCACTATTGGTCATTCGGGGGCATGAACGCCCCGCCAGGATCTTAATTTCCAAGATTTACTCACCATCATACCCGGAAACAGAGGACGACAGAAGGGGGACGAGAAGCAGCAGGTTTAGTCTGAGCAGGTGGGGCAGTTGGAACCACCACTTATTTGTTTGGGGGAGCACCCGGGCGAGGGCCTCGCCGACGATCTGGGCTTCTTTCATGGTGTCTTGAAATCAAATTGGAGAATAAATATGTAAAGTGAACGGCACCAAAGCACCGGCTGCATCCTCAGGGCATTGAAGTGTGGGTATTGTCACTGGGATTGTATAACTGCGGGCCCTCGTCGTATTTACGTATGTACAGAGTGCATCCAGCATTCGTCACCTGAGGAGATTCGTGGTTGGAGCTCGTTGACCCGCTATGACTAACCCATCTTCTCCTCTCCTCTAGATCATACCTGGTTCCTCTCCCCATGGGGGTGTGGGTACCAACCATAGACAAGGCCTAGATGGTTCAAGGGAAGATCTCCGTGTGTGCGTCCTTGGTATGTACCGACTTTCTAAGTCCCGGACTACTGTCGTCCGTGTGGACGGAGTCCTTGCCGTAGTGATGCGGAGCCCCATGTCGCACCAGAGCTTCTCCGAATGCTTGCGCCTATCCCTCGAAGTTGGTCGCATTACTGGTTGGAGGCTTGCTTCCTATCACAAGACACCGCGGATTGTCAAGAAAACTATTTGATGCCGTCTCTCATACCTGGTATATAAAGAGACCGGATTCACTAGTCTGTTTCTCCCATACCGCTACCGACCTCTGAATATTTGGAATTCAAGAGATGCAGAGACGGTCTGGCGAGAACACGCATAACATGATGGAGTGGGATGAAATCGCAAGATGCTTGATTCCAAATTCGCGCACGATTCCTTGTGAGCCGACATCGAGATAATCAAGTCCAACTTGAAACAAAGATATGCTGCTCAAAATTCCTGATGAAAAGTGGACAGCATCTAGACATTCAAAGAAAGCAGACAGAGTGATGCATAACTTAGTAGTCCTTCAAAAATTCACACTGGATTGACTGGATGAAGACGAGCTGCTCAAAAGTCTCAACTCCATCGGGTTGACACGTCGAAGACGACTGACCTAGATGTCTCGGTGCAGACACTCTGTACTGATTTCCCATCATCGTGACCTTTCTCGAGGAAGGCAGTACTTTGCTATTCGACGATATACAAACCAAAACAAAATCCAGATCTAGCAGATTTAATACAACACAGATTGTCTAACGAGCGGTGTAACTTCCATGGACCACAAAGTCCGCACCAGTCGTGTACGAGCTCGCATCACTCGCAAGATATAAATAAACGCCCTTCAGTTCCCGAGGATCCGCATCTCTCCTCATGGGGGTCAAACTAAACCACTCTTCCTTCACATCAAAATGGCAGTCTCCCGAGATTTCTGTGTCAATGTAGCCCGGCGACATGGAGTTGATGCGACCTCCCCATTTGGCCAATTCCACGGACAAAGTCTTGCACAAGTGGATCTGGAAAATAATATGTTAACTCGGTCGGCTGAACGAACACCATCGGTACCCGGTCGACGTGTGTGATACATGTGAGACACAGTACATGTACTTACCACACCGCCTTTGCAAGCATTATAACAACTCTGCTCCTGAGGCACATTGGCAGCATGGCCGCTCATGGACGCCGTAGCAATGCCGACACCGTGGCCCTGCTTGCGGAAGACCAGGCCCGCGGCACGGAAGCAGTAATAAGCGCCATCAAAGTCGACAGCCCGGACGTGGTCCCAGTCTTCTACTTTGTCATCCAGCCCGCCAGCCTTGGATGGGACCCCGGCGTTCGCCATCATAACTTCAAGGCGGCCAAAGTCCTGGACGACCTGGTCCACCGCCTTCTCGGCAGCTTCATACTGGCGCACGTCGACCTTGTATGCCTGGACCTTGACGCCGAAGTCGTGGGCAATGGAAGCAGCCAACTTATCTGCCTTGGAGGACGAGTCGTACCAGAGAGCAAGCTGAGGAGCACGGCATGTCAGCATTGTGAAAGAGCACGAATGACTGTCGGCAGAGAGGAGGCATCCAATTGGGGAGACTCACATTGGCACCTGCTTCCGCAAGGCCTCGTGCTACTTCATACCCAGTGCCGCCTGCGCCACCAGTGATAATTACGGTACGCCTATCCGGTCGAAATTGCTTGAACACACTGTCTTGGACGGGTGGGTTCGGGGCCCTGATCGAGGTCCTCCCATTTGTGCCGTTTGAAGCCATGTTACCGTATGAAGTATCGAGACCTGGAAATGCCAATGCTAAATTTTTCTGTGATCTTTCGAATCCCCAACGCCGCGATCCTTGTGAATAGAAGGCACAAGTACATATACGTATTTCCCTTCTTAGCAATTCTCCCTCTGGCGCTTCATTGGCGGTGGTTGTCGCCGGGGTGGGTACGGACGTTGTCGTCCGACAATCTTGACTTGAATCGCATGCGCCCTCATCCACCGTTTGTTCCTGGAATCAGACAGTGTAGGCACATGATGAGGAGCTCGTTCATTTGAGATTCAAGGCAAGACAGCATAGCGGGCGTTGATTGGGTAAAGATATTCCAGTAGTTTCTCACGCAGAAATGCATTGTTTACATCTAATGTATTATGCAGCCACCTGCTGCTCCACGCTCTCAACAAGCAAGTCATACCGCCCTTCGCTACGCCCCATCACGTAGTCTCCATTAGGGAGATCATTATAATCAGTCCTCGCGAGAGCCATTTCCATAGTAGGCTCGATGCCCGCAGCCAGATGCCGCGCTGCGACCCTGGCCCGCGCCACAGCAGAATCGACCTTGACGAGCCACCGGTCATCCATTAAACCAGCAATAGCAGCCCACGGCCCTTCATCGGATAAGAGATAATTGCCCTCCAAAATGCAGACCTCCACGTCCGCCTGGACCACCAGCCCGTCGGCTACGGGATCCTCGACGGCGTGGTCAAACGTGGGGACGACGACGTCGCGCGGCGGTGAGGCCCGGGAGCCGGCCGGACCACTCGTCCGTAACTCCCGCACGAGCGCGGCCGCTGCCTCGGCGTCGAACGTCCACGGGGTGCCCCTCCGGACTAGTGCCTCGTCCGCGTTGGGGAGCGCCCGCAGCGCGGCGAGGGTAAGGTGGATCCCGTCAATGGAGGCCACGACCGTCCTTGGGGCGGCCGGTGACGAAGCAAGGCGCTGAGCTACTTCCCGGGCGAGAGTTGTTTTCCCTTGTCCTGGCGGCCCGGCCAGTGCGACCAGGTCCCGGTCATGGGGCTTTTCGGACCATTTGTGGATAACTCGATCGACGAGAAGTTGACATGTTGGCTCCGTTGGCGAGGGCGGAGAGGGACGGCTAGCACCAGGCTGGGCGAGATGTAGCTGCGTCTCGAATGGTTGGACCAGAACTGTTTTCGAGGCCGTCTTTGTGACGTGGGACGGAGCACAGTCGTCCGGTTTTGCGCGCCGGGCCGGGCCCCACAAGCCGGAGTCGCCGGACCCGGTGCTCTCCGCCGTCGAGGAAGTGTGCCGAGTCTCGGCCGGCGCACTCACTCCCTCATGCCACCTCTACATTAAAATCCACCTTTCGGAATGGATTGATGTGCCAGGAAGCTCTGTTGCGAGCCAGTGATGAATACCCACATATTTTTATTGCACATCATCATAATGTGAATATTGGTAAAGACGTCACCCCTTGTCGCCAGGTCAGGACGCAGCCCCGCACCAGCGACCGGATACCATAGACCAAACAGCTCGGCAGTGCCATCACAGTGTTGTACGCACAATACATCATGGCTGAAGTAGTGAGTTCAAGCCGCAATTGACTTTCCTTTCATGCAAGGGAGCTAATGCAACGTTTGAGAACCCGGCGTTTGTCCTCCAATCCATCAAGAACGTCTCGTTCGAGAGCCGCGAGGTCCCAAAGCTTCGCGACGAGCACGATGTGCGCGTCCACATCGAGCAGACTGGCATCTGCGGCTCAGACGTCCACTACTGGCAGCGGGGCCGCATTGGCGACTTCGTCCTCGAGAGTCCCATCGTTCTGGGCCACGAGAGCTCCGGGACTGTTGTTGAGGTCGGCAAGAAGGTGAAGAATCTCAAGGTTGGCGACCGGGTTGCCATCGAGCCCGGCGTGCCCTGTAGACAGTATGTACCGTCAAACTGTCCAGAGAGCAGGAGTACGAGGGAGCTGTGATGATTGTATGTGAAATTAACCCTTCATACGCAGCTGTGACTACTGCCGTGCCGGTGCATACAATCTCTGCGCGGATACCGTCTTCGCAGCCACGCCGCCGTGGGACGGGACGCTACAGAAGTACTACATCGTCGCCGGGGACTACTGCTACCCGATCCCCGAGCACATGACGGCCGAGGACGGCGCACTCGTCGAGCCCGTCGCGGTCGCGGTGCAGATCTGCAGGGTCGCGGGCCTCCGCGGCGGGCAGAGCGTGCTCGTCCTCGGCTGCGGGCCCATCGGCGCCCTGTGCCAGGCCGTGGCCAAGGCGTACGGGGCCAACAAGGTCGTCGGCGTCGACCTGTCGAAGTCCCGTGCCGATTTTGCAAGGTCGTTTGGGGCAGACGACGTCTACGTTCCTTCACGGGAGGCGGTCGCTGATAACGTGGATCCCGTGGACGCATCCCGTGCCATGGCCGAGAACATCGTCAAGACGTTCGGCCTGGGCGATGGCGCGGACGTGGTGCTTGAATGCACCGGGGCCGAGCCGTGCATCCAGGCGGGCGTCTTTGCGGCCAAGAAGGGAGGGACCTTTGTGCAGGCCGGTATGGGCAAAGAGGTACGTGAAGAGACTGCTTGACCAAAACTTGTCCGGTCTGTTAAGAATGCAGATTAACCTTCAGTGTACAGAACGTCGTGTTTCCGATAACAACGGCGTGTATCAGAGCCTTGCGCGTCTTGGGCTCCATCCGTTACACCACCGGTTGTTATCCCGGGGCCGTAAACCTCGTGGCCTCTGGCAAAGTGGATCCACGGAAACTCATCACGCACAGGTTCAAATTCGAGCAGGCGTTGGAGGCTTTTGAAACTGTGAGGCAAGCCAAGGAAGACACACTCAAGGTTGTCATTGAGGGCGTTCAAAAGTAGCGTAGCTTTCCATTATGAAATGCATGGTTGATAACCTGCATGGAGCCTATGTTAACCGTCTCTTGTGTTGGCTCGTGATCACCCTGACTCATATGCCTTGATGTAAGAATAACAAGTGATTGCTTCGACGGACTTGCATTATTTTAGCAGCTTGAAACATTAATCTTACCCATGTATGGTCAGCAGGGAATTATGAGTTAGGTATAGATTAAGCACATATCGACAGTAACGTTACTACGTGATACAGACTGGCTTAAGGGGTCTTTGCTTTGGTAAGTCGCCTGCAATAATTCACAAATTGAGCCCCTTAAAGGCTTCAAACGCGAGACCCCAGATCGCTCGAGCTTCCATTATAAAGAAATCAACATAGCTGAGGCAGGAGGGAGGCACTAGAGCTTATGGTCATCGTGATATTACTTGGGCACGCCCACTAGGAGGGTGAGTGTATCCCAACAAGTTATCATGCACAATTGATGATGAATCAACTTTCTCAATGATTCATTTTCTGCCAATACGATTGCGCCTCTTTGGTCGCCTAGTTGCTCAGGGTAAAGTGTACCCGCCATCGATGATCATGTCGGCTCCTGGATTATGTTGTCAGTTACGGGCCTCACTTCAGGTGCTTGTAGCAACGTCCAGTGACTTACCGGTCATATAAGTACTGGCGTCGCTGGCCAGGAAAACATATGCACCTTTAAGCTCTGCCGCCTTACAAAGTCTGCGACCGGGGATCATTGAGAACCACTGGTTCCTCCAGGCCTCGGGGTGGACTTTGAGCACTAGAGACATGTATATCAGTTTCCAGACCAAGATGACAAACTGGATAAGTAGTACATCGGGGCAACGTACTGTCCGTATCAATGAAACCCGGCGAGATGCAGTTCACCCTGGCGAAATCCACCCACTCGACAGCAAGAGAGTTGGACAGGTGCACGAGGGCCGCCTTGCTCGCGTTGTACGCAGCCTGCTTCTGCGGTATGTTGACCAGCGTCGCCGACACCGTGGCAGTGAAGATGATGGACGCCCGGTGGTCGGCGGTCTTCCCGCCGGCCTCCCATTGCCTCTGGAACACGCGGGCGGCCGCCTAGGCGGTGTAGAAGGCGCCGTTCACATTGACGTCGAACATATCCCGGAACTTGTCCTCGGGGTAGTCCACCGCAGCGATGTGGTCGGCGATGCCCGCGTTCGCCACCACAACGTCCAGCCTCCCTCCCCCCATCTCCCTGGCCACGGCCTCGATTATGGCCTCAACCTCGCTCGTGTTCCGGACGTTGCACTTATACGCCTTGACAGGGCGGCCGCCGTTCGCCGACAAGATGCTCGAGGCTACTGCATCGGCCTCGGCCGGGGCGGTGCTCGTGTACATAATGGCTACTTTGGCCCCGGCCTCGCAAAGGCCCTTGGTTACTTCCAGGCCGATCCCCCGGCATCCTCCCGTCACCAGGGCTGTCTTGCCTGAGAGGTCAAAGTGCGACAGCACGGGGCCATCTGGATTTGGGTGGGGTGCAAGAACCATGGTGACAATTTGTGTTTGATGAGAGGTGTGTGAGTGTGCGTGTATGTGCTTGATTGGTATGTGGCCGATTCGAATCAGGCAATACGGCCGCGTCTTAGTTCTGACGAGGACGACCGTCTGATAATTGCAGTTGTGTCAATACGGCGTGTACATATCTAAACTACCTTGTATATGGCTATCCCCTGCGGACGATTGCTGGCCGATTTAACAGAAAGGCCGATGAGACGTGGAGTCCTGATAGCGGACGCTGCCGGCGGGCTTTCGCTGCTCGGACATGCTGTAGATACACATTCCTCAGTCTTGGTCCCGTACACGGCTACTACTATGACATGGGACATACAGAGGAAAGTCCGTCATGTCTCGTGCTTCCTCTTCACTAGCCGTCACGGAGGCCCGCTCCGCTGCAAAAGAGCGGAGCTGGTCTTATGGCCGCGTGACTGTGCTGTAGGAGGAGAACTTGGAAAGTCAATTTCGACCCACCTCCACGACTGCGACGAGCGTCTCCGACAACGCTAAGCTCATCCCCACTTCCCCTCGATGATCGACCTCTTACCCCGGATATGTTGATTCACGGTCCCACTTGTCGGTGGAGCTGCGCGAGAGCCGTGACTTGATGACGAGTTCCGAGGACAGGCGAGGCTTGAATTGTCCGTGCTTGTATAATTGCATACAGAATACTGCGTTCCGTCCTGGGCATAGTGTAGCTCCACCTTCGCATGACGGTACGCGGCAGCCATATATGTAGGAAGAGGTTCCGATGCTCTCCGTCATGCAGCGGACTGATGCCGCCGTCCCCTTGCTTGCCCCAGCCTAGGCCCAACACCACAATTCGCCCAAAGTCACTCCACCTTGCAATCTGCGGAAACGAGGAGCAACCCAGGCTGGGGTGTTCAAGGCATGGCTACGGCCACGGCATCCGGGGACGGTAATGTTGATCGCTCCGTGGCCACAGCGGAACAAAGCTGTCAAGAGTGCCGGAGACGCAAGGCGAAATGCGACCGCTTGGTTCCCACGTGCGGACTGTGCCATCAGTGCCGGAGACATTGTATCTACGAGAAGCATTCCCGGACGCCACTGACCAGGAAGTGCGTTGGCTTCTCGTCATGTTGCGAGACCCTCTTGATACCTAGGTAGCAAACCACTAACAAACTGAAATCAGAAGCCCAACTCGGGCTACAACTACCTCGGCCTGGCCGTGCGCATGGCGACGGGCCTGGGCCTGCACAAGGAATTCACGGGCTGGAAGATCTCGCCGTTGCAGATGGAGATCCGGCGGCGGGTCTGGTGGTCGTTGTGCGTCTTTGATGGGCGCGACCATCACCTTCAGCCGTCCCACGGTGTGGCCTTACGAAGGCGTCGAGGTGGCGTTTCCGTTGAACGTCACTGACCGAGTAAGCCACCCCCCTGATCGATTCCGGGTCGTCCATACTGCAATTTTCCACTTTGAATCCCACGTTGACCGTATCATAGGACCTGACGGCCAACTCGAAATCGTACCCCAACGAACGAGAAGCCATAACACCATACACATCGGTCGGGCTACAAGCCAAGTTCCACACCGCGACGAACCGGATCTACTCGCGGGTGATCTCGAAGCCCTTCGCGACGGCCGAAGAGCTCAGGAACCTGGAGGACGACCTCCTCGCGCCTTGGCTGGCCAAGCTCCCCGAGTGGTTCCGCGAGGACTCGGTGGTGGAGCCCCGCTACGCCCTCGCCCACGCGGTGATGCAGTGGCCCTACCGGAATTTCCGCATCATAATGTACCGGCCGCTCGTGATACGGATGGCGCTGGCCACGGGCCGAAACGGACGGGTGATCAACAACGCGCCGGCTGCAGAGGTCCACGCGTATAATCAGTGCCTGGCAGACGCCGATGTCACCATCAAGTCGATCAGCAAGTACTGGATGACGAACGAGCACAATCGGCTGGCTGCCTGGTATGCCTTGTATGTTTCCTCCGTCTTCTCGGTATTTACCCACTTGATCTGTGTTCAATTACAAGCCTGCTAAACTGGAGATGTTTGGCGCAGATACTTCCTCTTCCAGGCGGCCTTGATACCCTGCATCTGCCCCCGGAACATGCCCCTGTCTCCAGAGGCAACGACTTGGTGTGACCAAGCCTCGCTGACGTTGAGGACAATCTGGGCCCTCGCTCCCGTCAATGCGAGAGTCTGGGGAATGACGCCTGGTTGTCCTTTCTTGACGCGCCCTGACTTGCAGTCAGTAGTACCTGGGACACTGCAAGTACAATAAGAAAGGATATCTCCTCCTGGCAGCGGACTGTCAATGATTATGAGCAACCTGCGCCATTGACTTTTACATGTTTTTTTGGCTATATTCCATTCGAATTGGATGGCATCTTCTTAGGGCCCTTCATTTGCCGGCACCAGCTTCAGATTCCCCAGGGGCTTGGCGCACGGAGGCTCACCACCACATCAGATGAAACGAGCCGGTGAAACATCATGGCTCAACACCAACGTCGCGGGAACATCTCAGGGATTTTTCAATTCAGAAAAAGTCAACTTTCGAGTTCATCTGTTCATACTCGTTCCCAATCCATCTCGAGCCGCGTTTGCTGAATTTGTTGTCCTTCGGCCTGATATACACTCAAGCTGGCAGAGGTCATCACGATGACAAGGGCCGCTAGCATCCTGCTCGTGTTTTCATGGGCGTTGTCAACACTCGCACATGACACAACAACCCATCTCCCATCACACAACAAGTTCAGCCTAGACTTCTGCGCCGTCAGCCCTCTATCCCTAGCTCAACAGTCTCTACAGGACTCAGAACGGCAATGCTCTCTCAACGCAGCGAAAAACACGACCACCACACAGTCTTCAGGTTCCTCCGCGCATGACGTGCCCCAGGATGAAGAAGACACCTCAGGAGGGTGGACAGGCCCGCACACATGCGCCGGGGACTACTGCGTCTACGCCCACCCGACCTTCGCCGCGGGCCGGGGCATCGCGCTGATCACCACCCCGGAGTCGGCCCAGGCCCTCGCCAACCTGCCCGTCTTCTCGGAACTAGGCAGCCCGGCCGCCGCAGCAGCCTTCATCGCCTCGGCGGCCATCAACGCCCGGAGCGCGGCGACGGAGGTGCGGCACATCCCGGGCAAGGGGCGGGGCCTCGCCGCGTCGCAGCCCATGCACCGCGGCACGCAGGTCATGGCGTACACGCCGGCGCTGGTGCTCCACCGCAACCTGGTCGACGACCTGGGGCGGGCGGACCAGCTTCTCCTCCTGCGCGACGCGGTGGGCCGCCTCCCCCAAACCCCGACACGCGCCGCGTTCTGGAGGCAGCTGGGGCAGACGCACGCCGAGGGCGACGACGACATCCTCGACATCGTCATGAACAACTCGTTCAACCTGCCGCTCCTGCCCGGCTCGGGGCTGGGCCCGTTCATCGGGAACTTCCCCGAGGTGTCCATGTACAACCACGACTGCCGGCCCAACGTCGCGTTCCACCTGGACCACGGGATCATCCACCGCACGACGGTGGCGGCCGCGGCCGGCGTCGCGGCCGGCGGGGAGCTGAGCATCTCGTACGTGGACGGCTTCCGCGTGAGGGCCGTGAGGCGGGAGCGCACGATGAGGAACTGGGGGTTCGGGTGCGCCTGCGCGCAGTGCGGCCTGCCCGAGGCGCTGGCCAACGCGAGCGACCACCGGCTGTGGCGGCTGTACGAGGTGGAGAACTCGCTGCTCCTGGGCTCCGGGGATGGTGTGAAGCAGGGGGCCGGTAGGAAGAAGAAGGAAGACAAGGCGGCATACGAGACGCGCACCCTGGATGCGGTGGCGCTGCTGCTCTCCGTCTACGAGCAGGAGAGGCTGCTTGAGTCGCAGGGCTCGTCGGCGTACCGGATTGCGGCGCTGAATTATAATGCGTTCCGGAGGGCCGAGGGGGCGATCAAGTATGCGCTGCTAGCGTTGGAGCAGTTCGTGGTGGAGGAGGGCACGAATTCTATTGGTGTGAGGGAGATGGTGGCTTTGTTGGACGACCCTGAGGGGCATTGGAGCTGGGGCAAGAGATTATGAGGAGCATGGGATGTCTACTCTGTATTGTTATATGTGCATAACGTGGCTCGGAGCTGAGTCTCTATTTTGCATTAGACAGTTACCAGCTTGTCCAGAGGATAGTGGATAGGATCCTGACTTATCTGATACCTATAATCGTCTACATTCACTCCGGGACAGGACGGGGTATCCCAATACAGGCCTGCACACCCCCTTACGACCGTGGAGTCCGCTAAATCTATGACGAACGCAACTATGGCGGATACCGCGCGGCGGGAAGTTGTCCATTTCCATTGGGCTGGGACACGATTACATGTGAAGCCAATACCAACTTGGCCGGGAACGAACGATTGATCATCTCAATCAAGTGATCCGAGCCGCTGGTCTTTGTGCAAAGTGGTCAGTCTGCGAAGCTCTCGCAAGGTGCATGTATTCTTTTGTGCCTCCTTTTGATTGGTATCCCAGCCTAAGCCGCGCAAGTAGATTGCTAATAAATATAGACATCTTGAACCTTGGGACGCTTCGTTCGTATTTCAGGCTCTCCCTCCGCGCTTTCTTCTTCATGACTTTCATAGTAGCTTCCCAGCGCGAATGCAGCTTCCACCCTCGCTTCACTTCCCCCTGTCCCCAGACCGAGCGGCTCAATATAACCACACCTGACCCATCGCTTGGCCTCTTGATTGTGAGGTCTCAAAAGAATCCCACGAAGCACACGGGGACAAACCATCTGCTCGGGGTCATACACACAAATCAAAGCTCGATGGTCAGGAGCAGGCGCTTCTGACTTTTTCTTGTCCTCCACGCTGTCCCAGTGAATGGCCATAACAACATCAGCGTAGCCTCTAGGGTGCGCTTTCGTCATGTTGGTTCCAAAAGTACCAGAGTTCGGATGGTCAGTACTAACATCCATAGGAACCAATACTCCCGACATGTGCAACATGCCTTTGTCTGTATTATTTGCGCGTCCAAGATGATCCGGTTGAGGGAACTTCACACATTTCACTGGAAGGAACCCCTGCGAGCGGGCCTTTCTGGATGGGTTCGTTATTTTCCCATCGTAACTGAATGGTGACCACGTGGGGATTCGATGCGTGGCGGAGTTGAATCGGCTCTTTGGCAGCATTGGGCCGGAGTCTCCTTGCCATAGAAGCTGCCGCGCAATTTCCGTGGACCATATTCCTGAGTGATACATGGAGTCCTGATACGGCTGTGCATACAATTCCTTCAGACGTTCTATGAGTCCCGTTATAGCGACAACTCGATCGGACTTTTCGGTGACTGAAGTTGCACTGTAGAGTTCAAGAAGAATCAGCCAACGCTCCATCGGAACGATGCTTTCCTCTGGAGATGTTAAAAGGAGGTGATCGTCACGCAGAAGGTCCTCAAAATGCTTGGCGAATTTGGCCTTTCCAGGTCGGGGATAAACTTCGGCACAACTGACTTCTAGGCAACACCACCACGTCTGGTCCTCAGCGCAGAAAAGATTGGCAGGTGTGAGACGGACTTCCTGAAAAACCCATCCGCGAGACAGAAGTCCCGACCCCTGGATATTGTACGCGAAATACGGTGTGAGAATCTTCAGCAAGACCTTGACATTCGCGTCCACTGAGTCATCGCTTGGTGTTTCTGTCGATGGATGCTGGAATACCGGCTGCAAAGGAGGGCCTGTCCTCGATGGAACACATATGGCCGAGACACTCGCAGCCGTGAAGGAAGGCAATGTTGCTATGGAAACGAAGTCAGTGAAGTTCAGAATGATTTCCAACCCTCGCTCGGAGGCAACACCATTGTGCCACTGAGTAGAGTCGGTGTCGGCTTGAAGGACATACAATGCACCACCAGCATAAATATCACCCATCTTTGCAGCATCGCTCTCCCAGTCCTCGTTGAAATCCTTCCCTTCCTTTTTCACAGTATCCTGGATAATACAAAGCGAATCAATCCAGACATATCGCAGCCCGCAGACCCTTACTATCTCGAAGGCCTTTTCAAACATTTGTGAGAAGCTATTGACTGGTTTGCCAGTCCCAAGTATCTCGACATGGACCCAGCGGCGATCCCCGGCCGGGTCAGCATACTGACCTCGTTGTCCCACCTGTGGCTCACGGTAACATATAAATAAATCTTGTTCCTATCCACCGTAATTAGCTTGACAGACCCGCCGCATACATCGAGGAGTCTAGTCGGCTTTTGACGAAGCCTATTCCTGTGACCTTGACATGTTTCATGTTTTCTGCGACATGTATTTACCCATTCCTTTACTTTCGTCATCACATGTGAGGGATTTGGTGCAAGGATCACTCGGCCCTCTGTTTCGGAGACTAGAATTTGAGGGACAATTTAGTTGTTGCGTAGACACCCGCTGGATCGAAAGTCACAAACTGCACTTACGGTTAATACTTCTCAAATAGAGAGGTCGGGGGTCAGACTTCTCCGGGAAGTTTTTCAAAATTAAATTCCAAGTGGTCGAAGATTTGAGTACTTGGAATTCTGAATAATATGCGTCGCTGTCAGATTCCTTCCCTGGAGGATTCCACAATTTGGTCAAATCTGTACAGATCTGACACCCTTCGAGGACAGCCATCTGCAGCTGTTCGTATGAGCCATGATGTTTGTTCCAGGCTGGAATTGAGGACTCGCTGCTCCGGAGATATTCAGCTTGCTGGCCTAGCATAGCACGACATGTTGAGCACAATATCGTTGCGCTGATGAGGTTGTTGATCTCTTCAGGCGAGTATACTTGAATGAAACCCCTATCTAGCTCTGAATCGGGGGAGCCAGGCAGCGAGACGGTGTCAATAGTTTGTTGATATTTTTCAGACATCATGAATTGGAGACCGTGAGGGCGTAGCAAGCGCGGAGAATAATCGTCAGAAGGAAGATGTGTACAATCGGACGGTGATGATCACACTGACTTATCCGATGTCCAAGCTTGAAATTCCAACGAGCAAAGCATATCAGAGGCAAGAGATCGGGATAATCATGTCCACAGGTATGCGAGTCGCAATGGAGACCAAAATCCCACAGGCTGCAAAAGCAATCGTCTCTCCAAACAGGCTTTCCGTGTTGATTGCGGTGGATGATCATTTCGCGAAGAGGCAGCCAATCATTTATGCGCACGTGTCCACTTTTCCTTCCTTCTCGGTGCAGTTGCATGTTTTCACCGAGGTGGCATTAGGCATCTATCTTCTGTGCAACAATACGGTGTAGTTAATATCAACATCCAACGAGTGGCAGGTCACTCACGCAGCGGCCAACTAACCTAATGAGGCAAATCGATACCAATTCGATCAAAAAAGCTCTGGTAGTCCATCTGTCGCCAGTACATGATGGACGTATAGCGGTCCTCGGTGGTGTCCGGGTGTTTTACAACTATCAACTGCGTGTCTCCGCAATGGAGTGCCTCTGAACATCCACGGATAACATTCTCCTGTACCAAAAGACTCTCACATGACGTCCAACTCTCTTTGGGAATCCTCTATTCATCTTCTCTCGAGGCCCCTCCAGCTGTGTTGTGTCCCGTGCTAACAAGCAGGTCAAGAAATGGGCTAGCAGACAGCTGAGCCCATGGAAGCCGGGCATTCAACACATCAGGCGTGGAACCAATCTCTTATGTTAGCAAGCCCCGGGTTTAGGGTCTGGACTAATATACTCAAGCGTGGCCCGGCGATGTCAATATCACCTCTACCTTTTTAGCAAGAAGGGAACTGAAGAGCTCGAAATATACGGAACACGAGGAATACTAGCAGACAGCTTTTACTCTCAAATTAAGTTAATTACTTTGGCCAGGAGCTTGCCTTCACCCGAACATGGGAAGTCCAGCGCCTCCTCGGTCGAGCCGAGGCTCTGTGTAGCCAAGGCAAAGTGTATGTATTGGCGTTGATCACCTCTGTTTAGAATGAGATGAATGTACTTTGGTCCGTAAAATACCTCCCAATCTGAGTGTGGTGAGCTTGTGTTTCAACTCCGCTTGAAGGTCCTGCTACTCCTTATCCTCGTCTGAGTCTTCTGACTTGATATACTGGGCCTCCTCTTCGCCCTGCTCGGCCGGTGGACGGGTTGGTCTTCCTCCCTGGGCTGTCTCCCAGCCTTCGCCAGAGACCACCGCCAAGTCATCATCTGAGTCCGAAGCCATAAATCTTTAGCTATGATAAAGTTTGCGTAATTTAATCTAGCCACTACTTACAACTTATGTCACGGTTATATCTAAACAGGTATCTATGCAGGTCTTATCTGTTCATGGGCATATCTGCTGGTATGTCTATAACCAGGGTGAGGGTGTGATATCCTCTACTTACATAGCTCTGCCTCGAGCAAAACCATAGCAACTTATACCAACGTCCCGGAACGACGCCCTTTAAGATGATAATCAAACCGTAAGCGGGAACTGATATTTCCTTATTTCTAGAACCGTGCAATTCCAACGAGTGATACGTCCAAATCGTGCCCAAGTCCCTTAACACCAAAATACCAGTCGCAGGCATTCTTATGATCATCACGGGCATCTGGGCCTGATCAACCCTCGCCAATCCCGAAAGGTCCAAGGGAAGATACACAAAGGTTGCTACCGAGACGTTGAGCCCCGGCGAGATCCTGGATATCGTGGGGCAGGTGATGGGGCGGGAGGAGACAGTCTTCGTGCAGACTTTGGTGGACACGTACATTGACCTTTGGGCCTTTGGTTTCAAAGGAGGTGAGGATTAACAAGGAGGGGCCGTAATTAAGTCACGCGGCTTGTGGACCACAGAGAGCCTTTAGAGGGATCATTTGATTGTTGGAATATTCTAGATATCTAGGCTATTATTAATACGGAATATCCTTTTCCCTATATGTTTGCCATTATATGGAGGATAATAATTATAAATAGGGGCCTTTCCTCCCATAAAATAAACATTAGCTAGCTTAATAAACTAAGCATTTAACGCTATTATTTTAAAGGTTATAAGCTTTGGAGCTTATTTAAAACAGTAACGCTAACCTAATATAAAAAATATATATTATATAATACCCCTAATTACTATTACTTTTTAAACCTTTTAAATAAGATAAGCTTTATATTTAAAGATATACCTTTTAACTAATTACTTAATTAAGCTAATTAATAAGCTCTTAATTAATTAAATCGCCTTATTTAATATTATAAATCAACCTTATCTTTTAACTTAAAGCCCATATATAAAAACTATACCTTATTTACTTAAATACTTAATTATTTTTTTATTAATATTTAACCTACCTATATAATTTATATATTATTTAAAAGCCTTTATTAAAAATAATAAAAGCATTTCTTTAAATTTTAAAAACTATATTAAATTAGCATTAAAAATATAAATTCCAATTAAATAATAACAATACCTTAAATAACCTTAAAAATACTTAGCTATATCTTAGCTATTTCTAATTCATAATACCTTAAAAATATATTATTTAAAAGCCCTTCTTCTTCTTTTTATAATTATATTACTTTAATACTTATATCTTTATTTCTTAATTTATTAAACTTATTTAAAATTAATTATATTTTTTCTTTATTATTTTAATTATTTTAATAAATATTTTACTTATTTACCTTAAAATAATATCTCTTAATAAATATAGTATTTTACTCCTTAATAAAATAAAAAACTATATATATTAAAGCATTAAAATTTAAGCTTAACTTAAGAAAGAAAACGCCATTAAGAATAATTTTAAAAATCTTTTTTAAGACTTATCTTTAATTTAAAATAAAAAAGCCCTTATTAATATTAAACTTATATATAAATAAAAGCTTATTATATTTATAAAAAATATAAATAATACTTAAAAAGCATAAAATATACTTAAATCCCATTATAAACCCTTTAAGTTTATAAGCTAATATTTACTTTATAAAGAATTCTTTAATATTAATTTTAATAATTTTAAGATTATAAAAAAATATATTAATAAGCTAAAGCTTTTTTTAAAGGATTTAAAAATTAATAATATAATTTTTTTTAAATAAATTATCATTAACTAAATCTTTTATAGCTTAAATAATAAATATATTAGCTTTATTTAAAATATAATATAAAGTTTTAAAAAAGATTTAAATGCCTATATAATTAAATTTTTCTTCTTTAACTTATTAAATAAAAGTAAAGGGAAACCCTTTAAATTATTTAAAAAAGCTTTATATATAAAGGGCAAAAAAGATAAGAAAAAGATTATTATATATCTTAATTATAAAATAAAGGAGCATACTTAAGAAAATTACTATTTTCTTTATTTAAATAAGGCGCCTATTAGCTAGAAAATAAATAAATAAAAGAAGGAAAAACTAAGTTTTTTAAGAAAAAATATAAGCTAAGAAAAATAAGAGAAAATATAAAAGCAACTCTTAACTTTATTAGCTAGCATAAAGTTTCCCATGGCTTTAAAAGGCGCTTAGGAAGAATTTATAACCTATATAGCTATAAATAATTTAATAGAAAATATTAAATATAATAAGAATTTATTAAATCTCTTATAACTTTCTTTTAATAACTTAATGGAAATTAAGGTAAATAACCCCTTATATACCCTATATATATATATAATAACTATAGCAGCTAATAATAACTCTATAGGAAATTAATAATATATAAATTTTATAGAAATAACTATAAATACTGCTGTAAATATAATAAATTTCTAAGATATTTATCTCTTTAATACTATATATATAATTAATAAAACCGTAAAATAAGGTAATGCAAGTACTATATTTATAAATAAAATAGGGGACTTAATAATTAAGTTTTTAGAAATAAATATTATAAAGAAATTCTTTAATATATATTATATGCCTTCTTTAAATTTGAATATATTTAAATATAAGTATATAAGTACTAAAATTAAATTAAAATTAAAAGGAGATATTATTAAATTATACTTTTAAGAAATAAATAAGCTAATAATTTAAGGATATTAAAAAAATAGCTTATATTTTATAAAAATTAATATAATAAAATAAATAAATAAGCTTAAATATACCTTTTAAAAAATATATATAACTTAATAAAATTTATATATAAATAATGAAAATAAAGAAAAAATATATAAATAGCATTATAAACTAAGCTATATAAATATCCAAGCTTTAAAAATATTTCTTTAAAAATATAAAATAAATATATTAATAAATAAACCTATTTAAAAATATATAAGTAACTATAAAATATGCTTAAAAGCTAAGCATATAATTAAAATAAATAAAACTAGCCTAAATAACTAAGTATATAATATATTTAAAAGAGTATATAGTAATATAAGCGGTTCCTTAAAACCTATATATAATAAATATAAATACTATATATTATTCCTTAATAAAAAAACTTAATATTTAAAAGTTTCTTTGCTTAAAAATAAAAACAAAGCATTAAAAACTTTTAATAATTATAAAAAAGGCAGGCAGAAAATAAATATAATAAAAGAATAAAAGAGTTCTTATTAATAATGAAGGAGAATATATATAATAAAAGATTTAAAATCTTATTAAATAAATACTTTATAACTTATTATATAACGCCCCTATATATAAAAGAACTAAATGGCTTAATAAAAAAGCTAAATTTAACTATAATGAATAAAGTTAAAAGCCTTTTATATACGGTAAATCTACCTATATATTTATAAGGAAAAGCAATAAAATATGCTGTATATTTATATAATATTACACCCCATAAAAGCCTAGGGTATAAGTACCCTTATGAAGTAATAAATAAAAAGAAGCCCTATATAAATAACTTAAAATTATGGGGATTTATTGTATATTTCCAGAATAATAATTATAAAATTAAATTATAACTTAAAAATAAAAAGGGCATATTATTAAATATAATCCCAGAATTAAATATATATTAAGTATAGGATATAAATAATAAAAAGCCTATATTAATTTAAGATGTTTAAATATTAAAAGGGTAATATATAAATAATAACGATATTAATAATAATAATAATAATGATAATAATAATATATATATATTCCTAGAATTATAAGAATAAAGGAAAGAAAATTCCCCTCCTATTTTAAATGAGATAATAGTTTAAGGGAATCCAGAAGATTATAAATATACTATTAAATACCTAAATATTTATATTATTTTCCTAAGAAAATATATTAAAATACTGCTTAACTGCAGCTAATATTAATAAACCTTCTTTTTTAAAGGTGGTATTAAATAGCCTAGAAAAACCCCTATGAGTTAAATTTATGCTAAATGAAATACATAATTTATAAATAACTTAGCTATTATAAAGCCTAATTAGGTAATAAATAATGAAAATAATATTAAATTTAAATTTAAATGGGTTATTTAGGGATATAATTAAAAATTAAGCATAGATTATTTAAAGACTTTTTTTATAATTTGCCGCCCTAAGACCTATATTATGCTATTAATAATAGCTATAAATAAAGGATATTTTATATTTAGTTACGTTGTTAAAAACGCATTTCTATACTTTAATATTAATTTTAAAATATATATAAAATTACCTATATATATATATAATAAACTAAAATATAAAAATAAAGTTGTAAAACTAAATAAAGCTTTATATAAACTAAAACAATTACCTATGCTTTGATATAAATACTTAAAAAATATATTAACTAAGCTAGGATTTATTATTTGCCTATATAATAAAGGGATATTTATATACCTTAATAAATAAATTATATTTATATATTATATAAATAATATTATTATTATAAAACTTAATAATAATAATATAAATTTAATAATTAATAAATTATATAAGAATATAAAATTAAATTTTTAAGGAAATTTAATAGATTTCCTTAAAAGCAATATATATATAAATAAAAAAGATAAATAAATAACTATAAACTAAAATAAATATATAAATAAAATATTAAAAAGATTTAATATAAAAGAAAAGGTTAAAAAAAGGAAATAATCCCTTAACTTATATTATATACCCTTAATAAAAAATTAAAAGAATATACTAACTAAGTTAATAAAAATACTATAAAATTATATTAGCAATAAATAGGGTTTATATTATATGCTAACTTAAAAATAAGGCTAGATTTAGCTTATTTTATAAATAAGTTAGCTAAATATATAGAAAACTTAAAACTAAAGCATATAAAAGAATTAAATAAAATATAAGGATATATATATAAATTCCCATATATATTTAAAGTATATAATTGCTTTAAAAATAATTTATAATTAATAGGCTATATAGATTTAAACTAGGGTAACGATATATTTATTAAAAAAAGCACCTTTAATTATATATTTAGCCTATATAATATTAATAATAATAATAATAATAAAATAAATCTTATAAGCTAGAATTCTTAGTTATAAAAAATATTAGCACTTTCCTTTATAAAAACAAAATATATAGCTTTAAGAAAAGCTATAAAAGAAGCTAAATATTTATATAATTTACTTAAATATTTTAATAATAATTTAAATATTAACTTTAATCTTAAGCCCCTTATTATATATATAAATAATAATAAAGCTAAGAAATTAGCTAAAAAATACCTTATTTTATAAAAGAACTAAATATATAAATATTGCATATTATTATATAAGAAAAGCAATAAAAAATAATAAAGTAATATTAAAATATATAGATTTTAAGCAAAATCTAGCAAATTAGCTTATAAAATTAATAAATAAACTACACTATAAAGAGTTTAAAGAAAAGTATAGTTTAATAGAAAAATAATATAAAAATATTAAGCCAGAAAATAAAGAGATTTTCCACTTATATTATAATGCATGCAAAATAAATTAAGGTATTTACTCTTTAATAACTAGGGTTAAAACTTTTTCCTTTACTTATAAAATATATAAATAAATAAAGCGGACTTAATTATATATATATATAATATTACCCTAAATACTAAAGGTTTTCCCTTAAAAGAAATAACTAAAATAATAAAGGTTTTTCTTAAAAAATAAGCGTTACTTATACGGCCTATATATACTATATATATATATAATTATAATAAACCTATACTGCATTTATATACGTTTAATTCTATATAGAAAACGTATTTCTGTAATATATATAGTATAAATAAAATAATGTGTAACTTTAATATATAAAAATGCTGTGATATATTGTAGCCATTATAAAATAACTAGTAAATCCCATATAAAACCATAATTTAATATGTAATACCCTATTGGCTATAAGTTTAAGTTTAAGTAATAGCAAATTTTTGGGTTTTTTGCCTAAATATATAATACTTAATAAGTAAGTTTTTTCCCCTTTTATAAGGTTTTCTTACTATATAATTAAATATTTTTCTTTTATAAACTAAATCCCTTATATATAAAATAAAATAAATAAAAGGGAATTAGTTTAAGGGGGGCTGTTGGAATATTCTAGATATCTAGGCTATTATTAATACGGGATATCCTTTTCCCCATATGTTTGCCACTGTATGGAGGATAATAACTATAAATAGGGGCCTTCCCTCCCGTAGAATAGACGTTAGCTAGCCTAATAGACTAAGCATCCAACGCTATTATTTTAGATTGATTTGGTGACGATCACTCCACAATTTCTACTTACACCCTATCTTGCCACTGCATTCATGCCAGCGGCCAGCCCATCCTCAATAGCAGATAAAGCCCAATCTGTGAATCCCGCATTGGTGTCAAGGATATTCTCGTTAAACTCCTGCAACGTAATATAGAAATTCGCCGGGTACCCAAACTCCAGAGTGAAGCTGTACACCTTGTTGGCCCCCTCGACTCCCCAGTATCTACTGAACGTGTAGTCGGCAACACCCCCAGAAGCAGGATACAACCCCACACCCGGCCCGGATGAGCAGGAGCGCCCGCCGACGGCGCTCATCGCCGCCACAGACTTGGCAGCCACGGCTCGCAAATTGTTGTCGTCCGCCGACGGGGTGTACTCCTTGTAGGAATCACCGAGGACGCCGCGCTCGCGATCCCAGGCGGGGCTGAGGAAATTCAGGCTCGCGCCCGTGCTCGGGGCCCTCGTCATGGCCCCAGGGGTAGAGAACACCGCCCGTCGCAGAGTGGATGTCGGTGTACCAGCGGATGTTCGGGAACTCCTCATAAATGGAACCCAGGTTCTTGGCCTCCGCCTCAGACTCGGGCGCGGTCCCCGCGGAGCGTCTGCGCGCTGGGCGGGGTAGACGCCGGGCTGACGGACGGGCCGAAGTACTTCTGGAAGTCCCAGAGGAAGTCATAGGTTGCGGTTGATGTCGACCGCCGGCGGCGCTGCCGGTGCCGGACTTGGTGTTTCGGTTCTTGCGCCAGAGGGATCCGGTTGCCTGGTCGTAGGCGACACCATCGGGATTTACTAGAGGAAAGAACACGATCCCGGCATTAAGAACGGATCTTACTTGGGCGTTCGTGTATGATTTCTTGCCGTATGTAAGACCACTCCCGGTTTTGTTCGCCGCGAGAAGATCAGATACCCAGTAGATCAGCTGGTCAGGGCCGCCACGCTCGCGCGCGTGAGAACCGGCTGTGAGGTAAATAAAGATGGTACTTGGACTTGTCCGGGCCCCCAACATAACCAGCGAATTGTGTCGCACCTTCGAACGTCTTGTGTGGAAGATCCAGTGTGGAGACACCATGATTCTTGACAAGGCCCTGCACGGCGGTGCTAATCTCGCCGACATTCAGAAGGGTGTCGATTCGTGCGCCTGCCGCTTTCGTTCCGAGGCCGAGAGGATCGACGCTGCCGCCCTGGAATCGATCTCCCGTTCCGAAGGGGGCAGCACCTGACTGTCTCTTGGCTAGACTTCTGTGCAGGGAGAGCTCCGTGGATCCGTACTCTCTGGTGAAATCGGCGATCTGCTCTTCGGTGAGGAAGGCATGAAGCTTGAACCCGTCTTCGGTCGGAACAGCAGCTGGTCGGCAACCGAAGTCATAGGTCTCATTGCGAACGATATCTTGGAAATGGGCAATTGACGGGGCCGTGAAGTGGACAGGCAGGAGATGGAGATCTGCAAACACGGCAGTGCTCTGTGCGAGCAGCGAGGCGACGAAAGAGTACTTCATGTCGTCTGGAAGAGGCCCATATGCGGGAATGCGAAGTTCATCGACATTGCCCACACGCGAGAACAACGGGCGAACTCTGCCTTTACACACATCCACAACCGTTGCACCGACGTGAGTTTCTCCGCTGGTTGACTGGCTAATTTCTTGCTGCACAATCACGTAGCTCCACCCCTGCCCCTTTCGCCCTAACAACGCGGTGACGTGCTGCGTAGCATTGGCCTTGGCTTTGGGTAAGCATCTGGGTTAATTGGGCCGCTTCCTGAGGCGGTAAAGTAGCCAAGCTGCCATGGATGATGCAAGATGTCCAAGTCCTACATGATCGCGGGGCCGCTGCGAATGGTAGAGCGTCGAGAAAACATCGACATACTGCTCCAAGAGCTTCACACCCTAAATTGATAGAGTTTCCAGCATCGATGCGAAATCCAGAAACTATACTACCGTATGGTCGTAAGAGAAATCGTCACTAACCAGGCAGACCGAAACCTCGGTACCAAATCCGAGCGTCGACGAGCAAGCTCATCAACATATCTTGACACTTCGACAAGAACAGAGGTCTGCAGGCATGGCAGGGAGGGCGACGCGAGCCCTGTATAACGACATCAGGCCCAAGGTTTAGCCGTGGGAGTGATGGTTTCTTTCGAATATGAACGGGAATACATGGTAGCCCGCCGTGTGAAGGTGAAGCAACTCGAAATTATATGAGCCGGTTGGAACCTTTCCACCGGATGACCCCTGATACACCAAAGTATCCCAATAGGCGAACCACAAAACAGGTCTTCAAGAAACCATCTACCTCCAATAATACCACGCACCCCACACAGCCACCGCGGCAGCCACAAATGGCGCGGCGGAGCGAACCGCCTGGACCGCCGCCGCCCTCCTGATCACCTTGTCGCCCTGACGATGCGAGTCCCGGTCGTTCACACGCGGGAACTCCTTACCCTCCGGCACCTCCTTGCCGAGGAACTCGCACAGCGGCCCCCACCCGTCCCGTCCGACCCGGTACACAAGCAACCTCTCAGGCGCAACATGGGCCTTGACGCCCTCCGAGTGCCGGCGGAAAACATCCGGCGCCCTGCGGCGGAGCTCCTCGAGGGTTTGCGCGCCGCCGAAGAATCCCCGGATCGTCTTCTGCATGGCGAACCCTGCGCGGTTCCCGATGATCGTGCCGACGCCCTTGAGGAAGAGGTCCACGAGGGGGCCCAAAAAGCGGCCGCAGGACCTCGGCGTCGAAGCTGGGGAACCAGGCGTCGAAGTCGCGCTCGGTCAGGATGACCCTGGCGTCCGGGTACGCGTCGGCGAGCTGCAGCGCCCAGAAGCACGAGAGGTCCGTCACGGCGTCGTACACGCCGAAGAGCTCGTCCCAGTCGGCGCGGGTGAAGGGCCTGGGGTGGCGACTGCCCGGGGGCGTTGACCTCGGGCCAGGTCGCTGTGGCGGCGCGCTCGAAGAAGGCCCAGTGGGAGGGCTTGGTCCGCGAGTCGAGGCCGTGGAAGACGTGCTTGAAGCCGAGCTCTGAGAGGGCCGCCGCGAGGCTGCGTGTGCCTGTGCGAAGCATGCCGACGCACAGGACCTTGGGCGGGCCGGCGTCGCGGGCCTTGTCTTCGGGCGTGGCCATGTTGGCTTGTTGTTCAGGTCAGAGGATGCGCACCGATCTCAGATCGGCGACAGGCGCCGCCCATGGTGGGTGTCTTATATATGTTGTCTCAGGCTTATGCTACCATAAGGTGAGGTGTTCTAGCTGGCGCCACCCTCATCCAACCCGCTGAAGGGCGAGCTAGGGGACTCCTGCGTCAGCACTAGGCGTCCAATGGCGAAGCGGTACTTGTGTGCAACGAAAGCCAACGTCGACTAACAACGGTGACCCTTGACTCAACAAGCCTGAATCTAGCACTAGCAAGTGCCAAGCTGATGGTCCCAACGCCGATGCCTGGTCGCTGGGCCGAATGGGACAGACCGTTTCTGACGACCAAGTTCAGGGAATTCGTTGCAAACTGTTTCGGATGAGCAGCTCTCGATACTGTTCCAGGCTCTTGCCGATAATGTTTATAAATGGCCACTGCGCGTTGCTCTTGAAGAAGTGTGCCCAGATCTTGAGGACGGCCAGACTCAGCGAGGCAGGGTCCCGGTCTGTCGGCTGGTCGGCCTCATCTTCATCGAAGTCGACTACGTCGTACGCCTCTTCCACAATACAGCGGACCCAATGCAGGATCCGGTCCTCGCTATCTGTTGACTTGGTGTTAGAGCAGCTCAAAGTAAATAGCGAAAAAAAAAAAAACCTTTTATACATACCACTGAGCGGCGTCGTGGCGGCAGAGGCGGTGAGCGACGAGAGCCACTTGCTAAGCATCACGGCACACTCAAGACCCGAGAGGGAGTGCCGCACGCTCCAGAAGAACGCCTGGCTCCGAGCTACGCGGTCGACCCCCAGCCTGACCGGGATGCTGAGCATGTGGGCCGTGTACAGCAGTGCCGTGATGACGCCGCCGGAACGTTCCACCGCCGGTGACCGGCTGATTGCCTTGGCGATGCGTGCTGGGTCTCGCGACTCGAGCAGCCGGTACGGGCCGAGGTGAAGGTAGATGCGGACGTAGGCGAGGCCAAGCAGGGAGCTGGATGTGAAGGGGATGGGCCCGTTCTCGTTGTTGGGGTCGAGGCTGGATTCAGGGGCCTGCTGCCACCCTGCTGTCCAGGAGCGTAGGCCTCGTCTGGGGTGCGGTGGTTAGTGTTTTCAAGCATGTACCATGATGAATGTAAGATGTACTCACTCGAGCTTGTCAACCTCTTCACTTGGTAGTGACGCCGAGTGGTCCATAACCGGCAGAGACAGATCACGGACAATGTAGATCCTCTGCAGCAACCCGTGCAAGAGTATGTAGTTGCCCAGGGGAGTAGGGATCGGGTCGAGAGGCGCCGTGCCGTCCGTGTTCCGCAGCAGCAGGGACAAGGCATCCTGAAAGAACAGCTGCTGTTTCCCAGCCTCCCGCCGAGCCGTCTGCCACTGCTGTGCTGTCTGTGCCTTCCACTCACCCGTCGAGCAGGGCAGTCGAAGGCCGACCTCGTTGCTGCGCAGTACCGGGTACACATTGTACGCGATGCTGTGGGTGTGCATGAAGGAGAAGGCTATCAGCTTGGCCCGTCGGACCGACTCCTGTCGCACCCAGGCATGCCAGGCGGCTTGCGGTGTAGTTTGCCCGCTGGTAGCTGAGGCAGGCCGTCCTCGTGGAGGCCGATCTCGCGTAGCACCTGGGCCAGCAGCGCCTGCAGGGCGAATGCCTCCTGCACGAGCTGGGCGCTGGGCTCCCAGGTGGCGTAGCCCATGAGCGCGATTAGGGCCCGTACCGTCTCGATGGGTTCCCACGAGCCCCAGTCTTTATCCTGTATAGGTCTTGACTCGCGCTTCTGAGGCGACAGACTGTGAAGGTGGAGGAAGGACCCGGCCTTGGGGCCGAACTTGTCAGGCTCGCGTGCCAGCCTCTGCATGAGTATGGTCTTGCCAGCATGGAAGAGCCTCTCGGACATTCGGTGCTCGAAGCAGTACTGCGCGCCGATGGCTGCGATGCCGAGGACGAATTCGACCGAGTGCTCGGATATTCGCCACGTCGGCGCATGGATGAAGGGCATGTGCGAGTGGAACCCCTCGAAGAAGGAGGTCATGTAGCGTGTGAGGGCATGGCGGGAGGGAAACTTGAAGTTGGAATCGAGGACGTCGCGGAAAGTCTCAATCAAGGCATTCAGACGAAGCCGCTGGTCCTCTGAGATGCGGTACGGCTGGGACTCGGTGTCAACAGGACGGGGATCTTGTTCGGGCGTTAGCTAGGCTATGACGCTAATGTGTTGATGCGCAGTGACATACTTGCGTCGGGAAGGGTCTCTGATATACGATTGCCAGTTGGCGCTGAGGGCAACCACGAGCTGAACGGCGTCCCGGGCCGGGTTCTGTTCTGACGAGCCCGGGGCGTGGCCGAGCCTCCTCGCGAGTCCCTCGTCACCGGATCAACGACCTCGTTGTGTCTTTCAGGGCGGTGAAAATACGGGCTCCATTCCGCCGGGAGACCAACGCCGTCGAGAAAACTGGCAAACTCTCTGAAATGGGCGTCAAATCCCACAGCATCTTGGTTGCCTGACACGGGTCAGCTTCTTTGATATCCACAAGGACGGAATTACTCAGACTTGGCGACATACCATTCTCGTAGAAGGGCTCTGCCAGGAGACTTTGTTGGTATGGGGCGTCATCCACGAGAGCGCCGTTCCTTGAGACTGCCATGGGATACAGCTCAGCCGGTGGTGCGGGTGGTTGCTGCGACCAATGATGCACACTCATGCCCGAGAGGGAGACGGCTGCTGCCAGGTCGGCCTCGACCGGCCCGTGATGCTGCTCCCCGGAGTCCGGCTCTGGGGGCTCATCCGGGGACTCAGATGCATCTTCATGGAGGGCGATGCGCTGGTGGCGGGTCAAGAGGTCCCGCCGGGCAAAGGCAGCTCCACATTGGCAGATGAACGGCTTCTCCTTGGTGTCTGTCAGACGAGCAGGTGCATGTCAGCATCAGAGCACTGCCAGTCTCACAAGGATCAGGTCATGGAGACTAGCTAGATAAGAACTAAAGAACTGCGAGCCGGTGGAGTGGTCTGCAGTTCGACGTCATCCCAATGCATGGGGAACAGTGAAAGTGAATGGGATGGAATGGGATGACTGACGAGTCCGTACATGGCGGTCCAAGTGCTCGGTACGCTTGAACGTCCGGCCACAATGAGGGCATGAACGCGCATCAGGGCCAAGACCGTGACCGTGAGTGGTCCGTCTCCTCCGCCTGGCCGCAGTTGAACTCGGCTGCTGCCCCCTTGTGCCCGGATCGTTAATGCCGCTGTGGGACAGCATGCTTATCCACTTCGCATGCGCAGATCGCACGGACGCCCTCCACGGTTGGAGGTGTTTGGACGAGAATCCGGGGAAGTTGGAGAGAGAAGCAACAGAAGTTGGGGCACCACTTGGCCTTGTTGGAGAAGGCTTGAGTGATTTATGGGCCCCTCGGTCTGAGTGGCCCAAGATAACCAAACTCCAAGTCGTGCGGGATCGGCGCCCAATCTTTGGAGGTTCGCGCATGATCGAAACCCTCGTCTCCACGACACCTGCGACCTTATCTCACAAATCCACGAGGTTCTTGCAGCTTATCACAACCGTGAGGTAAGCTTAGAGTGTCCTGCTTTTCTCCGGGATCGTACTGCAGAGTAGACTTCCACCAGTTTGCTCAGTCGTCCGGGAAGACTGGTGGGGCCGACTCGGACGGACTCGCGGTGGGTTGGACTGGATTGGAGTACTTTGAAGTTGATCTCAAGTTGATGTCAACGCTCCCAAAAAATATCATCATCCGGGCCGTTTTCAAGTGACATCCGAATAATAGATGTCGTGACAGACTCGGCCAGTCTTAACTTCAAAAAAATCCTAGGAGACACATCCGTCATGTTCAAATTCCCAGGGGTTGCATTTATAACTGGCGCCGGTGGAACAGGTGAGTTAGCCGAATGATCATCACTTGGTATTTGGACCAGACGAGTCCTGACTTCAGACCATTCAGGTATCGGAGCAGCGGTGGCCAGAGGCTTCGCCCGGTCCGGCTGCTCGAGGATCGCCATCACCGACCTGAACAGGAAGTCACTGGCAGCCACCCGGGACTCGATCCTTCAGATCGACCCCAAAGCTCAGGTCGTGAGCCAGGAGGGAGACATCTCGGACGAGGGGTTTGTAAACTCGTTTGTACGGGACGTCGCCAAGACGTTCTCGCGCATCGACTACTCGGTGAGCTGTGCCGGAATTCTGGGCGAATCGCTACGGTCGCATGAGACACCAACCGCTGCTTTTGATCTCATCACGAATGTCAACTACAAAGGCACCTGGCTGGCCTCCCGGGCCGTGATTGGCCACATGCTACGGCAGCAACCACACGAGGACCACCCTGACCAGCGGGGTGCCATTGTCAACATTGCCAGTCAACTCGGCGTAGTGGCGCGGCCAGCAGCTGGTAAGTTATACGCTTTGTCGCGGGGTTCGACTTCGTCTGGTGATACGTACTCATGTGTCTCCCGTCTGCCCAGCCCCTTACTGCGCATCAAAGGCAGCAATTATCAACATGACTCGGTCCGACGCCATCGACTACTCCCAGAACGGCATTAGGGTGAACTGCGTCTGTCCCGGCGTGATCGCTACTCCAATGACAACGGCATCAGACGAGCTGATCCAGAGGCTGAGACCGGCGATCGACATTGCACCCATGAAACGGATGGGGACGCCTGAAGAGGTGGCCAATGCAGTCCTTTTCCTATGCTCAAGTCAAGCGTCTTTTGTTCAGGGTCATGCAATGGTGGTGGATGGAGGGTATACGATCAATTGAGAAGCCTTGATCCGACTAATATGTTGTCAGTTTTGACCTCCAATACTCTGACGACAGTCTAAATCTTTGCCGGAATTTGTAACGCTTTCTTATTGACGAATCAGCCTCACTTTGAGGCTATGGATAGATTCCCAAAAGAGGAGAGCCTCGAAACGGTTGTATTGGTTGAATGAATATTATTGGAAGGTTATCCCATCCGCAGACAGCTATCATCCATGTCCTGTCAACCGCGGAACGTCGAGCGAGGAGTAGGACAGATCGGTCGGGATGAACATGTCAACTCAACGCTGCATATGTATGTTACTGTGCAGCAGATGGGGCCGAAGGCACGTCCATTATAATTTCAAGTTGGGCTTTAAGCATTGATTTCCGTTGGTATTTTGTGAAACGACAGGGCTCAAGCGGAAAGCTTCACCCTCTTCAAACTCGGTGATGTTGGGACCCCGAGCTCAGGCATTGTGCTTCCGTTAACACTCACCGTTGTTGATAAGTCGGACGGGGACTGACATGCCCCATGACCTGTCTTGAAGGTTCGCCAGTCAAATTTCGTCTCCCAGGCATGTCCAACATTCAGGATCTTCCTCTCCTGCCACAACCCGCCCACGATCTGCATCCCGACAGGGAGCTGCACTCTCGCATCGTCTTTTGCGGCAAGGAAGCCCACGGGTATCGACATTGCCGGGTGTCCAGTCACGTTGAAGACGGCGGTATTCGTCGTCAAGCCGATCGTGGGCTCGAAGGAGCGCAGGACCGAGTCCCGAGTGCCGTGTCGCGGAGCCACGAACGGGGCCGTCGGCATGACGATGACGTCGTAGCTCTCGAACATTCTTTCATAAGCGTCGCTGATCTGTCGGCCGATGTTGACTGTCTTGCTGTATAGACCGGGGAACCTGTCGGACAGGTACAGGCCGTTGATGACCGTGTTCTTAGTTGAGGGGAACAGCCTCTGGAAACTTGCGTCGGTCCATGGCAGGCGTGTCTTCTCAAACTCGGTCAAGCCTAGGCCCCTCCGTCCGGAAGCCCTTCCCAAGATGCCCGAGGAGCCTGATATGCGCTGCTGAATCGTCCAGATCGAGGGACCTTCCAGGTGGAGCGGAACTGAGACTTCCTCGACGGTCGCTCCTAGTGACTCGAGCTTCCGGGCGGCAGCGAGAACATGATCCCTCACTCTAGGGTCAACAACCTCGTGGTCGAAGGCTTCTTTCAGAAGCCCGATCTTCACCCCATCCAGCCGACCATCACCTCCCTGAAGGGCCGCAGAGTACCCGAAAGAGCCGTGGGCAGCAGCCCCCAGAGACCGGTCATCAATGCCGTCATATCCCGCCATCGCATCAAGACACTGGGCAGCTTCGAAGACAGACCGGCATATGGGCCCAGCATGGTCGTCAATCGCATCGCCAGTCGTAATGCCGGTGAACGGCACCAGGCCATGAGTCGGCTTCAGCCCCACGCAGCCGCAAAACGACGCGGGGACCCGGATGCTGCCCCCCTGATCCGTGCCGATGGCGATGTCGACCGCCCCAGAGCCCACCAGGGCCGCGCCGCCGGAGGTGCTGCCGCCCGTGGAATAGCCCTCCTCGAAAGGGTTCTCGACGGTCCCCTGTGCGCTGGTGAAGGACGCCGTCGAGTTGCAGAAGTGCTCGCAGGTCGCCGTGCCCAGGATGTCGGCGCCGGCGTCCAGGACTCGCGTCACCACTGTCGCGTCTGTCGAGGGGGTCCATGGGGGGAAGGCGTCGCTGCCGTAGAACTGGGGGACACCAGCCACCGCTATGCAATCCTTTACGCAGACGGTCTTTCCCTTGAGGGAGGGCAGCGAGGGGCCTCTGGCGGAGGAGTCGTCGCCCCGGATGAGGAACCGGTACGCCCAGGCATGGCCAAACTGTTGCTCTTCGGCCGTGGGCAGATGCACGTTCTCTCGGGGGTATTTCTTCGCATCGGGTATCGGCTGATAGTCGGGGAGGCTATCGATGCGAGTGGCGCAGTCGTGGACCGCGGCAAGGAGTCGCTGATAGTCGGCCGACTCTCCGGCCTTGATCGTCAGACCGAGGGGCTGCAGGAGCTTCTCGACGTCGCCCTGCCGCACGGGGTTGTCCCTTCAGCTGATGTCAATAGGATGATCAAACCATGGCGGGGCCTTCTACGTACTCGGATATGTCGTTGAAGAAGACGGACATGGTGGGCAATGTTGAGATTCGTCAGACTGCTCCCTTCCGTAATCATCCACAAACAGCCTCTGCTAGTATGCTCTTCATAAGGTCCCAACTCTTTGATCCATGTCGGGATATTCACGGAATATTCGTCAAAACGGCGAGTTTCCGATGACAAATAATTTGAAGTCGCTCGACATCTGTTCCGTGGACCCGGTGAACTGCCGCCTGCCTGTTGGGCAGTGTTCCATCGTGGAGGGTGGAATTGGGGTAGGATCCGGGCCACGGAGTAACTTAGCCAAGACATGGGCCATGAGTCGGTGGTTGTTGGAGTAGGCCGAGAAAGCTGAGGGGATACTGCTGTGTATCTCCAACTCCATCCGTCCTCCCGTGACATCTACATCCGCAATCAAGGGTCAGTCTCGACCGCCAACCCATGGAAGCCCAGAGCATCGAGAGCTGCATCCATGTGTTCACATGAGAGTCGTGGGAAAGCGCTTCGGAATTGTACGACTAAAATGATGCACCCTTGCTCACGAGGAAGGGCTCACACAGAGGCCTACTATAGAGAGCAATGCAAGGGCTACTGCAATCAAGCTTAAGTTGTCACTTGAACAACTAGTCTGCCCTTGAAGGCACTGTCTTGGTAGGCTTCCACAATGCCGGGGATTCCATCGAAGGGAACCAGGGTTATGTGAGATCGGATATCAGCTTCTCCCACAGTCTTCATCATCCGCTCCGTAGAATCCCTGCTCGCAACATAGCTTCCCCGAATCGTGATTTCCTTGAAGACAATAACGCTGGGGTCAAATCTCCAGTTCTCCGCGGGAAAGCCCAAAACACCCATTGCGCCCCCGGTCCGCAGCAGGGTCAAGGCCCAGTTGTTGGCCTCTAGCGAGTCGGTGCATACCACCGCGGCCGCGGCCCCCTCCCCGTTTGTGAAATCCAAGATCTGCGATGTGGCATTTTTCGCACCCGAGTCGACGACCAGCGCAGGCCGCAGGTTCTCGTTGGGCATCTCCAAGGCCAGCTGCCTCCCCGCCGGCCGACTGTCGACAGCGATCGTGCGCAAGCCCATCGCAGCCGCAAACTGCAGGCCCAGGAAGCCGAGACCGCCGATGCCGACGATCGCCACGGGCTCTCCGGGACTCAGCCCGGCCGTTGCCCTCTCCAAGGAACCCCATACCGTTGCGCCGGCACACATCAGCGGCGCTGCTTGATCAAACGACAGCGATGGAGGCAGGCGGACTGTTGTTTCGGGGTCTATGGCGAGGTATTCGGCAAAGGCGCCGTCGTGCTGGAAGCCCGCAGTCTCTCGGTTGTCACAGAACCTGGGATCCAGCTTGTTACTTGTCCGTTTTGCCAGCCCGCAGCCACTACAATTCCCACACGAGTTCTTGAAGTTAAGTGCTCCGACCCTATCGCCAACCTTCCAGTCGTTGCCGCAGCTTGCGCCGACTTGGACAATGACGCCGGCAGGTTCGTGGGATGGGATCATTCCCAGGGGTGACTTGAATTGTCCCTGCAGCACCTGCAGGTCTGAGTGGCAGAATCCGGCTGCGTGCACTCTGACGAGGAGTTCATGGTCGCGGATTGCCGGCACATCTCTCTCAACCAGTATGTACGGCTTGTTGTACTACTCTGGGTTAGAGAGTGCTACTGATGGCGAATGAATGCGATATAGGGACCGACCGACTTCTGAGATCTCGGCTGCTCGCATTCGGCGAGGAATATCAGACCCCATCGTGTTTGTCCTCCGCATGCGAGGATCATGGAGGAGCGGCTAGCCCTTTCTCGCCATTTACGATATGAAAAGCAATGGCACTGAATGCTATCAGTCACTTGACTCCTTCCCAGATACAAAGCATACTCAATCGTGACGTATAGTGAAGATCACAAATGAAGCACATGGTGTTGGGTGCCTGTTGTTCCAAAAATGGAGCGAGGAGCCCCACGAACAAGGAAGAGCTTCGTGCTCTCCAACTCTTGAGCCAAGCCGCCGTGGTTTTTTACTCCAACACTCCGGCTCCACAACCACAACCGCCGCATCACCAAGTGGGGTAAGGTATCTAGACAGCCTCCAATTGTGGCCACCACGATTTACCCCGCGATAAGCCCTTGTAGGCGCCATCTCGTTCGTCAATTGCCCAGAGACTAACAGGATAACCTCGCGACGCTTTGAGCTTTCGGACTCTTATCATCCCTTGAGCCCCGCACATCCTCATGAAGCGAGGGGACAATTTGCTTGACAAGAACCGGAAGCAGTCCAACTTTGCAAGTTACCAGTCCAAGCTCAAGACACCACGCTCAACGCATATCCAAGATGGGAAAGAAGCGCGTGCTTGTGAGTTATGGTGTCGATGTAGATGCAGTTGCTGGCTGGCTGGGATCTTATGGCGGAGAGGATTCCTCCAACGACATCAGCAGAGGTGAGGGCCAAATACAACTTGAAGCTGCCTCGTGCTTCCGCGCTCGTCTGTAGACACCTGTCAGGACACAGTTAACGAGGACCTTCTGCCAGGCTATTTTGCGGGGACCATTGGCGTGCAACGGGTCCTCAGGTTCCTTGCAAAGTACAACGTGAAGGCCACATGGTTCATCCCCGGGCACAGCCTCGAGACCTTCCCGGAAGACATGGCCGCCGTGAGGGACGCCGGCCACGAGATCGGCCTGCACGGCTACTCCCACGAGAACCCCACCGACATGACCATCGAGCAGCAGCGGGAGATCCTCGACAAGACGTACCACATGCTCACCGAGTTCGCGGGGAAGCCGCCCCGCGGCAGCGTCGCGCCGTGGTGGGAGACGAGCAAGGAGGGCGCGCAGCTGCTCCTCGACTACGGCATCGAGTACGACCACAGCATGAGCCACCACGACTGCCAGCCGTACTACCTCCGCACCGGCGACGAGTGGACCAAGATCGACTACAAGAAGAAGCCGGCCGACTGGATGAAGCCCCTCGTCCGCGGCCAGGAGACCGGGCTCGTCGAGATACCCGCCAACTGGTACCTGGACGACCTGCCGCCCATGATGTTCATCAAGGACGCGCCAAACAGCCACGGGTTCGTCAACGCGCGGGACGTCGAGGACATCTGGCGGGACCACTTTGACTACTTCTACCGCGAGTACGACGAGTTTATCTTCCCCATGACCATCCACCCGGATGTGTCTGGACGCCCGCACGCGCTGCTTATGCACGAGAGGCTCATTGAGCATTTTAAGAAGCACGAGGGGGTTGAGTTTGTCACTATGGAGCAGATATGCGATGAGTTCAAGGGGAAGACTGCGCCACCACCGGGGGCTATCATGCCTGCGGCACCCGGAGCAATGATTAAGAAGTCGTAGCAGTCATGTAATAGTAAAATAAATGTTTAAATTTGTAATGCATAACTCGGTTATCGAGGCTGGCCCATGCTTGGCCCTGGAGTAAGACTCGACTATCTTAGATTGAGAAGTAGGCCTATCCTCATGTCGTATGAGGACCTATTGGCTTGCGAACCGTAAAGCACGGCCGTTCACCAGGAAATCCTGTTCACACAGGATCATATAAGACTTCACGTATCTTTGTCTAACATGATCAGACACACCTACCCCGTTCTTATCTTCTATGACGCTGGCCCTGAAAAATTGGGGTACATTCAAGCAACAGGCGGAGATGTAGATATCACGGCACCGTGAATATCTCGGCATTGGCAGATCGAATTACTCCAAAATGACCGTCTATCTACTCCAACATCAACATTATCTACTCCAACCTTATCAAACCTTGATATTGGACACACATGACTCCACAAACTCGCATCAAAACCCTGAAGGCGCATGACTTCGAGGATTATACATAGCCCATAAGGGACCCACAGTCTTGGAGCGGCATCTAAGGTTCCTCGCGGGGTTGAGTGGGCTTCCACGTCAAAGGTTATCTTGGTCGGAGAGTCCCTGCCAAATCTGAGATAAGCCACGTGAGACTTTCGTGTCTATCTTTACTCGTTCCAAGACGTCTGTGTCACCATAAGCTCCATGAGCATTCAAAACGGTAGATCCCCCTATAAATGATTCAAGGCGATGCCTCCGGCCCTCTTCGACCCGTCCGTAAGGCAATTCACCAGTACAGAGACCGCCGAAGATGTCTCGTAGCACATCGGAAAAGGCCGACGGCATCACGCCGGTCCCGGCCAGGAGCAGCGGGAGCATCGACGCCGGAAAGCTCGAGGACGCCGAGGACGCCTTTGAAGTGTTCAAGAGAGGCGAGGGCACAGTGGACTTCCGCACAGTCGGCTGGGTCCATGCCTCGGTCATTTTCCTCAAAGGTAAGATATCACGCACTGTGCCAGTGTGCCTCCCACTGCCCAGCTCGGAAGCTGACATTTCCAAAAAAGTCATCTTCGCCACCGGCGTCCTCTCAATCCCTTCCGCCATGTTCGTCCTGGGTGCCCTGCCCGGCGCCATCAACGTGCTGGGCTGGCAGTTCCTAAACACATACTGCGCCATCATCCAGGGCAACTTCCGCAACTCCCATGCCGGCTGCCACTCCATCGCCGACATGGCCAGCGTCGTCGGTGGCGTCTGGCTGAAGGAGATCGTGGGGGTCTTGTTCCTTGTTACCTATGCCATCGTCGGCGCCTCAGGGATCTTCGGCACGTCCGTTGCTTTCAACGCGCTATCGAACCATGCCATCTGCACTAATTACTTCATGCTGGTGGCAACCGTGACCGTCTTCATCCTCGCCAGTGCCCGCAAGTTCGAGAAGATTGCGTGGCTGACATGGGCTGGCTTCCTGTCGGTATACGTCGCTGTATTTATTGTCGTGTATGTGCCCCTGGATTGTCCCACCACCAGAGCACTGCTAACAGTCTTCGAAACCACAGAGTCGCAGTCACGCAAGTAGACCGGCCCGCCGCCGCCCCGAAGACGGGCGACTTCGAGCTCGGGTACCACGCCATCGGCGACCCGACCTTCGTCACCGGCATCACCTCCGTCGCCACCATCTTCTGCTCCGGCGCCGGCACGTCGGCGTTCCTCCCCGTCATCTCCGAGATGAAGAAGCCCAGGGACTACAACAAGGCCGTCTACCTCTGCATGGGGATCGTGACGGCCTCCTACCTGACCTTCTCCCTGGTCGTCTACCGCTACTGCGGCCAGTGGGTGGCCTCGCCTTCCCTCGGCAGCGCGGGCGAGACTGTCAAGAAGGTTGCTTATGGTATTGGCCTGGCTGGACTCATGGTCAGCGCGTGCCTTTATATCCATGTCGCTGCCAAGTATATCTTTGTGCGAATCCTCCGCGACTCTGTCCACCTACAAAAGAACTCGGTCGTACATTGGTCTGTGTGGCTGGCTTGCACCTTCGGGATGGCGGTCATCTCGTTCCTCCTGGCCTCTGGTATCCCCATCTTCAACTACCTGCTCGCTCTCGCAGGGAGCTTGACATTCGCTCCTTTGGCCCTGGGGTTGCCAGGCTATCTGTGGGTGTACGACCACCAACACTATGGCCAAGGAAACTGGTGGCAGGTTATGGTCTACTGGCTGAACTGGCTTATGATCCTTCTTGCCGTTTTCTTGACGATCGGTGGCACTTATGGTGTGATACAGAACATCATCGATGCTTACGCCCAGGGCTTGATCGGTGGCGCTTTCTCTTGTGCAGACAACAGTGGTTCGTCCTAGATGCGGGTGCAGATAGAGGCATGTGTGTATTAGTAGTGCTCTTTAATGGGTTACTGTGGGCTTACTATGATTTGATACAATGTTGTTTAGAAAAACAATATTTAAGATAGTACCTCTGATATAAAATATTCAGAGCTCCCCTCCATGATCAGGTACTGCCGTTACCCCCGCTGGTGCTGTCAATCTTTATGAACGTTCAATTCACTGACATGATCAATGTCTGCTGAACGTATGCAGCAAGATGCTTTCATTTATACGGAAAGTGGATCAGCCCGCGTGTCGATATGCGTGTTGGCCAGTGGAAGCAGGTGGTAATCCTGCTTAATTTGCAGGACTAGTGCGGCCACGTCATGTGTTTCAGTTCACAACTCGGATCGGCTTTTCCAGGGCATACCTAGGTAGGTAGTCTGCCCACTCACGCTCCAGATGTCTTGACAGGCTGCCTTGCTCAGGTAGTCGGTTTATTGCACAGTGGCCGTGGAGTGAGGTCTGGTCTGCTTATAAACAAACACACATGACTAGCCTCACCCGACTTTCAGCAGTACACATTGCCAGGGAATCTTTGGCCACGGCAAAGTCAGGACATGGTGGACCCATTCGGCATCACGAACGGCCACAATCCGGTTCCGAAGACCGAAGATCTGAACAACTCCGCGGGACTTCCCGCCATTCCCGCTCTTCCCGCTTCATGTCAGCACATCACCGACCGACATAATCCCTGCATGCCACGTTATTGTGAGACATGCCCGGTAATTGTAGCCTTTGGGCCAGCCGGATCTTGCGTATTACAATTCCATTTTTGAACATCACGGAGGGTTGCTGACGATCAGACCACGGCCCATCACGAAATGTACTGCCGCCCACCCCCTGAAGCCTGTACGTTAGACGATGAATTTCAGTGGCGTAAGTGCCATTGAATATTCAAACACTATATAAAATGTTTACTGAGTCTCTCCAGAACAGGCTGAGATCGGAGCATTCTATCCCATGATTTCTTTATCGCGCTCCAAACCTAAGAGACCCCATCTCAACCCGCAAAATGGCAGTCACTGAATTACCCTCATTCCCCTTTAAACGCGCCTCCGGCCTCGAGCCACCAGCTGAATACGCCCGTCTCCGCGCCACAGAGCCCATCTCGCGCGTCAAGCTCTTCGATGGCTCGACGGCATGGCTCGTGACAAGGTACAAGGACGTCTGCGCCGTGGCTACAGACGCCCGCTTGTCCAAGGAACGCACGAGACCAGGCTTCCCGGAACTCAGCGCCGGCGGCAGAGCTGCCGCCAAAAACAAGCCCACCTTCGTCGACATGGACCCCCCTGCCCACATGCACCAGAGGTCCATGGTTGAGCCTTTCTTCGTCGCGGACCACGTCGATACGATGAAGCCGCACATCCAGAAGACGGTTGACCAGCTTCTTGATCAGATGGTCGCTACGGGGTGCAAAGAACCGGTTGATCTCATTGAGACTTTCGCCCTGCCAGTGCCCTCTTATGTGAGTCTGATCATTTTCGACAGTTGGTTAGATCTGGAAACAAAATCGAGGTACTGACATGAATGCCGGGCAGATCATCTACACCATCCTCGGCGTCCCCTTTGAAGACCTCGAATACCTGACCCAGCAAAACGCGATCCGCTCAAACGGCAGCGGCACAGCTCTCCAGGCCCAAGCCGCGAATCAGTAAGCCGTCTCATTCTCGTACAGCTGGCTCCGTCAGATTATTCACCCGCGCTTTAGGGAGCTGCTCGGCTACCTCGCCAGCCTCGTCGACAAGCGCTCCGCACAGCCCAAGGACGACCTCATCAGCAAACTTGTTGTCGAGCAGCTGAGACCGGGACACATTGAGAAGGCCGACGCCGTGCAAATCGCGTTCCTGCTGCTGGTCGCGGGTAATGCCACGATGGTGAACATGATTGCGCTCGTAGGTCCCTCCTCTGCAGTGCTAATATCGTCTTGTGGCTGATGGCTAACGCAAGCCAGGGAGTGATCGAGCTCCTCCGCAACCCCTCCCAACTCCAGGATCTGAAATCCAACCCTTCGCTCTCGAGGGCCTTTGTCGAGGAACTGTGTAGATATCACACTGGTTCCTCCATGGCGATGAAGAGGGTAGCCAAGGAGGACATTGTCCTCGGCGGCAAGGTAACTAAGCCTTCTATTCCCCTGCCCCGTCTACCCCAGGCCCAGAAGGAATCTCGAGACTGAGATGATACAGATCATTAAAGCAGGCGAGGGCATCATCGCGGCCAATGCCTCCGGCAACCGCGATGAGGAAGTCTTCCCGGATCCGGACGTCTTCGACATGCACCGCGCCCCTGACCGCAACCACGCCCTGGGCTTCGGCTTCGGCCCGCACCGGTGCGTCGCTGAGCCCCTTGCGCGCGCCGAGATGGAGCTTGTCTTTGGTAAGCAGGCTTGCACGAAGCATGTAATGCAGATGACTGACACGCCAAACCAGCGACTCTCTTCCAGAGACTGCCCAGCCTTGAGATTGCTGTTCCAATCTCCGAGCTGGAGTTCACGCCCCTCCACAAGGACGTCGGCGTTGTGAAGCTCCCAGTAACATGGTAAAACACCGTCATCTAAGTACGGCGGACATTGCACGGGTCTTGGGGCCTGTAACTGAAGGGGAAATTTCCCCTCTGGTTATATAAGCAGCTGGACCTTGACTGCGTTGCCAGTACAGGCGTATATTTCTGTTGAAGAACAGTGCAACTCATCTGCATCAAAGTGGAGAGATGAGCGGACGTTGGTTACCATCGCATAAGAAAACCCCACTTTATCCTCTTCCAACAAAACAAAACTGGCCAATACACTTGGCCAGAGGAGCCAGGGTATTTTTAGGGCTACTACTCAATATCATGAAGTCAAATGTTTGGACTTTGCTAGTACACCATTCCTGCATTCTCAGACTGCTGCCTTCTTCATCATCATGCGTCCTGACGATATCTTTCAGCTCCGCCCATCAGGCTGGGAAACGGATCCCGCTGAGGAGAGGTTCAAGCTCTCGACAATCGATCCCACGCCCAACTGTGCGTACAACCACTATGTCCTATTCTTTCGACTCGATGACGAAGACAGAGCCAAAGTGGCGGACGTGTTGAAGACTGGTCTCGAGCGCACACTCAGGTATGTGATTCTATGCTGCGCTGTCCTCCCCCTTAAGCTCGCGCACAACGCCTCTCGGGACTCAAGGTTGGATGGCGGGGGAACGTCGGCAGATATTGACTGGAGCGTTCCAGCCAAGCCAGCTATCTCTGCGGCACCATTAAGAAAGACCCAAGCGGTGGCCACTCCTTTGTCAAGACCAAGACTTCCACGGTCAAATTCGTCGTCAAAAGCCATGCCTATCCATCTCTAATGGACCTCGAGGAGGCTCACTTCGCCTGCAAAGCTATTGGGGACCTCAGCCGGTGGAGCGCGGATCCGTGGATGACATGGGGAGAGGGAAGGCCCGAGGCCGATCCTGACCACGGTGCAGTCGTTGCGGCCTACCAGGCCAACTTCGTGCCCGGCGGTATGGTCTTCAACATGCACAGCCACCACTACGCGAGCGATGTCATGGGCTGGCGGAACTTCACGCAGCAGCTGGCAGAAAATTGCTACGCCATCTGCCATGGGACAAGTTTCCCGCCTTGGGATCCAGCATGCATCGACGTCTCACGCTTCACCAAGCATGTTCCTGAGAGCGCCCAGGTCGACGGTCCCGCCGCGGCTCCTCGACACCCTGGTCACCCGGAGCAGCAGGCTCTTCTATTCCACCTGCCCAAGAGTAAGGCGGCAACGCTCAAGAAGGCTGCCGCCCCTACAGACAGCAGCAGATGGATCTCGACCTACGACGCAATGTGCGCTTTCCTCTGGCGGAACCTCTCCAGGGTGCGCCTCGATCTTCACAACCCCGATCCCTCCAGTCACCCCTACTTCGGCGAGGCAGTCAACATGCGACCGAGGATCCACAATCCCGACCTGCCAGAGCGCATGATGCGCAACGTAGTGTGCGGGGCCTTCGGCGACACGGCCCCCGTGCCGCGCCCGACACTGGCGGAGGTCACCGCTTCCGAGGACGAGTACCCTCTGTCGAAGCTGGCCACGTACATCCGGCGGCTCACCGAGAGCTGCACCCAGGGGCACATGGAGGCCCTGGTGGGGGCGATAGCGCCGATCCGCGACAAGCGGTCCATCAGCTTGCGGGTCGATGCCTTGCCGCCCATGTCGATCTGGGTGACGGATCACCGCCCTGCCGGTGTGGGCGGGTTGGGCTTTGGCTTCGGGAGGCCCATCACGCATCGGCATCTTTGGGGTGAACATGTTTCCGCTGGGCTCGTTTTGATTTACCCGCCCAGAACTTTGTCTTCTGATCCCGATGAGGGTTTCATTTTCACCGTCACTGTCGAAGAGCAGTTGGTTTCTAAGCTAGTACGGGACCTTGAGTGGTCTGAGTACTTTGAGTATCGAGGAGTAGATTAGATATAATGCATAGCGTATCAAGCATTGCCGAGGAACGCAAGGTACAGGTAAACTCAGTAACGAGAAGACACATTGGGATGAGCCTCAACGATTGCTGATCATGAATGGTCAACTCAGATGCAACAGCAATTTTGCCATGTGACGGGGAGACAAAATCCCTCTCCAAGTAATAAACCAAGCTGAGAAAGCCTAGGACAAATGAAACCGCCCCTGTTTTGGTAATATCTGGTCTCCAACCCAGACGGACCCGCAAGCGATGAAGCTAAACGTACTCGGCGCAATTAAGGTTGTTGCCCAAGTCCATCACGTCCGCAATCGTAACATTCGGCGCAAGACCCGCAAGCCAAAGGACGTGGTTCAACGTCGTGACGTGCCCATTATCCCCCGAGTAATCCAAGAACTCGGGCCCGGGCGGCGGCATGGGGCCAAACCTCACGCGGAAGCCCTCCGTCGGTGTGTTCCGCAGCGGCCCGATGGCATATGTCCTGGCATGCGGGTCGACCTGCTGCCAGTCCCACCACAGGCGGTCGAGGTTGGCATGGTGCAGGAAGAAGAGGGGGTCACCGATGGAGGCGGCGGCATCGTACATCGTCCCACCGACGCCGCGGTGGCCGCTCCCGTGCGGGTTGGCGAAGTAACAAGGAAGCGCGACGAGGGGGTCGTCGGCCGTGAAACACTCGTCGATGTTTTTCTGGTCTCCCTCGAGGAAGGCCGTGTCGTTGAAGGAGCGGAACACGCAGCGGTCGTCGGCGTAGAACTCGAGGCTGCTGAAGTCGTAGCTCAGGTGGATCGTCAGGCCCGCGAACGGCCCGTCGTCGATGCACTTGCCGCCCTCGCCGCCGAAGCCCGTGACCGGGTCGAAGAGGACGCTCGAGGCGACGTCGCCCATGTCGAGGATTTCCTCCCAGTATGGCTGGTATCCCTCGTAGTTGCACTCATCGCGCAGGGCGTGCTCGTGAGCCAGGAGGATGTAGCGGTGCCATGGGAGGAAGCCGCCCACATCATGAATCCATTCTGTTGTGTATTAGTAACCTGATACACGGCCTAAAGGACTAGATTGCAGACGATTCCAGAAGCCAACAGTGAAGGAGAGGATTTGTGCTTACGGGTCTGGACTTCATGGGCGACAGTGAATTCGTCCCAGCGATTCTGTACCAGCGGATGGCCGGTCTTAGGAGGCGACCGCATGAGGCACAGCTCTGCTTCGATATAGGCCGCCTTCTCATTGTCGGTAAGCTTGTGCCACGCCTTGCGCTGGTGAAGCTCAGGACAGGTCCCTGAGATGAGGGGGTTCGTCTGTCTGGACCACAGAGGAGAGCCAAGCGCCAGGGAAGAAAAGCTCAGGAATATAGCTGAGATGAGCGCCAGAGGTGCCATTCTGCTTGATTGGGGGCAGGAAAAGAGGTATCTAGATGATGCTCGAAGCAACTGGAGTGAAGATAGGAAAAGACAGATTATCGAGTCCGAACGATTGTGAATGGGTTGAACTGAGCGAGTGAATGTGGATACGGACTAGAACGAACCAATCCGTATGATGATGTTCCGTGTATTTAAGTGAATGTTCATTGCTGGCTGCCTGCATCCAAGGCCCCTTCCATGTTCAATGCCTTGCTGGTCGTTCTTCGGAGAGCAACGATATCCGATTTCGTTGCACTAGGACACTCGGCGTGATAATGCTATCCCGACTCTCCGCCGCGCAGAATTTAGTCGATGCCTACTTTTCGGATTCATTATAATACGCGAGATCGTTTACACCGGTAATTGAGGACTTGGAGTGTCACGCAGTCGTGTTGAATGCTACGGGCTGACCTTGCAACGGCGCTCAAGCATACAACATTGGCACAAACTTTGTCAGAAGCGCGTCTGAAATGAAAGAAGCAAACATACAAGGTCCGTGGCTTCCAGGTGCGAGCGCTTCTGGCGGGATGAATTGCTGACAGATGTACCTCCTAGAGCCAATCTCGCCATGCGTAGTAAGACGGCATGTGAGCCGATCCGCAGCCTCCAATGAGATACTGTCCTCAGTGCTAGACGATACCAACGGAGGTCTACTCATGCAGCAGTCAGCAGCCACTGCAGAAGCAAAGGATGCTAGGCCAAGTAGCATCCGACTTCGCGGGTCGGGTGATCACTCCAGTTCAACTCCATGTGCAGTATTCCAGGTCCTCCTGACCAGGAATGGATGGGGGCGAAGAGTTGTATGGAATGATCTACTAAGGTTTAACGTCCCAAGTTTGATGGGGTTGACATAAATAAAAAACTCCTAGGCCTCAACATCCTAGCAGGCTCCACAAACAAGCTTCCGAAGGTCCCTGTGGCCCCAATATCGGACGAATAAATTTCAATTTGACAACACAGTCTCGCGCGCTCCCGCATATACACGATGCTACATTACATGATTTGCATGATCCTAGTCGCACGAGGCTACTTTGACAACCTATACGGCCCACGTTCATGGGCTCGGTTGCGTTCATAGGCATGATCGGGTGAATCAGCGCCCTTCGGACTTCAAGAAGCGGGCGAACGCTTCCTCAACTCGGAGTTACAATCAAAGATGGAGACCGACCGCCGTGAAGATCTACACAAAGGTTTTGATCCCAGGGGTGCTTGCGCTGTGTGTGGAAAACGAAACGCTACCCCCCCCCTTGTCATTTTGACTCACGCTCCCCCTTTTGCACAGAAAAAAAGGCCTTGGCGCGCGCGCCTGCGCAGCGTTAACTCATATCAAGCCCTCCTCTGCCTAGGCGCACCCGCATAGCGTTTTCGCGCCTTCTTTGCATATAATACATACCTTGCATTTCTTGCCTTTTTTATTATTACTTATATCGCTATTATAATTAAAAAAGTATAAAAAAGTATTGCTTTATATATTTATAATAATTATAAATATAAGCCTCTTCTTTTTATTATAATTATATTTTTTTAAGAAGTAGAAAGTAGCATAAACGCTGCGTGGTTACGCGCGGGCCAAGGTCTTTTTTTTGTGCAGAAGGGGGAGCGTGAGTCAAAATGACAAGGGGGGGGGGTAGCGTTTCGTTTTCCACACACAGCGGTCTAGGCTCATGCACGTCAAAAGAGTGGGTACTGATGATCGACCGCAATGCCGATATCCACGTGACTGCTACCTTACCACATCCATGCAAGTGACTCGGTTGCAAAACTGATACATAGTCACTTTATGTAACCCGGTTGCTAATTTACGGATTATGACAGAGCCCGAGTTTCCAGCCTGCACTCCTGCACTCCGGCAAGACACATCGCCTAGCAATGGCAACAAAGTCAGAGGTTTCACCAGGGGACTTCTCCTGAAGGCCTTTGGCCCTGCAGTGACTGCAGTGACAAGTCTCTCGCATGCTACCATAGCAAGCCACCCCACAAGCTTACTAGAGTAAGTATTTCGTAAGTTCTCGTATAACAACTTGTTAGATTTGGATTGATGAGAACAACTTGTGGAGTAATGCCCTATTTTTGATTTTCCCGCTAGTTTTCTTGGCAGGATTCAACAATGGGTCGCTTCAGAAAAGTGCAAGCCGAAATTGGTGATGGATTTAACTATTGCAAGGTCGCCTTTCCTGGAAATTGTGTCCGAGGGACCTCTGTGACCGGGGAACGGCCCAGAACCGCGATAACCGACAACCGGTGCGCGGCACAGGCAGATGTTGATGAAACGAGCAGCCCTCAAGTGCTTCACACATAGTCAGATAATAAGATGTAGTCATTGCCTGCACACTTCAAGCCTCGAGAGCATGGAACAGACCGGTGCCTCGCGTCACTCGTTGAAACAATCATGTATATATTACCGGAATCGCATAGATGTTCAAGATGCAATATCGTGCCATGTATTATTTTAGAAGTGATTTAATTATTGACGGAGCTGCAGTACTTGGACCACATCCCAAGTTTCGAAGACCTGTCTTAATTACCAGCCTGGACCTATTGCGAGCACATTTCAACCCACGATCAACGTAATAAGACTGATAACCTCCCACGACGTCTTTACAGCGCGATGGAATCAGCTCCGCAAAATCATAGGATAAGTTAGTGCCAGGCACACACAAACTTTAAGCCACCCCCCCCCCCCAAACCCCATACTCCGATTCCAGTATGTTTCTATCAGCACCACAGTAATTTGACCAAGCTTACCTCTGAATCATCGCTACACATGGAAACTCGAATCGCAAACTGTAATACATCGTCATCCAGCAATTTCACAAACAACCGCATTTTTGGCAACACTTCAACGCAGTACCACCATAAATTGAGCTCCTGGCCCCTCCCTTAGTCTTCATCTTGTTACTCAGTCGTCGGGTAGTGTATAAGGATCTACTGTTCAACGTATTACTCGCCACATGAACCGCGCTATAGCGACCCAGTCTTGCAATGATGTTCCTATGCTACCTTATATACTTGAAGATTCGTATATATCTATGAGAGAGGGTCTCCATGATACATAAAGCCGTGGCGGACGCAATGCGGAAGAATTGGATCCCCTACTGCACGTTTCGAAGCTCTTCCTGTTCCGAGACATGATATAAGCCTTGACCAGTCGTCGAGAGGTGGTGGTCACTGCTCTTTTGCCATCAACGTCTTCTTTTATGTTTGACCCGGGGCAAGGAAGGCCAAGCCATAGTCTTTTGCCAGCCAAGAGAATTCCCCTGATTTGGGCCATCGTACAAATTCACCAAGTCTCGCTCGCGGCCCCTCTTCCTCATTCGGCAAGAAAGGAGAGCGCAAGGGGCTGTCTAGCTATCATCCATTGACACCCTGCTGGAATCAAGTGTATTCACAGGGTATCTTCTTGCGTGGCCCATGTCACCAGATGGATTCCATGAGGTTCTAGTGGTTCTGGGGGCAGACACACCGCTGTCGGATGGCAGTAAGCCTTGGCTTGGCCCGGGGGTCATCTACTGAGTGAAATTCACCAACCCGGGATACTGATGGAATCGTTCTAGCGATATCTAGATGGTTCCGCGAGGATCCATATCTGTGTGCCTCGAGGGTAACGTCTGCGCATAGATCCCCCGGGTGCCTCCACACTGGTAAATTCTTCAGTTACTGGCGGCCCCTTATCTTCCTCACCACATCGGAATGCTTCCGGGTTACTTTGCCGTACTTGTGAGTCCCGATGTGTCCCCAGACTGGAATGGACTCCAGGAGCAAAACTTGGACGGGGAGAAACACCATGAAGTGCCTACTTGAATTAGCATCAACGGAGCACTTGGGTGCTCTGGCATCCTGCAGGGTAGCATGGTCCTCTATGGCGAGGCGAGACTACGGGAGACGTAAATAAATACTAGATACGCCTTAGCTCGATCAGATTTTGTGCAGTCTTGCCTGGGAGCAGACCACACGGCATTAGCCCGCTGGCGACAGCTGCCCAACCCCCTTGATGTCCAGTCGGCAGCCAGTGTCTCCTGCATTGCCTGCCATGGGCTACGACCCAGGGGAATGGTGCGCCATTGCTTTTCTCTATTCATTGAACTTCTAGCATTGAGACATCATTGAATGATCATGCTCGAGATTCGACTGCGGTTTAAAATGGCTGCACGCATCGAAGCAAATCATGATGGAACCTGTTTCCTACCACAACCTCCATCAAGTGGTCCATCTGCGGAAGCACATCTGATCACAGCATCGAGAGTGGAAGCATTCGTCTGTTGATACCAGGCCTGCGACATCCCCAGGAGTAATGACCTTGTCTTCAGAAACGTGGTCTACGACAGTCTCGTCGACGACAACCTCGTCAGGGGTAAGTAGTATCGCCCAGCTCTCCAACATCTCCTCGTCCTGAGCAACATAGCAAAGGCTTGTTCAGCTCGGTCGTTAACAAGAAACAGGAGTAGTATAGATATCGACACCGTCTTCTGCGACAAGCGGATCAGTGACAGCGTCGTCTCCGCCAATCCTGTACGCACCAGCCTGCAGCACCCGTATCCGCCGGAATCTGCGATACAGCAGGTCCCTCGTAAACGGCCGAATCCAAAGACGACACCCAGGTAAGTGAAAAGAGCCCCTACCCTAGACGAATAAGCCGACATATCTTGCTAGTCTGAGAGCGTAAGCCTCACATTCCCTGTTCCCCAGGCCATCGCCAGCACCGAGAATATACATACCATGGCGACCAGACCCTACACCCTCCACAGTATCGGCCACACCACCTCTCCGTTGTTCAGACTTCCTATCGAACTGCGTCGGATGGTTTACCGTGAGGTCTTCAACGGATCCGAGAGGAAGATCCAGTGGAAGCCGGTTCGACGGGACCCCAATAATCGGTACACGGAGTACAACCAAATCATGGTGCCGACAAACGAGCAATTCCAACTCCTACTCACGTGCCAAGAAGTTTATATCGAGGCTCGACCGTGGTACTGGTGCGATACGGCCGTAACTTGTGCTTTCTTTCAAATGCGGACCCTCATGAGCGCGATCCCGACCTTTGCGAGGGAGGACATCCAAGTCCTCAAGGACGTGCCTCCGGTGGATGGACTGTCTCCAACGAATCCCATGCAGTTGGACCAGTTCGTCGGTCACTTCCCCCGACTGAAGTACTGCCAGTTGAGGCGTCACACTGTCCATCTCTACTGCCATCACGACGACGTGCCCCCCAAGTCCGTGCTGGCGAATTCGGGATCGGGAGCATTCCTGGAGATTGCACAATCAATGAACACCGCCAAGCCGCCTGTCTTCGTGCAGAGGATTTACGTCTGGCCCGTGAAGGACCGAGATGTGAGTAAATTATACAGCCCTTTCACGTGATGCTCCTCGGATCTGCCATCACAGCCCTTAAGCCCCGGACTCCCTGAATGGCGGCAGCAGACTAACAATACGATTCTTTAGACGGTCGTCTGGGCATACGCCAACCATACCGAGGGGAGGGTACACATCGCCGCGAAAGGAAGCATCTCGGACGACGAGGGCTTCGGAAAGGTTACTGGGCCAGTGAGTGATACTGACCAATGGTACGGAAACCACAATGTTAACAAGTGGTGATCAACAGGTGGAGAAGCCTCAGGAGACCTAGGAGACGGATACGTCGAATGTTGAACAGGATTTAATCGATTTCACCAAGGCGATCAATGCCCACAAGGGGCTCGAGGCTGATGACGAAAACGATGTACACGACACGAGCATGACTGACGATGCGACGGTGATCAACGATGTGCACGAAGACTACGAGGGAGACAAGCCGGAAGGGGTGGACGATATCAGCAAGGGTGACGACGAGGACGACGTGTGCCAGGTGGACGAGTAGTCCAGCCTAGAAGGCGGAAACCATCCGCGCAGAAGTCCTCAAGGGGTCCGAAATACTCCTCCCATCTAAACTGACGGAGAAAAGAAAACCCCAATATTTCGGACGATAGGACAGGCCTGCACCTGCTTAGGACATGCAGACGGCCCAGCCAGAGCAGCCGTCCCGTCTGTGCAGTGGAAACAGCGGGTGACAGTCACAAGGGACCTCGGACTTTCCAGCACTGCGCTCGTGGACTGCGAAAACATCAATTCGGAACCCGATTATAGGTTGTATAATCACGGCGGCTACTGGCGACGAGGCACTTCTATGGACTAAAGTATCAATTAATAAACCCAGGAGGGGGAAATACAGTTACAGTACCCCCATCGCAATCGCACCTACGTGCCAGACTGACGTGTCATCGACGAAAAAGGATACCTAGCTAACAAATCAACTACTAGGCTAAAGGCAGGCATGCTTGACGAGGCAGGCATAGAGTGTCGTGGGCTGGGCGCCTCCCGTCACACTAGCACACCGTCCCGACTGGTGTGAGAGCGGCTTGCTTGCTCAAGCTTGCTTTCCTTCCAACTTCATGTCAATGGTTCTTTGCAAATTGAGTGAATACATAAGTTACGCAAGCTTTTCAGTCCGAACAGTGCTGCCTTCTAGCATTCGTGTGATTTGGTGACCACCCTGCTGTAGCCTTACAACTGTCGTTTCAAAATTAAAGGTTATCGTACACAGCAGTGTTGTATTACGCAATACATGGTGAGATTCATCTTCCAAGCAGTTAACGCCGATCCCCAAGTCTGAATTATGTTTATAGTTCGTACAACAACTCCCGGCTGCCATGCGGCCACAAGTCTTCCGCCTCAACCATGCTGCCACATGAAGCTCGTCGTGCCGACTTGGGCGTGCTTATCCAGCTCCTCCATCTCGCTCTGACCCAACAACCACTCATCACTGGCGGCCGTCGCATTCTCCTCGGCCTGCTTCGCATTCTTGACCCCGCCGAGCGGGATCGCCCCCTTCTGAATCACCCACTTCAGCGCCACAGCACTGGGCTTGACGTCGTGCGCCCCCGCGACCTTGCGGATGGCATCCAGGAGGGGCGCGAGCTCCTCCATGGGGAAGTTCCCGAACCTTCTGTTTGCCGGCGGGGGGTTCTCCTTGGAGTACTTGCCCGTCAGGCGGCCCATCCCGAGCGGGCTGTACGCCATCAGCACGATGCCGCGCCTCCTGCACTCCTCCAGCAGCCCGCTCTTCTCGGGCAGCGTGCGCAGCAGCGAGAACTCGACCTGGTTGCTGGCCAGCCTCAGCCCTCTCTTCTTGAGCGCCTCGTCGATCGTGATCATCTCGTCCCTGCTGTAGTTGCTGACGCCGACCGAGCGGGTCAGCCCCAGCTCCACGCACTTTGCCAGGCCCCCCGCCATGGCGTCGATCGAGTGGGCAAAGTGCACCGGCCCGTGGATCTGGTAGAGGTCCATCTGCTCCATGCCCAGCCTCTCCAGGCTCGCCCTGCAGCCCTTGACCAGGCCGCTCGGCATCAGCAGGCGGGACGGCGGCCAGGGCACCGGCAGGAACTTGGTGGCGATGACGAGCCTGGCCTTGAACTCGCCGCTGGTGAGCTTGGGGTCCTTGCGGAGCCGCGAGATGATGCGCTCCGACTCGCCCTGCCCGTAGGACTCGGCCGTGTCGATGAAGAAGAGGTCCGAGTCGCTTATGCTGGCCCACGCCCCGTTCAGGTCCGCCACCGCGTCCTTCGAGGCGTTGCTCCACGTCCGCGCGTCGCCCCATGCCCAGGTGCCGATGCACAGGTTGGGAAGCGGGATTGTGCCGGCGGCTTCCTTGGCGCACTTGAGCGCGAAGCGGGGGGTGGCCATGGTTCCTGGTTTGCTCTGCCGGTTGCGCAGGATAGAGAGGGCGCGATGTGAGCAGGGAGCTTTTGCTTGATGGACGAGGTGGGATTACGTTGATACCAGTACGGTACATATCGAATCTGGCCCCCAGCGTATGACGAGCTGAAACAACAGCTGTCGGGGTTGTCGGGGCGGATCATGATCCGTGTGTGACCAAAACCCAACCACGATTGGATGAACGGTCAAGACGGGGATTACGAATGAGACACGGCCGTTAAGTCCGGGTCACCACGCCGTTTTGGTCGTCTGTCGTCAACATTGTAAGTCTAAAAGAACCCATGTGACAGACTTGATTCGCCCGTTCCGCTGACGGCACGGTTGCCTGTTGCTGCGCCGTCGCTCCTACAATGACTTTCTATATTTGTTGAATAAGTTCTGACGTATCGCACCTGCTATGCTCGAGACATGCCGGGGCTCTGTTCCTCGACAACGGCAACAGCTTCCGGCGGAGCTCTTGGCACTCACGTCCTGATCTGGCAGCATGCCATCCCAGCGGCACACATGCTTAAAGACGTTAGCATGCGATCTGGAAAATAGCGACTTGCTGATTTTGATTGCCTCATTAGGTATTTAGGTCGTCGCCATATTCTTGTACAGCTTTGTGCATGGGCAACATTTCATAGGGGAAATCATGAAATTATTGATCGTCAGATTCGAGCTGAAATCCCCGAAACCTCTAAGACAAAATTTTGAATTGCTCTCTAAAGTTACATGCTGTGGTGACAAGCCATATTCCAAAGCTCCCAGTCCATGATTAACCGGACAGAGTTGCAATATTCTATCGCACAAAGTCGAGAAACCTCATCTCTCAAGAGGTATGAGAGCATTTGGGAGTTGTCGGCGCGCTGCCAGCGAAATATGTCTTGCCGTATACATTGTTACCAGTATTCGCTGCAACGCTCGGAGGAGGACCGAGTGGACCACCCTGGTTGGTGCTATTGGGATAGAGAATCGAGTTCGAGTTGGGGCTGAGGGCGGACGTGGGACATCCCAGGATGGTCGAACCAATACCGACGGCGGCCAACTTGCCCAAGGCCCAGCTGACCTTAGCCTCGACGCTCTGGACCTGCCCTGCCAATGCAAGGGGAGTGATACTGTTGAGCCCGAGGACGACGTCGCAGAGGATTGTCTGCGGGCTCAGGTTGGGAGTTCCCAGTTGTGCGATCGGCATGGCAACGGGATTCTGCCGTCAGTTGATTAGTGACCATTATCATCAGAGTCAATGAGACCCGAAATAGGGTTGCAGATCATGTACGCACTTTTGTGTAGATGGCACCAAAGCCATCGATCAGTGTCTGAACAGCTCCATAAGGGGTCGCACGACGGTACCATCCCTGCTCAGGCCACCTCTCTGGCACATATTCAAACTCGTCCGTCTGGCTGTTGTACCGAGCACCAATAATGCTCGAGATGGACTCGTAGTTGGCAACACCACCAGCGCCATAGGTTCCGTTGGAGAAGAAGTTGGGGTAGAAGGCAAAGGCACCGAGGCTGACGATCGAGGGGAAGGGGAAGTAGTACAGGTAAGGGTTGTTCGTCTGGCTGAACTTTGAATTAGCGAGGTATTGGTTGCCCATCGTCGTTATGCCAAAGTCTTTAGAGGAGGCAGCCAGCTTGACGTTTTGCTTGAAGAGACGTGAGGACAGGTGGTGGTTATCTCCACATCCGTTGTAGTAGTCCTCACGGTTGGGCGAGATGTCGGCTTCGACTGTGCTGTGGCGGTTAAGACCGCCGACGTTGTTGGGGCCGGCTCCAAGGTACCAGGACTCGGTCGCGATGTCACCGTCAGTCAGAACCGCGAACACCCCGAGCAGAGTGGAGAGATCGGCTCCCATATTGAAACCACGTCTAAGTCAATTGTTAGCATCGTTGGATCTGCGTATTGAATCTGTCTCCAGTGACTTACGCAGTAGCCTCAATAACCTGACCGAGGTTGACATATCCATTTCGGGGAAGATAGCCGTAGTTAGCCAGGAGGTTCAGACCCGGGCAGGGGCCGCGGGAGTCACTCGGTCCTGGGGCCTGGAAAGTAAACCCGGCCTCCGGACGCTTGTTGTCAGGGCTGACAGCCGAGGCGACGGAGCCGAGGAGACCTGTGATGTCTGAGGCGAGCGACCCCAAGACTCCACCAACCGCACCAAGCAGTTGGGGCGATGGCTCCGGGTCTGGGTTGCGTTTCTCGGCGACGAGCTCCTCGTCGCGTTGCTGCCTCAGCTTCTCCAGCATTTCCTCTCGTGAGGCTACACCGGCCATTTGCGGGAATGCCCATCCCAGCATGGGCAGGGCCGCGAGGGCGTAAAAGACGTTCGCTTTCATTTTTGCCGGATGTTGTGGGACAATTATGGCGAGGTATTGAAGGTTTGAACTGAGGATTGATCGCAAGTAAATTCGTGAAATGTGAATCTCGGTAGGGGGTCTATATTCAAGTACTCCCAATGCCACTTCAGCTGATGAACAGCTTCGAGTGACGTTGCCATCATGGCTCTCAGACTGGTCGGACCAAAGGCTCCTCGGGTCATATCAAATCACCTAGAAGTCATTGGGCAGAGTAAAGGATGCAATTCATGACTCCGAGTGCCTTGATGCTTGCTTGCTATTCAGTATGAAATAAGCTCAAGCTGCCTACCTAGCTAGGTAAAATAAAAACAAATACCAAAAGGCTTGGCTGCTGAATGTGCTCGTGTTGCTAGCTGGAGCTCAAAGATCGACCACGCTTGTACTGTTGTAAGTTTAGGCGGCTCCTTCGTATAATTACCTTAACTCGGATGCTGTTATTCCCGGACAGCTTAGCGCATTGGATCCATGTTTCTCGAATACTCAAAGACGGGTATTGAGTTTTCGGGAATCGGGTGTTGCCCTGGATTAGTGCCACGGACCATACCATAGCACGCACATGTTCATCGATACCGTCTTCTAAGTTGCGGCGTGGCGGCGCGGGGGAGGAGCCGGCCGAGCCCCTAGCATATTGTCTGTGAAAACAACCCCACAGCACGTATGTCATGAAACAAGTGTTGTGTTTATTAACTATCAAGTGCATATGCTCGGTAGAACCCCCTGTCTTTGCAGTTATTCCATAAAATTAACGACTCTTCATCTCATTACTGACTACTATCATCAGTAAACACCCCCGCAGCCATCACGGAAGCAGGTACATAGCAACCCGTGCTATTCAATCGGCGTGTTGAACTAGTGGACGGGTAGTCCACGCACCGTCGTCCTTGACCCCCGCGCGAGCCCAAACTGTACAAGCGTCGGCTTCGTGCGTCTGGTCTGGGCGGCGAGCTGAGCCGCTCCCTAGGTATCGCCCTGGCACGTTTTCAAAAGGCAAGTATCATTGCAACAAGCAAAATGACTTGGTATGCACTTCAACTTTTAAAGTTAAGACTAAAGGCCTTAGTGCCGGCAATAGCAGACCAGTCGTTCGCTGAAAACGTGTTATTTGCCCTCAGCGACACGAGGTCGACAACGGCTGCGACGTCACTCGCACAGACTTCAAGTTGCGGGAGACCAAAGAAGAGCCTGTGGTTTTCTCGGACTACTTAGGTATCCTTTTCCCCGGGACTGCCGGGCACCAGGGAATTGCAAATCAAATACATGATGACGACGAACAGCCTCACACATTTCCTTGGGCGTCCTGTGCGACGTGGCAAGCGCGCAGCTCACCTGCGTAAGAGTCGCGGTGCGTCTTCCGCGTCCAAGCTGGGGCTTTCCGTTCCGAGCACGGGCCCGTGGCTGAACTCTCCGGCCCCCCAACGGCAGATGTTTGGCCGTAGCTCGGCCCCGGAAGCCTGGCCTTCTCTTTCTCACATCATCTGGGCACCTAGTCGTGAGGTTCAGCACGTCCTATAGGTATCGCAAGTCGCCCTTCCTTGAGTTCATTGAGATTCTGGCCTGCTGAGGACTAGGACAAGGTGGTACGCTCCTCTCACCCATTCATCCCACCTTGTGCTTCTTCTCCGCCATCCTTAGACTCGATAGAGGTGAAGGTTACGTAAGATATAAGCAGTGGCCTTTGCCAATACCGGCTCCGTCGACTCTCTGATCCTCGTCCCGGTGTTATAGGCCACGAAGCTCATCCGCCACGCCTGAACCTGCGGACGCGTCGCCCAGATGAGAAGCGAGGCGAGGATTTGGATGGGCAATTTGAGGATCCCAAGGAGACTGACAGTGTGTCCGGCGGCTTTACTAGCCTACAGACCAGTGTGCACCAGCTTCCTTTGATCCGAAAGGGGGGCACCCGCGTCCTCTTGCAACCATGCACGTTTGGGTGGCTGGTGACGTCCTCGAAGTTGTCCACAATGGTTACGGGACATCCGCGTGGCCTACTGGCAATGTAAGTAACTCAGACGGGGTCCTTCAGCGCGCATTGGACACGGTGGCTCCGAGCTTTAGTGTGAAGTGTTACCAATACACGTGTGTTCGGATCGTCGTCACAGTGTTTGCTGCTCGCATATCACACATACGCGACCGATCTCGTGCGTGGCGCCTCAGAATGCATCTCTGGAACGGCCAGCATGTGTGCACGTATGACATGACCGGTGCCTTCCCGCCACCCCCCTATTCTGCCGTCTAACCATCCACAGTACAAGTTTGATTTCAGGTCTTGTGTCTACTTCGTGCCCACTAAGAGGTTGGGGACGCACGAGCGTCCAAGGTAGTGTCGTGATAGCTGCGCCCACCCGATCCCGTGAGGTTTTGCCGACTTGATCGCCCACGATCATACTACCTCCTGCTCCATAACTGCTGGTAAGACACCGTGCTGTAGTATTTTGCAGATGTCTGAAGCCTTCGGAAATCTCTTTCTCGCAGCCGCCATGCCCGAAACATGCTGCCGACTCCAAGACTGCAATCGCGACCGCGCCCCGCGGGCCTCCTAGTGTGATGAGCGTATGCACTCCCACCCCTCCTCCCCCCAGCTGAATTGAACCATCATTTCAAACTGGCATCAGGCCCCCCACGCGGCCTAGTAAGTGGTCTCGTTTTTAATCTATATATATATGCTTCTTAAGTAATATGCATCTAGTCCCTTTACACAATCATAAACGCTTAAATACTTAGCGTGAAAAAAATAATATAATATTAATAATAATACGTTTTAAATTTAATTATAACTTATAGCTAAGAAAATAATACTAACCTTATAATAATTACATAAATAAAGCTAGCAAGAATTACTTTTAACAACATTATAAATTAAAAACTTAAGCAAACAATTATATAATAAACATTAAAATAATCTTTATAAAATAAATCCCATAAATATAATTATAATTAAAAACTTAATTTCTATTTATTTACATTAATATATATCTTCCTAGGGAAACTTTTATTAAGTAAATTTATAAAATATTATTATGATTAATGTTTAACCTTAAAGCTAACTTTAATAAAAGTTAAAATAAAAAATAATTTCCTCAATAATTATTTATATCATCATCAACGACAAGTTCTCCAAAAGCAACCAAGCTTCCAATAGACAAACTGCAATACCATTTTTCAGCAACGATACCCCTTTAGCAAAAATAATGAAGTCCCACATCGCCGCCACCCTCGCCCTGACCTTCCTCCTCTCCCAGGCTGGTGCGGACTCGGACGTCGACACTCAGGACGGCCCCGCCGCGTGCCAGGCCATCTGTCGGCCGACCCTAGAGCTAAGCCGCACCTGCGACGTCGACGATGACCTCGTGGGCGGCCAGGCAGCCGAGATGCAGGGCGAGCAGGCGTGCTACTGCCAGAACCAGAGCTTCGACGTTGGGCGCATGACGGCGTTGTGTCAGAGCTGCGTGCAACAGGACGCGATCGAGTTTAACGATGCTAGGGGTGAGTGACTAGATGTCCTCCGTCATGTCTCATGCCGAGCGATATGTTGCCGTGACCTCGAGGGCTGACAGCAGATGCGCATTGTAGAAGTCAACGACCTCATGGCCCTGCGCGCCTTCCAGCCCGCCCAGTTCACCGCGGGCGATGTGACAGCAGCCGACGGCGTCGTGGTCCAGGCTGCTCCTCCAGCGGGACAGGACACCAATATAGGCCGGCCGGGAAAGGGGAAGAATCGAGCACCACCGCCTCCACCCCCTTACGGCCAACCTTCACCGTCGCCCCCGGTGCCCGGTCAAGCTCCACCTCCTCCACCTCCTATTCCGGGCCAGGCTCCACCACCGCCGCCAGTCCCCGGTAGGAGCCTCCGCCGCCGCCGCCCTTTCGACCCGGCAAGGGGAATCGGCGCAAGTTCCGCCCCCGTGGTTCCCGCCGAAACTTATTTGTCCGTGATGATAATGACCACGATGATTATGACGCTGGTATTGGGTTGTTGAACCATTCTGGTAATGGTAATGTCTCATTCTTTGGTGTGTACATATTGGCTGGACGGTTGGGTCTGTCATGGCAAGAGATTGTAGTCTGTGAGGACTGATGGTTTTCTTTTGTCATCTGTGGGGAGAATTGCATATATCCGGATCTGTGTGCGTGTGTGCGTGCGTGTGGTTTAGACTGTCGTTCCCGAGTACTCTCACTAGGAGTTTGAACTATAATTATATTTCGTATTTGGGAGAAACAATGCGGGCTGCTGTCACTTGACTCACTGAATTGGAAATCCGGTCTACTGTTTCTCACCGTCCAAACAATGACCCCAACACCTTTCCCACAAGTCCGCCAGCGGCAGCCTGTCCACCAGCCTTCTCATTATGGCCCCTGACATGCTCCTCGATATACGAAGGCACACCCGCGACCTTGTTCGTCCCAGCCGGCCGCGGCTCGCCCAGCACTTCAACATACGGGATCACACCAGCCCACACCCGCGCGGTGGTCTCGTCGCTCTTCAGGTCCTTGGCGTCATCACTAACGCCAGAGTCCCGGATCTTTGCCGAGGCGGACTCGATCTGCACTTTCAGGATGCGCGTGGACGCGATCTCAGCCTCGTCGGGCGCGCGGCTGTTGTCCCAGCGGTGCGCGACCATGGAGTCGGTGATGAGGCGCATCGCGTACTCGATCTCGGCGCGGTTGGCCGGGCTGCCCCTGGTGCCCGGGTCGAGCAGGCGCGCGGTGCCGTGGACGACTGCGCTGCGGTAGTCGTAGCTGTGGTTGAAGGGGGTGAGGGCCAGGACGAGGTTGTCGATCTTGGTGGCGGCCACGCACACGGGGAACCCGAGGTCGTCGTCCCGTGTTGCCGGCTGGTGGTCCGGGCGTCCAGTCTGGGGGCGGAACATGCGGGCTGAGACGTAGCCGTGGACGTAGACGGCGGGCTCCTGGCCGTTGAAGGAGCCGACGCGGGCGATCATCGGGAGGACCACGGGCTTGGGGTCCGAGGGGTCCGGGATGAAGGAGACGTGGGCGACCGGGGTGGAGTTGATTATTCCGTGGACCGTTTCGGCGTCATAGTGGCCTAGCAGATGGTTTGTTAATGTCTAGACTGATAGCTATTTCGGCGGTGTCTAGGTGGACATGCCTCTCTCCTTGTGCCTGTTGATGGCAGAGTCGGCCGTCTTGGGGTAGACTTGTGAGTCGTCGTTGGACATGGTGGCGTAGCTATCTGGGTTTCACTCGAGGCTGCTGCTGCTGCTGCTGCTGCTTGCTGGTTCTGGCAATTCGTCTGCTGAAATGAGACACCTGAGAAGTGGTTATTTATCTCCGCGTATGGGACCTGCAGACCACTGACACGGGCCTCTAGGTGAGTCAAACGTCGACGCCCTCGATCTTGTGAGACAGCACTTGGGCAGCAGGAGGATGGCGGAATGCTCTAGGTCAACCACATTGGGAAAGTACAAGCGGTAGGGCGGAGGGGATGACGCTGTCTGGGTCCCGATTCGACCGGCCCGGTGCATCTCAACGTCGAGAACGTGGATCATGGGTCATAGGCAGCACCCACTTGAGAATTCAGACTACTTTGACTGCATTTAGATCGAGCAGGCTCGAGTCTGGATAGGGAGATTGGTCGGCCAGGGACGGCATAGGTGGATCGCAGGACACGTGAGTAACCATGCAGGGGAAGGTGAATGCGATCTGTAGTGGAGACACAGTCAATCGGATGTCAATTGAATATGATATGACGTGTAATCCTAGAGTGGTCTAGCCTTGTGCCGGAATTTATATAAGTTCCTCTCAAGTCCACTGTCGATGCTCAGAGTGAATCTCGACCAATGTGTGCTTCCTTCGACCTGATGACTGGTTTGTCGGCTGCATTTGTGGGCAGAATGTGGACGATCTGCAGCGAGGTCAGAGAGATCAGTCGCTAAAAGGTGCTCGATCGTGCCCACCTGGAGAGTTGCAACATCGTTTTTGGATGCCAAATAAATATTAACACTCCCTTGAGAAGAGAAACAAATCACTTGGTGACGAGAGATCCAAACGAAGGCATTTTGAGAAGGAGCTCGCAACTGAGCGAGTCACCCCGATTAGCGGAGCCAAGCTCGGTACAAATGGGAGCGACCCGGCGAATGGGCCAAAGCCAATTGCAAATGCTCGGCAAGCTCCCCCACGCCTTTTGGGGTGCAAAATCTGTGGGGAAGTGGGGTGGCACTTCTCCGGATCGATTGGCGAGCTGCCCGCCAACCCAGGGGCATTTCTCGCCGAATCTTGCCTTTTTCTCCGACGGGCTCGACCTCGAGTGCCGTCATTAATTCCGGCAGAATGTCGACCTCTGGCCCTGGCCTTTTTATTTTCCCACGATGACCTCAACCTCTTGCTGCGATTGTCTGTTTCTCTGTTGTTGATTTCTTCTGTTCCTTGTTTCCGAGCCGAGCTACATTTCCACGCCCAGTGCCTCTGTCGTTGAGACCGCAATCCTAGAGCCATCATGTCCAAGGAGTTTACAGTAGAAGAAGGCGAGTCTGGAGCAAAGATCCCTCAAGCGTCATCATTACTCTGGTCCTACGCCAGATGCTAGGACCAACAAGACGGCATACGAGTATCATACTGACCTCCAATGTGGCCACAGTCGCCCAGCACACCTCTAAGGAGAGCTGCTGGGTCATCCTCTACGGCAATGTCTACGACGTGACAGACTTCCTATCAGAACACCCCGGCGGCTCCAAGATCATCCTCAAGCTCGCAGGCAAAGACGCCACCGAAGAGTACGACCCAGTCCACCCGCCCGGCACCATCGAGGAGAACCTCAAGCCCGAGCAGAAACTGGGCCGCGTCAACCCAGACAGCCTGGCACGCGCAAACTCGGCAACCGGCAACGACAATGCTTCCTCCTCTTCGTCATCACAACCATCAGCCACCACTTCCCAGCCCTCGAGCACGAGTACAGCGGTCGAGAAGTACGTCCGCCCACCCCTCGACCACCTCCTCAACCTCGACGAGATAGCCGACGCCGCCCAGCGCCTGGTCAGCGACAAGTGCAAGGCATACTACTACTCGGCCTCGGACGACCTCTTCTCCAAGTCCTACAACAACGCCGTCTACCGCAACATCCTGCTGCGCCCGCGCGTCTTCGTCGACTGCACCGCCTGCGACACCTCGACGACCCTCCTGGGCCAGCTGGGCGTCAGCACCCCCGTCTTCGTCTGCCCGGCGGCCATGGCGCGGCTGGCGCACCCGGACGGCGAGGCGGGCATCGCCAAGGCCGGCGGGTACTTCGGCGCGTGCCAGGTCGTGTCCAACAACGCGAGCCAGACGCCCGAGCAGATCGTGGCCGAGGCGCAGGAGGGCCAGGTCTTTGGCTGGCAGCTGTACGTGCAGAACGAGCGGCGCAAGAGCGAGGCCATGCTGGCGCGCGTCAGGAAGCTCAACAAGTTCTACAAGTTCATCGTGCTGACCCTCGACGCCCCTGTGCCGGGGAAGCGCGAGATGGACGAGCGCCAGGGCCTGGCCGACAGCGGCGCCCCCGCCGAGTCCCAGGTCGACTACCCTGCCATCGGCGGCGCAAAGAAGGACGCGGGGCCCGTCGGCGTGGGGCAGGCCATGTTCTGGGGCACCGCGGCCGACCTGACCTGGAAGACGACGCTGCCCTGGCTCAAGGAGCACGCGCCCGAGTTCCCCGTCGTGCTCAAGGGCGTCCAGACCCACGAGGACGTCTTCCTGGCTTACAAGTACGCCCGCGAGAACCCGGGGACCCTGCGCGCCGTCATCCTCAGCAACCACGGCGGCCGCGCGCTGGACACGGCACCCCCTGCCGTGCACACCCTGCTCGAGTGCCGAAAGTACTGCCCCGAGGTGCTGGACAGCAAGGACTTTGAGGTGTGGGTTGACGGAGGCATCCGGAGGGGTACGGATGTCGTCAAGGCGTTGTGTTTGGGTGCCAGAGCGGTGGGTATCGGACGTGCGCCGCTTTGGGGCCTGGGTGCCGGTGGGTGGCAGGGTGTCTACCGGACATTTGAGAGTGAGTCCTTCGGCTTCTGCATGATACTAGATGTTTCGATGCTAATGACCTGGAAATTACAGTCCTCCAGGCCGAGATGGAGACGTGCATGAGGTTGCTGGGGGCTAAGAACATCGAGGAGTTGGGCCCAAGATTTGTAAGTCCCGTGTTGATTTCCCCATTACCCCACTGTTCTTTGTCATTAACGTAATATCTTCTAGATAAACTCTCGTGCAGTCGAAAGAGATATATACGACGGCGAGCCAGGCCTTGACAAGAACGGCCTTTGGGAGAAAGCTGCTTCGGTCGTCAGGTCGAAGCTGTAGATGTGATGAACGTTACGATAAACTAGAATTGTTCGAGCATATAAATGGCAGCATTATATTTTCTCCCTGTCCAGAACGACTGAATTTATGCCCTGCCCTTCGGCTCCGTGGTCTTGGACTGAATACAGGAGCTTCGGGTGATCGGCAGGATATCGAATCCCTGGCCTCTGCCGTGCACTGGATCAAGCCAAGGCGGTTTGAATTGGCAACATACCCGGGAGCACAGATGGGCATGCCTCGCCACACCGAAGTCTCGAGCACATGGGCACCTCGGACCGTGATGTCGAATTCGGAGTAAGAGATTTTGAAATCATCAGGGCAGACGGGCCAGGCTGGAACTGAAAGCCAGGACACCGGATGACAGCCAGCCGGTTACGATTACGGTGAAGCTCAGGGTGATCAATACAGTCATGTCCTGTCTCGTCTGAATCGACTCCTGAAGGACAAAAGTCATGGCTTGTCTTCTTGGCCTCAAGATTTCGCCAAGGAGCAAGGAAGAAGAAAAGCCAGTTGAGCAAGAGGGCCACCTAAAATTCCAGTCGGAAGGCGAATTAATTAGCGGCCGCGGAAAGCTCCGATGTGAATTCATGTTATTTGTGTCTTTTCTTTGAGACTGGATATTTGGGCCTCTGACTTGTCCACCCATACTCAAATTCGGCGTGTACTTCTAACTACAACTCGCCATCTGTAACTCAGGTGAACCTTTTTCTGTCCTCCTGATACTGAGAACAGAAGTCAATGACACTCTGCTTCCAGTCACTATACTCCACACCCAACTCCTCCCTGGACCGCGTGTTATCCAGCACAAAGTGGTCCCCGATGGCCTTCTTCCCAGGCGTTCCCTTTGGGACATTCTTTATCCAGTCACTGTCCCGGAATTTATCGTGCAGCAAGTCAACCACCTGCTGAAAGTCATACTCATGGTTAGCAATGATGTACCGACCCGACGCCTCAGGCCTGTACAGCGCGTTGATGTGCGCCTGCGCGACCTCGGAGATGTCACACATCCACGGCATGATGGTCCGCGGCACCTCCGCCTCCTCCCCATCAATAAGCTTCGCCAGGTCCGAGTTGGTCGCGTTCATGTCCGCCGCCCGGGCCACGGCCTGCCCGTACGATCCCCAGGTGTGGCACGGGTTGATGCTCACGAGGTCGAAGTGCCGCTTCTCGGCCGCCACGAAGTCCCACGCCGCCTTCTCGGCGAGCGCCTTGGGACGCCGTGTACACGGGCGGGAAGGCCGCCAGCTTTGCTGCTTGCTCGTAGCCCACGGGGTTCCAGTCCGCCTCCGTGTACGTGTGCCCGGGGCGGTGGAAGCCCGACGGGTGCAGCGGGTCCAGGCACGCGGCGACGGAGCTCGTGAGCACCACGCGCTTGACTTTTGGCTCGCCGGCTGCCGCCTGCAGTGCGGCCACGGCGCAGTTGACGGCCGGGTCGAGGACCTCGGCCGCAGCGTCGGTGAACTCGTAGCGGAACGGCGACGCTACGTGGAAGACGGCGTCGCAGCCGCGTATGGCGTCCCGGAAGGCGTCTGGCGTGGTGAGGTCTGGGGCGATGAACACTCGGACTTTGTCCCCGTAATTGCCCTCCAGCGGCTTTCCTGCTGACTCTCGGCGGACTACTGCGTGGATCTTGACGCCCCTGTCTACTAGGCGCTCGATGATTGCGGCTGAGTAGAAGGCGTTGGCGCCGGTGACCATGACGGTCTGGTAGGTTGGCGCGTCGGACATGGTATCGAGAGTTCAGCTGGTATATCGTGATGCGGCAGGATTTGGACTGTAAGCAGAGGGGTGATGCAACTGTGCTCCCCCCCAGTTGTGAGTTCCGTCTCATATTGGTCTTACACCGGAGCAGTGGACACTAATGCCGGGGATGTGGAACCTCAAACCGGGGTCGTTCGTCTTGGACGCCTTGATCAGTTCGGTGAGTTAACAACTGATCGTCCTTAAATCCACCCCAAGACGGCATGCACGATACGTCCGATTGGCCAGCAGGGAGTGCCCCCAGGTGCCTTTTCTGATGTCGCGGTTCGCGCCATAGTGTACATGGTCGCAACACCAGGCGGAACAGTGGAGTCATGGAATGAGGGGAGACAAAGCAAGGGGGTGGGGAACTACTGCCGTCTTGCAAATACAATAGCATGAGTCCCCGCTGCTGTCAATGCGACTCCTCTGTCTAGTATAGAATTACAACACCCTCATTTTTCCCTGCATCTCCATCATTTGGCCTCACGCGATGTCTCGAATTGATGCTGAACGTAGGTCGTCGAAGACCCCTACCCTCTGGTGTGATTTGCTGCTGACATGTAAATAGTGGCCCACGAATTGAAGGAGTTGACTTTCGAATGGGGCGATGGCTATGACGAGAAGGTTCTGACACATTCCTGATCGAACGACGGTTTGGGTCCATCTGAAGCTGACAACGCCCTCAGAACTGGGATCGGCTTCGCAAAATACTGGCACCGGAGCTGTTGGTAGGAGACCAACAAGCAAGCGAGACAAGAGTCATACAGCCGGCTGATGAAATCTAGGTCGACTACACGGAGGTGACGGGCAAGAAGTGGGATGCTCTTCCGAAAGAAGAATTCGTCGGCATGGTCAGTAGCGCAGGCTTCGTCGGTGACCCTCTGGTCGATACCCAACACTTCATCGGGGGCTCAAAATTTGAACGAACGGGCGAAGACTCCGTGACGGGCTTCCATCAGCTGCGTGCTGCTCATCAGAGATATACTGGCCCGGATAAGAAGACAGTTGTGAGTTCATGTTTCCCCAATCTCGATGGATTCTATTCCACTCATGCCTGGAATCATAGGAAGCCAAAGGCCATGGCCATGCTTTAATCAGGCATTATTATCGGAGAGTTGACGGGAACTGGAAGTTGGCCGGGCTAAAGCCCACGGTGAGATGGAACGAGTTTGAATTCGAGAAGATTTTCAAGGGTCATTAAGCTCGAGGTTGGGGCAGCGAAGCTCAAGGGGAACAAGTCATTAAAAAAGCTTCTTACCAAATTCCATACCGATTATTAAGGGATTCTTATCCTCTTACCTAACAAAAAAGTGACGATATGAATACAGCGCCATTGACAACTGCTGCACTATAATATACATACAATTTCCAAAGGAGTAGGAATCTCAAGACTTTTCCCGAGGGTCCATGCAGTATTATACGGCGAAATAATGGTTTGTTGACTCTGATGCTCATAACGTGGCTATCTACATGACTGCCGCAGTCACGATAGGGTGCCTCCACAGAGACAAAGCCGCACTTGTTATAGCCAGTGATAAAATTCACGAAGCGTATGGATATTTGTTTTATTTAAACGGTCGTCCGCTGTTCCTTCTTCTTTCCCCTAGAGGCGCGTCAAACCCACGAGCTCGATCATCGCACACACCCATGACCCCGTCAGGGTCGACCGGGCATTCAGTATGCGTAGCCCTCTGAGCCTGTTCCCTTGGTAGGCATTATGCATCCATTTTAGACCCGCTCACACCTCTCGCCACCATCGTTGTTGCAGCGGGAGGGGAGAAGACAGCAGCCGGCGTCGACACCCGCGGGGTCGGTGAACTGTTCCAGGCCGCTGGCACCCTCGCCAACAGACTCGCAGTCGGGGCCGTCAGGGAAGCCGCAGCTGTTCATGTCGAGATCCCGTCAGTTTTCCATTGCTTCTTGGATGTCGGGCAACTTGTGTAGGTTTTTTTATCTCGGGTTCCGAACTTACTTGTCGTTCTTGTTGTTCTGGGCCATGACGCTGGCGGCCAGGGTGGCGATGAGGATGGCGATGTACTTCATTTTGTATGTAAAGAAAGTTTGTGTCTGCGCAGCAGATTCCTTAGGTCAAAGGGAGAATAGTTATTATTATGAATGGGAGAAGCGCAATGGATGGGATGGAGAACGAACTTCTGCAGCTAAACTCAGGACGACGCTAGGAATATATACACCACGCAAACACAGCACCGAACACTGATGTGACCCCTTTCGAGTCACCAACCACTGGCGATTACCTCGTGTTGTTAGCCCCCTTTCCAAAATGTCCGCCCAAGGCGTCACAGCCCTGCCAAGATCGCCTGATCTACATCGACAAACACGACTCACCATCGGTTTCGCATTCGACCCCAGACGGCTTGGCACCCCGCGGTCCAGAATGAACCAACGGTCAGCCGCCCATGTGCGCATCCATTATTGGCTCCTGTGTCTGTTTCGGCCGACAAAAGTTAAGATGGCATCAGGGGCCGACTGGCTGGCAGTTGGGTTTTAAGCTTATCCCGCCCCCCTGTGGCCCAGCGCGAGGATCTTCTGGAACGTCGCCGCAGATCACACGCGTGCGGCGTGCCACGCCCTGCGTGTTGGTAGGTTTCTCGTACATACGATAATCATATGGAAAGCAATCATATATTAATATTATTTTATCTAGGTTTTAAGAGGCTATATGCCCTAAAGGAAATAACTAAAGTAGCCTTTTAAATATAAGGGTTATACTTATTAATACTTATAATTTTTCTTTTCTTTTAATAAATATATATAATTTTTATTATAATTAACTTAAAATTATAATTTATTATATATTAAATATATATAATCTTTATTATAAAAAAGTATTATTAAAAAAGTTTAAAATTATAATTTATAAGTTTTAAAATAAATTTTAATAATCTTTATTATTATATTATTCTTTAAATTTATAATCTTTATTATTATACTATCCCTTAAACTTTATATTTTTTATCCTTAATACTTAATTTTTAAAATTATTTATTTATAAAAATTATTAATTTTTATATTAAGGCCTTAATTTTAGCTTTTTTCTTTATAAGGAAAGTTAATATTTATAAAGTTAATATTAAACTTTTTAGCTTATATTTATTTTTATTATATATTTTTATAATATAAATATTATTAATATTATCTTTACTTTTATTATTGAAATATAATTAATATTACTTTAAATTAATCTTTTTTAATTACTTTTTATTTTCTTAAAATTAAGCATTATAAGTAACTTATTTATTTATTAATTTCTTTTTTTATTTTTTATTATTTTTTATAATTTCTTAAATAATTATCCTTTACTTAAATTACTTAAGTAATAATATATATTTCTTAATAAATCCCTTTATATATAAGCCTTATATATATTTATTAATAATTTAATATAAAAAGTTTTAAATTTAAGTTAATATAATAATTTAATTCTTTAATAACTTAATTTTTTTAATTTAATATATATAGAAAATATTTAAGATTAAAATTTTTATTAAGTTATTTATTATAAAAATTATAATAATTTAATATTTAAAATAATAATTACTTTAATGATTTTTATTATTAAAGATGCTATATAATTTTATATTAAAAGTTTTAATGCTTTTAATATAAATATATAGCTTTTTAATTATATTATTAAAAGATATTTACTTATCTTAATATTAAAAGTTATTAATAATTTAAATAATAATTATTATAATAATATTATTTAAGAAAAGTATTTTAACTTAAATTATAGCTATAACCTTTAATTTATTAATTTTAATAATTCTTTAAGAATTTATTTTAATAAATATTTTATATTTTTTAATACTTAATATAATAATAAAGTTAAAAATAATCTTTATAATTTTTATTAAGGTTTTATTAGCTTAATTTTAATTATCTTTATTATTAATAATAATTAAACTATTATTAATATTAAATAAATAAAAGTTATTATTATTAATATTCTTATTTATATTTATTAAATAAATAAGTAAATAAAAGTTATTATTATTAATATTTTTATTAATATTTATTAAATAAGCATTATTAATAATAACTTTATTATAAAAATTAATAAAATTAATAAACTTATTTTTATTTTTATTATTTAAGGTAATTTTAACTTTTTTTATAACCTTAATAATAATTATAACCTTTATTTTATTATTTATTAAAATTATAATTATAATATTTATTTTATTAATTAAGGCTATAATTATAATATTTATAAGGAAATTTTAATTTTATTTAAGGGTTATAATAAGGCTACTTTTAATGTTAATTATATTAATAATAATTATAATAATAATTATATTAAGTATATCTTTAATATAAGTAATAAATATAATATTTATTAAATAATTTTACTTATTATTATTATCCTTATAAGGTATATTAATAAAAATATTAAATAACTTTTATAAATTATTATTAATATTTTTTATTATAATAAAAAAAAGATTTTATAAGAATTTAATAATTAAAATAAATATTTATAATATAAAACTTTATAATTATTATATAATAATTATTAATTTATTCTTTATTTATAAGAAAAGTTAATAAGTTATAAATAAATTTAATAAAAGTTAATTTTAATATTATTATTAATAAATAATAATAAAAGGTAATAATAATAATAAGATTAATTTTAAAATAATAATTATTAATAATATTAATAATTATAAAGTTATCCTTATATATAATATGATATTAAAAAGTTTAAATTATAATGTAAAAAGTTAAAGTTTATATTAAGGGTTTAAGTTTAAGAAGTATAAGGTTTTATAATTAATAATAATAAGATTAAAAGAAAAAGATATTAATGATAAGTTGCTTCTTCCTTAGTAAAAAGGAGCTACTTTAAGTTTTTTAATTAATTTATTTACTTATATATAAAGCTTATTATTATTAATAAGCTTTTATAATATAATATTTAAAGTTAATTTTATTATTATATTAATAAAGTTATTTGTTTTATTTATTTACTTTATTTTAATAATCTTTTTTATTTTATATGACTTTTATAATAATATAATATTAATTATAAAGTATTTTCTCTTTATTATTCTTAGCTTTATAAGGTATTTATATAAGCTATATAAGTTTATATAAATAATTAAAGATATATTTAATAATAAGAGTTATTTTATAGCTATTTTAATTATTATAGCTAGGGAAATTCCAATATTTACTTTATTTATTATATTATAAATTTTGCTTATTAATATACTTTAAGTAATATATTTATACTTTATTAATAATTAATAAAAAATATTACTTATTATTATAAATTCCTTAATTTCCTTATAAATTTTATTTATAAAAATATTAATATATTTTAGTTAAAATATTAAGTTTTAATTATTTATAAATAATTTATTTATAAATATAAAAAGTTTTATTATTTTAAAATTTAAGGGTATATATTTAATTTCTTATATAGCGTTATTTATTTATTATAATAATTATATATTTAAGCTTTTATAATTTCTTACCTTTAAGTTTTATATTTATATAGCTATTAAAAGATTATATAAAGCTTTTAATTAATAAATTAAAGCTATATATGCTTTATAAGTTTTTTATTTAAGGTATTTTTAAGAAATATTTTTAATTATTGCATTAATAAAGGTAAGTTTATTAACTTATTCCTTTTATTAAATAATAATTAAGCTAATAATATTTATAATTATGCAAGCCTTATTATAATTTATTAAATCTTTAAGCATTAACTCTTATTTTAATTCTTTTTATAATTTAATAACTTTTATCTTAATTTCTTTCTTATCTTAAAATTTTAATATAAATAAAATTAATATATTATTTATTTATATATTTATTATTTTAAAGGGTTATATAAGCTTTATAATTATTAAGCAAGGATTATATATAAAGTAATTTATCTTAAGCTTTTTATGGTTATGGACGTGCCATAGGGGGATAGCAGCATTGGGCACGATAGGCACTATGGGCGATAAGCATTATATGCAATTAGCACTAAAGCACCGGCAGGCAAGGATTACGTATTGCTGCATATAACTACCCTTAAATAGTTCATAGCTAAAGGGAGGTTTTATAGCTTATAATTGCAACCCTTCTTCTTTTTATATAGCTAATTTAAATATAATTAGTTTATTATTAATTAATATATATTAACTTAGTTAATATTAATTAATAATTACCTATAAATAATTATAAATAGCAAAGTAAGTAAGTAATAAATTTATATTATTATTAATTAAGCGGTAATTATTAATAATAAAAATTATTATAATTAAGTTACAATATTTATATTAAATAATTAATATTAATATTATAAAGATAAGTAATTATTAATAATAAAACTTTACTTAATTAAGTATTAATAGCTATATTATAATTAAAATTAATAAGAAGAAATTAATAATACCTTAACCTTTTTATTATAAAAGTTTAACTTATTAATTATTAAATTCTTAATAATGCTTTAAATTTATTAATTATATAATGCATTTTATTATATAATTAATGCTAAAAGTATTTATAATTACTTTATTTTAATATAAATAATAACTTATATTTACTTAAGTTAATAAATACTTTTTAATAAATACTTTTTTATTATATAATTAATACTTTCTTTTTATGCTTTAAAATAACTTTATTATATCCCTTTAATTACCCTCTTTCTTTTCCCTTATATATAAATTATTTAAATATTTTAATAGCTTAGCAAAATGGCTAAATTTAATAATAATGCTAAGAAAATACCCTTAAATATTAATAACGCTTTTATATAAAACCTTTAATTATTCTTTAATTTTAATAAAAAATTTTAAAGCTAATAAATTAATTTTAGCTATTAAGATAAATTAATAATAAAAGCAAATAATATAATTAATTAAGTAAATATTGTTATTTTTAAGTTTATAAAGGAAATAATAAGATATTACAATATAATAATATTTAAAAAGTTAACGATTATTTAAAACTTTAAGAAATTTCTTTAAAAGAAAGAAATTAATATTAAAGGAAGCGCTAATAAATAATATATTAAT